TGGTTACCAAAATTGATGGAGGTAATCCCAAATATCAGGAAGCCTATATATTTAGTCAGGAGATTCACCAAAATGTCTGAACTTCACACAGATGAAGAGCCTTATCGCCGCGTGTCAGAAGGCGGATTTGTGTAAAGAAAAAACTGCAAATGGTGGAAATATGTGAAAATAGGGAGGCATAAAGCGGGATATGAGAACGCAGCTAAGATATTGACTCCTCAAACAGCATCACTCACAAACCACATTCATATGATGCACTTTACTAACAGAAAAGCATCACCATTGATTTGAAATAGCAATTCAAATAAATGACTTAAAATAGTCAAATATATAAAGCTCTTGTTCCAAGGTGTTCTATATCTTTTGAGAATAGTTGATGTATCTTTTTTCATTTGTACTCAACAATAGAAAACATTCAGGTAGCAATTTAGATAAACAGCAAATTAATAATCCATCTGTCAAAATGTGTGCTTGATGTGATGGTTTCGGAAATCAGTTTCTGAATTGGACCTCAGTCTGAGTTCTAACTTTTGTAACATTTAGTTGGTTTTATGTTGCATAAAAACGCTTTATCTAAAAGAAGAACGTGGTGTTCTGTTTCTTGTTGTTTGGAAGAATATCATTTTAGACAGTTGTTGATAATAGACTGTTGATGAACAGATGTGAGGGATCTTACAAGCTTTGTGGAGGATTTGTATTGCCGAACTCCTCAAACTATATGTGACGTCCGCTCGTTTCAAAAACACTAAAATGCAGATGTTGAAAAGGGCCTGGTGTAAATCGGACCCTTCTTTATTTTGGTTCCTTCGTCCCATTAATAAAACAATGTTTTTATCAATGACAGCTAGCTCATTAAAGCCGCAGCTGGTATCGTGGTTACTCTGATGCTGCACCACTATTGTGTTGTGCACTGATGAGCACAGACGGACTGCAAAAGGCGGTCGTTGTTTGTTCGAGGAAAGCGGAGTTGTGCAATGCTGTTATCGTGGGTGTCAACTGTAGCGTAGCCTCGGTATTTTACAGCCGGAGGCAATAGTTTTCTACTCCGAGTTGGAGAGGGAAAGAAAAAGGCTGCGAGTGCGAGGGAGGCAATGTGAAAGAGTAGGAGGGAGAAGCTCTGTGGAGTGTTTATGCAAGCGGAACATGTTTTAAGCCGTTCTAGTGACGGACGCTTTTGACACCAGGTTCTAGTTTTGGTCATTATTTGCCAATGTAAAAGATTCAAGTGGGGTTTAAAGCTGGGTTATTTAGTCATCTCTTTCTCTCTCTCCATTGAATTTAATTTGCGTGATTAATTGCATCATACTCACATTTTGGCTACAAGCTTAACAGAGCTGTAGACAACACAACTCTGTGAGGAACAAATTGGATTATGTTAAGTGTCAGAATGCACCCTGATTAGCAGTGAATCAAACAATATACAAATCTAAAAAGGAAATGTTTCATAATTTATTATTTTAAAATGATCTTAAATCGTTTCCTAAAGCTTTGCTCCATTCTTATTCTCAGATCATTTTGAATTTGAACGGTTTAATATCGGGAAAAATATCAGCGTTGATACAACATTTCCTTGATTTCAGAATATGCTATTTATGGACGGTATTAAATCACAATGTTCCAGTGTGTAGCACTTTGTGGGATCTATTGAATCTATTGGCAGAAATTGAATCATATAATCAAGCTGACGTGTTTTCATTTTGTGTGTAAAAATCGGAACCTTGAGAATTTCAGTTTTTTCCTTAACTTAGAATCTACAAAGGGAGCGGTTCATCTTCCCAGAGTCCCACATCTTGCACAGCATGGCTTCTACAACAGTCAGTCCCGACGGCCACTGCACTGTAACAATGCCCTTTGTACCATTGTACATTACCGCTTGTGAAACTGCGGTAATGCCGGTAAAACCCATTGAGCGTGGCGCTGCCAGCTGCCATCTGAATTCTGTTGCTCTGTAAATGTTGTGCTTGTGGTAAAGATGACCTCTGAGGGAGGCAAAGGGACTGATCGCGGTTTTGCACTCGGTGGTAAGCGTAACAGCAGCATAGGAGTTCACCCCTATAAAAACAAAGATATTCACAATTTCCTATTCCATGCAAATTGTATAGTATCTACAATATACTAATTATCATAGAATACTGTAGTAAACTGTTTTTTTCAGATAGTTAAAAATGCAAATCCATCTCCTAAATGTAGTTTGTGGTTGTAGTTTTTCCAGCTGTGATTTTATTTCCTGTACATGTAAAAAGGTACACAATTTATTTCAGGCAGGGAGGACATTTATACGGAATGGATTTTATCTGGCAATATATATATATATTATATGGCAAATTAGCACCACAGCACTCTGCCTGTTGCTTAGTAACAGATCAATGTTGCTCCAATGTGTTGGACTTTTCATCATATTGCTAATTCTGTTGTTATTTGTACGTGACATGGTAAGGAGTGAGTGAAAAGATGGGATGGGGGACTGGTGAGTAGAAGGTGACATGAGGGTGGTTAGAAGGAGGCCAGTGGGTGTGGTTATGACTGAGCAGGTTTTCTGTTGAGTCAGGATTCTCTCCTTGCTCCTGTCTGGATTGTAGATTGTATTAAATCCTCCTGATTCATGACAGCGGCTATGAGGTCGCTGGTCGGTCAATGCTGACATGTAAACCAGTGGAGGTGCTTAGTGTGATTAGCAATTAGCAATTAACGTTTATGTCTGCATCCACGCAAGGCAAATCCGTGCCTGTCAAGTGATTGATTCCAGAAACAAGTGTATCAGTTGAATGGATAATTACGGTCAGGAACAAACGCCAGATTTTTTATCTTACATTAAATCCTACAGTACAGTTAAGCTTCCAATCATGATGCAGTGGCTCTCATTGATGCTATGACATAATCTGTTCTATGAAAGTACTTGTGAATGATTCACATTTTTCTTTTCTCCTTTCCCCCCGCCCTCTAGATATTTCCAGGATAACATACTACGGTGGTGAGTATCTATTTTATTTTTGTCAAATGCAGATTTTTTGTTAAACTTCCTTTCAACTAATGGTAAAAATATTATATTTACTATTTTACTCTTGTGTGGAATTGTAAGTCAGTGTGTGTGTGTGTGTGTGTATGAATTTTTGCATCAAACTTACTTTTTTTTTTAAAGAGCTAAATCATTTCATATAGATAATATATTGTATGGCCCCTAGCACCAGTCTCCATGGCTGTTGCTAGGTAACAGTTGATCCTATCCTTTAAAGGAGGATGATGTATTCTTGGAGCTGAGAACTTCCGAATCCTGAAAAGGATAGAAGCATAATTTACATTTCTTGACCTTGGCTTTGGAAAAACCCCTGTGGGAGACGTGCTGCCAAAGTCGAGGTTAAGTTTGAGGTTAACTGAAACTCATAATTTTAAAAGTAGCACGGCAAAAAGGTTACACACTGGTTATACCGAGCATCTGTAGAGTCCGGGAATATTCAAAGTTGGAAACTTTCAACAGGAATTGATGGAAATATACAAGTACTAACAGGAATTAACAGGAATAAACTTGGAAATTTGGGGGTAATTTAGCTGTAATTACCTTGTCATAAGCAGATATGCATGCAAACATGTCTAATACAACTTTTAAAATAGACATTTTGGACTTTTTTGACATTTTGTGGAGAAAAAAATACAGGACAGCAAGGTGGCGGTAAAATAACTGTAACTAACAACACACTCACTCTTGCTGTCTTTCGTTTAGCTTTATGCTTTCCTGTATCCTGTATCCGCTTTTATAAGATACCATGAAATCATCTGCTTGGCGGCCATTTTTTGTATTAAATATTAAATCTTTCGGCGTTTTCCCGCTTAGATTTTTCAGACAATGTTCCCAACCAGCTGCATTCAGGGTCCGGCTGAGCTAGGAGCGCATAGTCTTGTTCTCAACTACATTTAAGTTCCCCGTTATATGCTTTTGTAAAAATTCCCAGAATTCCCGAGCCAAAATTTCCAGAAACGTTCTGCCACTTTGCAACCCCACCCTGATACCCTGAGAATATTCAGTATTGCTGATAAGGATCACAGCATCATTTGTTATACTAAGCATCAAATGCAGCCTCCATCACATTGTTTTTGGAAAGATTTGAGTCTTCTCATTACTTCAAGCATAATCCTTAACGCACTTTAACCACACTGCTCTGATCATGATACGCATTGTCTTTGAAACTGTGAATTTCTGGAAGGCTCTGACAAATGTGTGTCTCTAAAGGGCATTGACAAATATCTTATTTTGTCTTTATTTGGAGGATTTACGAGATTATACATCCGTTTCTGTCATAAAAGGCTTACAATCGGATAGTGGTCAGCGTTTTGCATCGGGATGTTCGGCTTGAAGCTGTTGACGTTCATCTTGTGCTCTGGTTTGTCAGAGCACGTCAGTTCAGTTTACTGTCATTGGAGGAGCCGGCACGCTGCAGGAGCAGATGCAAATGTGTTTGAAGAGGAGGGGAGACAACATAGACTGAGGACACGGAGCAGTAGAGATCTGCTCAGGCCGGTAGAGACAGACAGAAGTACGGATAATGAAAACAAAACAGACAGGGAAACGAGTGTTGTAAGGGGTCTAATGGAAAGTATGTGGAATGTATGTTCAGTGGCTAAACTTTAATCCTGGTAAAGCCGGCTGTTTGTGTTCATATTCACATGTGCCTGTTTGTTACTTCTGTTGCTGATTAAGCTTTTTGGTTCTATTCGCATAGTTATGAATACTGTCAAATCATGCAGTCTTTCCTCTGCGTCAAGTCTCAATTACAGTATTTCCTTCCTCCTGTATCTTTCTTCCTTTCTTTGCCCCCACACACACGCACGCACACACACACACACACGAACACACACAAAATCCTGGGTGCTGCTCACGGATTGCGCTGGATGTACAGTGTGTGTGACTGCCGCAGTGTGTGTGTGCGTGTGTGTAGCACAGAGAGAGAGAGAGAGAGAGAAACTGGGAGGATGTTGTGATCTAGTTGCCCTTCCGCTGCTCCAGAAGGAAGCTTCAGAAGCCAGACTGAGCGACCCACAGCTCACTGGCTTCCAAACGGATTTACCGCGTTCATTTTATTTTTCTCCGACCAACTTCATGTGCCCTCCGCCCCATCCTGCCTGGCTTTGCAGCCGGGCTTTTTTGTTCCGGACTTTTTTTTTTTGCTCCACCTTTCAGGTCGCTGTCCCTTTATGTCTCTCGCTGACATCAGACACCTGATTTGATCCGGTTAACTCCTGCGGGCTCGGAGCATTGTGGCGAGTGCTTTGGGGGATGCGAGGCTCAGCATCTCCCTGAGGTTTCCGCACTTTCTCTTTTCATCCCACTCTCTTTTGTTTCTTCTTCTGATGCATACGCTCTTTCTTTGATCATTCTGTTATGCTACAACGTGTCTTTTGGTTCCATCCTCTTCATATTTTTTTTTCTACCTTCTTCCTCTTGTTTTCCCTCCGGTGTCGGTCACTGTACCTTCCTCTTCCTCACTATGCTCCATTTCTCTACGCCCTTCTTTGCCCTACATTTTCATCTTTCTCTGCAGTTTCTCTTTTCGTCTTGCTCTCATTAGTCTTACCTTTTCTTTTAGACAATATTTTCGATTTTCAGAACCAAACTACATCCTTTCTTTAAAAAAAAGTTTACTTTGATATAATCCGGTGTTTGTTCTATCGTGACCTGGAGTAGGATTGGACTAAAGAACTATGAACTATGGCTGCAGGAAGCTGCCCTTTGAGTTTCACATCAAGGTTTGATTAATTGGATCAGCAGCTCCAAACCGAAGCGCAGAATTTGATGTTATGTGGGGATTTATTGGGCCGCGGGATGGCCTAAATGTTAAGAAAAATAATGGATGTAATGCCTGTTTTTGGAAGCTTCCACCCTGTTCAAGTGTCCTCAAGCAACATACTGAATCCTCTCCACCCACAAGGACTGTAGCTCCCTGAAGTAAATGAGAGCAAGAAACAAGGCCTTACAGGGATCATTGCATATCTCATTGCACATTGCTCACAGTCTCTTTGGGGGTTAAAGGTCATGGCATGAATTTGACAGATTGATTTATAAGACCTGGACCCCGAGCCACTTCCTCTAGTAAAGCTGTGACTGGCAGTCTTGGGATCGGAAGCCTGGACTACTGCACCAGATACTGAACTTTACAGTTGTGATCTTCTCTCCGTTGTTAGCGTTTGTTTCTTTTCCTTGAGGAAGATGGTCAGACTTCCATATTGGGAGCTGAGTCCGATCTTCATCTCTGTAGAGCGGACTGCTCTATTCTTCACCTGCTGTGGGAATACTTGCTGTGTCATCTGATTTTACACTACACGGGATATTTGACATCCTCTGTTTTGCGCTTTTCATACAACCCGAGGACGCTGTCTTTGTCAGATCTTTTTTCCTTCTATTGAGTTGTTATCACGTGAGCTGACTAAAGGTCGATAAAAGGCTATTGTCACCCTTACAACCAATGACAACCCAGCCACCGATTTCAAACATTCTTGTGGACACTTTTGGATACCGCTCTTAAAAGTGTCCTCTGCCTTTTCAAATTGATTAACTAGGAGGTCTTCTTTCATAGCTGTTGAAAGCCAGTCAGCATCTGGTCCCAGACCTATAGCTCTATGCTGTTTTCGGGGCCCAGCAGGTTTGTCTGGGCCCTGTGGCCAGATCTTGTACGGCCCCCCCAACAAAACACATGGAGATCAGCGGCTGCATCCCTCTCTGCTGGAGCAAGGGGGCCTGCATCTACGCACAGCACCCCCTACCAAGTAGGTACTATTAAATGTATTGATTGGCACACCATATTGTGTACGGGCCGATGCACCCGGTGCTTTTGTTTCTCATGATTCATACCTACATAGTATTGGATCCATAGCTTTGTTTATCCAATGTAGTATAATAAAGTATGTTCCTTTTGAACAAGGCCCCTTTCTACGCTTTGTATAATTATTTACAATGAATTAAAATTAGAAGTTAACCATATCTCTGCTTTTGAAGCATCATATCATTCTGTTCAACAGTTTTTCATCAATTTGGTTTTCACTTAATTGAGCTGTGTTTTCTGCTTCATTAAGTCTGAGTGAAACTCATTCGTGTATTTCATCTCCCTGGGAGGGATTGTAGATCGTTCATTCATGACAGATAAGGTCCTGTGGGGGTCTTAAAGAGATTTAACTTCATGAGCTTCTTGTTACTACTCGACTACTGGATTAAAAACACAGTGAAGTGCGGTATGACCTGCTGTCAGTCACAAGAATAACCCTGGTTTAATTTAAACCAGTACAGGTGATGTTAAGATACAGTACAACTAAAACAGTCCAATGAATGAGCTACAGGGTTGCCTGAGAAGCTTAATTTGTAGAGGAATGGAACTGAATCTCTTTTTACTTCCCCCTGTCTGAAAAACCAAGTGAACCATGGTTTTGTTATCGGTTCATTTTCACAGGTTACAGTTGTAATGAGCTGTAATTAGGTTGGTGAATATGAGTGTTTGGGGATGTGCTGATTAAGAGTTTCCCTGGTAGCTCTGATGTCCCTTGAACAGCTCAGAAAACACACACATGCATATAGATATACAACCATTTAGACGTTTTCGTCTTTACCCCCTCTTGTCGATGCTGGGCATCCACGGCAAAGTGCAGAGGATTTTGTTGGAGGATGAGAGAAAGATGAGAGGGAGGGAGGAAGGAAGGAAGGAGTGTTGGTTCAATAGGACAGAGGATCAAATGGAGATGTGAAGGTAGGAACTAAAAGGCCTGTGAGCATGTGAGATGAGTGACTGGAGGAGATTAAGAGGAGGGATGAATAAAAGAGTTGCAGATGAAGGGGGCAAAGGATGGAAGAAAGAAGGATCTGTGAAGCAAAATAAAGGAAAAGATGAAGGCGCTGAAAGAAATGAAGCGGGAGGGACGGGCTCCCCCGACAGACACCAGTAACCCAGATACCAGCTAGACGGGGACATGAACCGTCCTTCAGCTGCTGCTACGGGACAGCTCAACCTTCTGTGCTTCTACAAGCTGGCTGTCAGTCACTGGAGTCCCACTGAGCGAGGGGGTGACGGGCCTGGCAGCAGCATGCACCCCTCCTGGCTGCCTGCGTGGCCTAGTTGATTTAAATGTGAGAGGGCATGGGTGTGGGGATTTAGTATAGTTATGTTGGGGAGGAATTGGTGCAGTGAGACATGACTTTGTTGGTTCTGTGCTGCGTGTAGCGGCCAACCTAAAAATCCAGTGTGTCGCATGCTGATTAAATAATAATTCAGTCGAATACTGGTTTTAAAAGAAACCTTTTGGGGAAAAATGCTGCAGGAAAAAACACGACATTTTCAGGTAATATTTGCTTAAACAGTTGCATGGAGTAATTGTATGTATACACCCAAAGCTGCTATGTAGGTTGCCTGCATTTCTAATCGGATTTCATAAAGCTGTATGTGGTAATTAGGTTAAGGTTGTGTGTGTGTGTGTGTGTGTGTGTGTGTGTGATTTTGTGTCACTATTGTGTTTTGTCTCCCTGTATGCAGTGGGGTGTTACAACACTGTAGTGCTTAATATCTAATCTGATTACTGACAGCAAGCGGCAGCAGATGGCTGGATGTGGTTTGTGACTCTATTCCTCCACTGGTGGATAACAGTAGATGTTTTTGTGTTGACATCATTTGTAGTTCACTTGGACACGTTTTCAGTTACAACGTGAAACCCAAAACACATGTGACCCGGCGTCTGCTGTCACAAAATAAACTGAAGTGACATGCCACTGAAGCAAAAACCCAATGATGTAAAACAACAGAACATGGTTTCTTTTTGGAAAATCTAGTTTGAAATAATGAACTCAACTATGTAAAGAAATTTGTTTTACTAGTCTACAGAAAGTGTTTTGTTGTGCGTGTGTGTGTGTTTTATTGTAGCTCTTCAGCATATATATATATATATATATATATATATATATCCAACAATAGTGCTGTCTCTGTATGCTTCAGAAGGTTAGAATTTCTGCAGCCACCAAACCACAAAGGACTTTAAATTGTTTCTGCTGCTCTTCCCCTATCTTTTAATATAGGTATGCTGGGTCTCTAGTTATTAACAAGTCAGTTACTATTGTTGCATTCAAATGGTTATATTTGAATAATAGCAGCACTGCACTCTAGAGTTTTAATAAACCACCTAATAATCCAGTAGTATCATAACCACAGTGATATTATTTTAATTGGATGATCATGGTAATGGTGTAAAAGGCACATTTGTAATCTGATCTTCACTAATCTGATGTATTAAAGCCATGAGGTCGAATATGAGGCCATGTGTGTTGCTATTAATAGAAAACAGATGACTGAGACAAAGGACAGTTAAACAACAACATGAGGTTGATCGGAACCAAAAAGTTCAATAAAATGAGGAAACGTTTTTTATGTCGTAACAATCTCAAACTAAAGGCTCCTAAAAGGAAACTGAGTGCAATGCCAATTCCACTTAGACAGGATGTCATAAAGTGTGTTGGACAAATACACACCCACGTACACATTTGATGGAGCAACTTCTTACAAGAGAGTGCTGAGTCAAATTATTAGAGGCATAATGTCCTCGTTTACACTTCTGACGCAGTAACACGTGCATTTCTGCACGTGTCTTTGAAAAGGCAACTGTAGGTCAAGTTGTCAAAGTGCTGGACCAACTTTCCCCACATCGGTCTGCACACAGTCTCTGTTACTCTCTCCCTATTTTCACAGGCATGAAGTCATCTGAACTTAACATGCAGAATGTTGCGCTGTGAAGTTACGAGTGGGGATTATTATGCTTGCTTAGGAACGGCAGTGAAACAACAAGAATTGACAGTAACAGAAAACACAGTTTATCAGTTGGATTTATTGTCTCCACATTCAGTGGATTAAATAAGTCGGTCTTTAACCCTGAATCACGTGCTAGAGAATGACGCAGATCACGACTGTTCGACCAATCTTTTGGAAAAATATTTAGTAACATTCCCAATACTGGAAGTGTGCCATGACATCCGGAGGTGTACTTCTCTTTTGTCAGCGTGAAACACTAACCGACAGGGTTCCCTGCCAGCTGAAACCAGCCACTGTTGTCATCCTGTGATTATGTGGGTTTATCAGCTCGTCGTGGAGAATCTGTTGGTTAGAATTCCTCCTGCTGTTAAGCAACAGCCACTACCGCTCAAGCTGCCGGGCCGACGGCAGCCAGCGCCGTTGAAGGAGTACGTCCAGAACGATTTACTAATCCTCCCAGAGCAGATCTTGGCGTGTCAAGACAGAATTTAGAAACCACCAGGTCGGACGCTGCAGACCTAGCAGCCATGCAACTGGTCGAGCACAGTAGAAATCTGCCTCACAGGGATTCTGCTATGGCTTGGACATGTTGGCCACTTCCCCTCGACGCTGCAGGTAGGACTGAAGGTCCAGTCGAGTCGCTGGTGTTGCTGTTTAAGCTCAGTGCTTAAAGCGATTCCCTGTGTGCTTGATTTAGCAGTAGGCTGTCCAGTTTGACTACAGTGTTTTCCTTTGGGAATTTATCTATATTACCCGATTTATATTGAACGTTGAGGCCATTAGGTCCTTCTGAAAAAGACATTGTGTCAGTGATTTGTATTCGTATTGACTTGGTACGGACTGAATAATTTACTGAACTGTCCAGGAGCTCTTTTCTACAGTTTTATCCAGTTTCATCATCCCAGCTGGATTTGTTCTTGAACGAGAGCGGATGGTCCGTCTTTATTATTATTATTATTGTTAATAAAGCCAGTTGTGTGTAGTATGAATTTCAGGCTGGTGGTGCCTGAGAGGTTGTTTGGAGGGGATTCTTCTCTTCGCAACATCTCTTGTATTGGTGCGCTTCAAAGAGTCGGTCTACGTACTCTAATCACTTTGTTTTAACCTGTAACCCTTTCATTTCACTTAACGTATTTCTAATGAAAATAAAAAATATTGAGAAATACAATCTTGTTTTGCCTTCTCTCTTTTCCAGAATATGGCGGCCAGTTAGCCCGCGCAGAAGGATCTGAATCAGGCATGGCGTCGTCTTCCTTCTTGGAGCCCAACCTCAATCACTCCACAGCTGGAGGTTGTGGGGTTAAATCCCGTGCTGGGATTCCTGTGGGTACCGCTGTTGGTACCAGTGGCTCTGCTGCTGGCCTTGAGCGACCCTCTGGTTCCATGGACCGGGTCCTAAAGATCTTCCATTACTTTGAGACCAACAGCGAACCATGCACATGGGCTAGTAATATCAGGCATGGAGATGCTACAGATGTCAGGGTGAGACAAACGTTTCTTACCTTTCTAGCTCTCCATCGTCGGCATTTCCCTGATTATCACTTTTTTGCTCTGCTCATGATAACAGGGTGTCATCCAGAAGATAGCAGAGATCCACAAATTGCGCTGTGTGTCCTCTCTGGGCCTCCGTCTGACCCATCTGCACTCTGATGCACTCCATTGGTTACACCCTGATTTGGGTGTGTGTCATGTCCGAGAGAAATATGAGAAACAGCACCCCCAGGAGGAATGGAGGTAAGATTACATCGGTGGTTTACACTGTCTGCTTCGTCTCCCTCTCCATGTGCACTTTTTTAATAAGGTCTACTAGATCCAGCCGCAGTTTGATACATCAAGAGGCCACCTCTTCCTTAATGTTGTCCTAAAAGCAAACCGCAGAACATGGTGTTTAAGAGACCAACAATATAGTGATTACACCACAAATTGGCAACTTTACTAATTCCCCATTGGGCCGGAAAGGAGCTGCACTTAAGCTACAAATATACAACACAAGAGTGTTTTAATAGACCCGCCATACAAGAAATAACATAGGGTCCCAATAAAACCAGTCAATACTTCCAGTAAACATGAAAAACACCAGTGGGAATCACTGTGCACCGCCAGCAAAAAATATTGCAACCAAGATTGAATATTGCCCCTTTTTGCCGAGGTCCCTGTGAGGATTTTTGGTCCCGGTATAATGTGTTTTCTCATTCATCCGTGACGTTTACCTAAATTCAATCGGTCAAGGTGACTTCGCTGCACAGATTTATTCGTCTGATCAGGGTCATGATTTGCATGCAATGAGTCGTTTTCTTGCTGCTTTTGCAACCTATTATTAGACGGTAATCTTTAGAGCTTTATTCTTTATTTATATTTATTTGATGCAACAGAGCCATATGCCACATGGAGGGATATTGTCTGTTTGATGAAGGGAAATTAACTGCTAGTTAACTGAAAGCTAATCCGTCTGATTTTAACCTAGCATACAAACCATGCTGGTCCTTTTCACGTTCGATATTGTAAACCGCCCTTACAATTCAGTCCTTTTTGTCCTGCAGTTGATGTGTTACACCCGAAAGCATTCAAATGGAAATGAGCTGTTAACACCACTAACATGCAGCTGAGTGGCTCTGCCAGTTGTTGCAGCTTTGCCTCGTGGGGGACAGAACCGTGAGCCCACAGGAGCTTCTTCTGCTTCCAAGCTATTGTTAGAACGGCAGAAGTCGCCCAGGGGATGGACTGACTCTATGTCGCTCCGCCCTCGCGTGTTTCTCTTCGGTCTCGTGCTCTGCGCACAGTCTCTCTTTTTCCCTTTTGATCCTTCTCTCCCTCCTTCTTTCTCTCCCATCTGGGCTTTATATCTTACCCAGCTTTCTCTCTTCTGTTAAAAAAGTCTCTTCTGACATGTTCTCTTTGGTTCATTCATTATAGAACAAGTACATTTTGTACATTTTACCTTCAGCCTTGATTTCCTTTTGTTATTTAACATCAGGCCTATTGCATTACAACTGCTTTGGGTTCACCAGACTCCTGATCTATTTTTTCTCCACTGTAGTTCTTCTATATGTCAGACGTAAAATGATACGTCACAACAAACGATGCACTTTGGTATTTCTATGGCACGGCTAACTAGCCAGTGTAACAGCAGGAATAATGATTCTTTTATAGTATCAATTTCAGTTGGTTGCATCTCACTGGGCCACCAGACAGTAATGTTGTGAGTGAGATCAGCTTCAACACTGTGTTCCAGGCCCCTGTGATGGCAAACAGCCACTCTGCCCTGTTTCTTTTGTTCATTATCCATAAAACAGACTTGGTATTTGTGTAATCAGGAACAGGTTTGAAATGCATCCAGGTCTGTGTATGTGTCAGTTGTATGTATGAGTAAAGATTACCCTTTCTGTCTCAATACAAGCTTTGGATTTGGTTTCTACAGGTTATTGTATTCTTTGTGTGGGTGCGCGTGCTGGCGGTGAATATTTATCCCAAATTGTCTCTGTCATTCTCAGGTATGAGTTGCGGATGCGGTACCTTCCTAAAGGTTACCTCAGCCATTTCTCTGAGGACAAACCCTCTCTTAACTACCTCTATCACCAGGTGAGGCATAAACAAGAGGACACAGAAAGGCCTAAGCCTGGGCAAACAATACTAACTAAAAAAAATAATCTGGTATTAAAGGATATCACCAGCTCTTTGTCATTGGATCTGCTCTGTCACTTGCTCCCTGTTGCTTTTTGTATGGTTAGACAAACCATACCTTGAAACAGATTACTGAAAAGATACTTGAGTGACACAATTGATTCTCCTCTTACAAGGAACTGTGCTATAATATTATAGCAGGGTTGTTAAAGAACATCGGGCCTCACTCACTAAAATATTTCGAAGAATATTTCGACATGAGAAAAAAGAAGAAAAGTCAGATTCATCACGTGGTCTTACAGCTGAGTGGTTTGCACCTGTGTTCTTATCATACTGTAAGGCTCCATGATGACGGCTCTTGGTAGCCTAAAGCATCCCACGAGCTACTCGTCACTCCCTGCAAATAGATCGACATTGTCCTGGAAGATGCTCTACCTCCTCCGGGTACAATATGCATCATTCTGCAGCAGCAGTAAATATGCCGCTGTGCAAGTAGACTTGAGAAAAAAGGCCTACTCTGGGTCTGTAAATAGTATTACCGAACACAAATTATTGAATTGGATGTTTCTCAATAATATAAAACATGCATTTTTAAATAAATGGAAGTAATTGTAAAGACTGAGGCCCATTGTTTTGTTGCATTGTGTTTATACAGGTAAAGAGTGACTACATGCAACACATAGCTGACCAGGTGGATCAAGAAATTGCTCTGAAACTGGGCTGTTTGGAAATTAGGTGAGAAAATGACATCTGTTCTTATGCTACAATCGTTTATTTATCGTTTAAGAATTGATCTAAATAACTAAATAATGCTGTACTTTTGGTACTTTTATTACCTGCTTCTATCATAGCCGTTTTCCAGTGATCTAAAAAACTATGAATGACTGTTTAACCTTTTTCTGTGAATTCCGTAGGAGGTTCTTCAGAGAAATGCCTGGCAACGCCCTTGATAAGAAATCCAATTATGAACTTTTAGAGTAAGATTGCTTTTATCTGGTTCACACTGTCAGCCACATTGCCTCACATTTAAATTTTGTTTTTTTAGATTTATCCTATTAAAAGATAAATGGTTTTATTCTGTTATGTTTAGGAAAGACGTTGGTCTGAGAAGGTTCTTCCCCAAAAGCCTGCTGGACTCTCTCAAGGTGAGGATAAAATACTCATCGTGTAGCAAGGGGACAAGTGACTTTCATCTTCATCACTAACCAGCACACATCGTCTGCCATTTAAATTCAATTGCAAGATGACAGAAGTGTCAGCGGTGGAGACTCCTTTGGGAATTCTTGTCCCACTCACTCGGCCGAATGAGCTGACGGCTATTTGACGGCGCAGCAGACTGACTGGCAGAGAAACTAACCTGATGACAGAATGAATGTCGAATAATCTGATTGTCTGGAATCAAGTGACATGTGCTGTTGTCACTCGCAGTGTGCTTTGTCATTTCTTGGCTCAGAACCAACTTTCTCCCAGAAAGCATTGACCTGTGGAATTTTTTTTTTCTCCCACTCTGGCAGGCGAAGACTCTCCGGAAGCAGATTCAGCAAACCTTTAAGCAGTTTGCTAACCTCAACGATGAGCAGAGCATCCACAAGTTCTTTGAGATACTGTCTCCCATCTACCGCTTTGACAAGGAGTGCTTCAAATGTGCTTTGGGGGTAGGGCAACACTCAACAACACAATTCAGGAGGTCGAACCGATTCAGCTTTTAGAATGGAAGGTTCTCTTTAATTTATTTAAATACAGCTTCATTTAACTTTATTCTTGTTATTGTTACTATCGCCTACTGAATGCAGATTTTTCTCTCTCCTAGAAGGCATTTCCTATTAAAATATGTGAAAACAGATGAGAAGATTCAAATTGTTTATTCTATTAGTTAATTTTTCCATGTACCGTGTTTAGTAAATAATGCGGATGATATGATGGAATTTGACATTTATCTCCCTCCGCAGTCTAGTTGGATCATATCAGTGGAGTTAGCTATTGGACCAGAAGAAGGAATCAGCTACCTCACAGATAAGGGCTCAATGGTGAGTATGCAGACAACTCATCTCACAAGGTCCATCTATGTCCTTGGTGATATGGTGGTGATATAGCTGTTTAAAAATGAACTCTTTAGTTCATTAATTGTTTAAATGGCATCAGATTTTTCAGGCTAACCAGTCCAAAAGATTTTTCAGCACTACTATATGCTGCACTGGTGTTTAATGCTTACTGCTGCATACTAGATGTTTTTATTTTGAAGGCTAGATTGGCAATCTATCATAAAGCCCTCTGCTGGCTGTCCTCTCCAGTAGACAGATTTTCTCTTGACTCCACACTTGCCCAAATTAAAAGGAGTCTTAAAATGTCAGTGGTCAAGTCATTTTTCTTACAAAGCATATGGTACGAGCCGCAGAGAGCCACATGTGTGCAGTCACTATGTGATCCACACAGCTGCATTTGGGAGGTACTGACTGCACTGCCAACTCAAAATGCAAGAAACAGCTGGAAGCCTTTTTCCTCCAGTGCATAAATTGAGGTATTACATTTCAACTTGATGATGACAGGCTGTCAAAATGTCTCCAGTTAATTCGATAAGTCGATTCAGGGAGCGTGTCCCGTTTGGCCTTCATGCACACGTGAAACTCCCTTTTGATCATGTTGTCTTTCTCGGCATTTCTGCCCATTTCAAAAATAGATACATGACTGACTGGTGCCATGGAAAAAAAAAAAGGTCTCAGCCCTTGGCAAATATGTATATGTACATTATACAGTATGTGTTATAAAATGTTTATGTGTATCTGTCTTTGTCGTTTGCAGCCGACACACTTGGCTAACTTTAACCAGGTTCAGACCATCCAGTACTCTGCTTTGGAAGAGAAGGACAGGAAAGGCATGTTGCAGCTCAACGTAGCAGGAGCTCCAGAGGTGAAAAGACACTGTCACACCTTGCACTCAATGTTTTACTTTTTAATTGTAGCGTGATTCACTGTGAGATGCTGCCTGTCGTTTGGATAATGCTTGCAGTACTTCCTCAAGTTGTAGTTTAACAGCCAATCTGCAGTAAAAAACAATGCGGGGAAAGAAGGAAACCGCCCATTGGGAGGGTGAAGGCGGGTGTTGCCATCTGCACTTGAGTGTCGACGTGAGAGCGTCTGTCGAGAGGCTGTATGTCTGCAGAAGGCTTTTCTAGTGGGAAAGTGTGTGTGTGTGTGTGTGTGTGTGTGTGTGTGTGTGTGTGTGTGTGTGCGTGTGCGTGTGCGTGTGTGCGTGCGCGCGCGCGCGCGCGCACTGGTAGAAGACGTTACCCGTATTAAAGCTCTCACTGTGTCTCTGTGAAGCAACGCTCTGTCCCAATAATCCTGTGTGTGTGTGTAGCCCCTCACTGTCACCACGGCATTGCTGACTACGGCAGAAAACATGGCTGACTTGATTGACGGCTACTGTCGGCTCGTCTCCTCGGCTACTCACTCCTTCATTGTCAGAGTCCACAAAGGTATGATGCACCACTACTCTTACATTTTTCTCTTCACCATAGACCCGCGTTTGGGTCTATTCTGGCATTTTAATGGTTTTGTTTTGTGCAGTTAATGATTATTGGGATAATTTCTATGTTGTCTGGTAACTTTGAGCAACAAAATAATTCCTGTCAGCCATCGGATTTGGGATGATGAGGACTTTGCATAACCAGCCAATGTTTAGTTTGTCTTTTTTAAAATAAATATGGCTTCCAAGAACTGGTTACCATGATGCAGTGTGTTCCCAGTCTAATTCATGTATTTATTTTGTGTCTCCAGAGGGGGACAGAGCTCTGCCGTCCATCCCCAAGTAAGTTAACGGACCCATTTGGTCTCATCAGCTGCCTCATCAAGTAAAACCAATGTGTCTGTTTCCTGTGATAGAAGCAGTGTAGTCAAGTTTTACCTTCTAATTTCTTCATTTTTTGCTTGAGTGACAAGGCTGTCTTGCGCTGGCAATAGTAGTTATTTATAAGTCCTTAAATACTTGAATACTGGATTATATTTTGTAAAAGAAATAGATGTCTGTTTGTCTTTTTTTCTCGGATGTTCAGCATTCAAAATTAACACACATGACAGGATGTGGGAGGATTTTCATTCCTCTGGCTGCGCTGCGATCTTCATAGCGGCATTTTAGAGCTGCTTTGGGTTTAGATTAATGTGAACCCAAAAGGATTTTCGCATCTCTCTTCCAGAGTATCAAACCATGAGAGGCGGATGGAAAAACGGATGGAAGGAGTAAGGACCAGAGCTGTTTGTGTCTCAGGTATAAACCCCTGTCTCACTTTCCCTTTTCCCCGTCGCTCTGTCTCCCCCCCTGTTTGTGTTCCTGTCTGTGTGCCGCTTTAAATGTCACAAGTGGCAGTGACTGCTAGCAGTCGGATAAAGGGTTCATAGATATGTGTTCGTACCCGGTCCCCTCCATAAAGCCTCATCTGTGTGTGCAATGAAGAGTCCTTGTCTCGCCAGATGTCCCGGTGGAGAGCTTTAGTCACTGTCACTCTCCCTGTGTCGTAACTGTCTACTGACCTCTGACTAACTCAGTTACCCAGACTTGTAGGAAAATTGCCGTGGATATAATATCAAGTTATTTAATAACATCTGTGACCTTATTTGTTTTTCTCTTAACAGTGGAACTAATGCTCTATCTCCTGTGTGTGTGTGTGTGTGTGTGTGTGTGTGTGTGTGTGTGTGTGTGTGTGTGTGTGTGTGTGTGTGTGTGTGTGTGTTTCATGCTGCATGTGGCTTCTGCAGGTCACACTAGTGGCGATGGTAAACAATTTATTTTCTATTAACAGCCCTAAACTAGTAACTTAATGAATTTTCTGTGTCGACATTTAGCGCACTGTGAGTGTGTTGTATCTCTGTATCTCTTGTAAGCGTTTCAGCCCTTATCCATGACTCAACCTGTTATTCTTCCACTTGTTTCCCTGGAAAGAATGAACGTTTCCATCCCTCCCCTTTCCGATCCTGTGTCCGTCTCTCTGCCTCTTTTTATTGTACTCCTCTGTCCTACATCACTTGTGCGCAGCTGTTTTATAGTATAAGACAATTTAAATTGTTGCCCATGTGTTGGAATCCGGTATGGTGACGGTCTTTTGGAAAGGTACGTCTGTCTGACTGGTGGGGTTCTGTTATTGTTGCCATGGTCACTCCTTATTTGTCTGCCAAAGTGTGTTCCCGAAACAAAGTGTTTCACAATGACGACGGTTAATAATCGCAGTATTTCCTGAAAATCCAGGTGACTCAAAGAATTTATAAAAACGGGGCTTTTGGTTCGGGTTGTGTTGGATGCAATTGGAATGCAGTATCAAAAGGAAGCTTTATCTGTCAGCTTGTTTGAACACACATCTGTTTTTTGTGTACCACTAACTAAGACCCGATGCCTTTTGCCTCCCCACTTTGCTCTGCAGAAACGGACGACTATGCTGAGATCATAGATGAGGAGGACACCTATACGATGCCTTCAAGTAAGTTCCAATGCACATTGCAGGCAGTTTATTTGACATCTGGAAAAGGGCACAGGTCATCACTGTGCACCTGTGCGTTTGCGCCGGCGATCAGCGGACCTCTTCGGCCTTGTGCAGCACACCGTGTGTTCATTCTAGTGTCAGTTCCTGTGTGTGCAGGCGACAAGCTTGTCGAGGTGAAGAGGGGAGTGCGCTTGTGTTTATCAATTTAGACTAATTCATTGTGTGTCCTGATATCTCAATACATTAAGTTATTGCCCAGTCGCAGGCTTTATCTCAGCTCTTCAAGTCATGAATGTACACAATACCTAATGTGTTGATTAGTCAAGGGGAATGGCATCGTGAACTGTGGCGTGTTCAAATTAAAGTTGTTGTTGAGTATGGAGAGCAACTTCTGTAAAACATCTGTTTTGAATGTTTCATTTCTCTCCAACATATAGAAAGATTTACTGATACTGTGGACCTGATGCAGCTTTGAGTTAAACTATTTTTATATTGGTGGACTAAACAAGGACATAAATGACCGATTTTCCGTGGTTACATGTGGCGTCTTATAAAAGAGGAAACCACTTGAACCACTTCCTGCTTGGATATGAAAAGGTCTACAAACTGTTTGTTTTAGTGTGTCGTCATCAGCTTCCAGAGATTGCTTTGAGACATCTCGACAAAATGTTGACGTTACCTTAAACATTTAAAAAAATTGACTGCTAATCACTTTTATGATAAGCGTTTACTTTGTTAATTACATTAATTTAGAGGCTCTTGTATATTTATGGGAATTCTTATCTAAAACATGAAGAGTCGTAGGGCTGTTCATATACAACTCACTGCACTGCTAAGTCGTAATGCAACACACAGAGGCAGTGGATGTGAGTGCACCTTAACACGTAGCAGGGAAAGAAGCAGCAATGTTAAGTGACAGTCACTAAATTCTGCATTGAACAATCCTCAAACTATTCCCCTTTTGTAGCACAAGTTGTTCCATGTTTTTTCAATTTCAATGTGACATTGCTTTTTGCATAAATTATAGCTAGCACCAAAGTCCTGTGGACAGTTATAAACACAGAAGAACACAGAGAGAACGCAAGTATGCAGAAACGGAATCAATGTCACACCTACTTCAATTGTTAAAGACTGCAGTCGCAATTATTGATCTCTGTACTCACAGCTAGTCATTTCTGTCTCCTATCACTAACTCGTTTTCCCAGAATACTATGGACTAGACCAAGGTAATGATTGGAACGTTACATAAGTTTGGTTGTAGTGTGTTGGCACTTTGATTCGGTGGTTGTTGTGATCTTTATTTTATGTTTGCCTGCAACTGTGAAATAAAACTGAATGTATTTCAGCACATGTACCCACTTGATTTGACCCAGCCCCCCCTGTGGATGTTTGATGTGCTGTCAGTCTTGGGCTGAATTTTGACGGTAGCTTTAGAGCAGAAACCAAGTTGTTGGATAAGGATTGTGTTGTGTATTGCTGAAGCCCTTTTACACGTCAGGGTAAAAACTAGATGGAACAGTCCAAAACGTTTTATAAACTGTTTAACCAGGCCAGTTGACACGGAGCAGGAAGTTCTGTAAGAGGGAAGGGTTTAAATAGAAACATTTTAAACCAAAACCACTAAGAGTGTAATCTCACTCTATTGTTCAGCCGTAATGATTGACTTCTTTAAGGTTACATGAGCGACATTTAGAGGCAGGGCGCATTGATTTATAACCAATTGTGTGTCGCAAGCTCATTTCTTGTTTTTCCCATTTCTGTTTTTTTTTTTTTTGCAAAGCATAGTGGTCTCTAAAGGTCACACATGCGTTGAACATGTGACAACTGTAAACAGTATAAAAGAGATTTGTTAAATCCTGTATGCTTATGTATGCTATATTCATGCGCTGATTACATGGAAAAGTCTGGTCAACAGTGTCTGCAAACCTCCAGCCACTAAAGAGCCTGAGGTTTGAAGACCTATTTATTCTTATTTTCCTCAAAACTTCTAATAAAACGGAAAAAAAATTCTAGCCCTACAGAACCGAAAATTGAGAAGAAATCTGACTGCCTCAAATAAGAAAGAAAGAAAATAAATGAAACCCCCCTAAATCTGCCTGTGAGCTTTGAATTCCAGTCATTGTCTCACTATTGTACAATTCACCAGACATTCAAATGTGTCCATTTAAATTCATATGTCCACTGAGAGTTTCTGTTGTTGTCTGTGTTACACGGCATGTCTGCCTGTGGTTTGTTGGTGCTGCTGTTGCATGTCGTTGACATTGAGCTTTGTTGATTTTTGTTGCTAATAAAATTAAGCTTGTCAGAACACGAATGTGCACTATTCATCTGGAAATACAGGATAATTTTATTTGAATAGCTGCATGGCACCGCATAATGGTAGCCATCTCATTTGTAGGATTAAATATAAAAAATCAAGTTGATAAAGAAAATAATGAGTTTAACCTTTTTTTGCCATCAAAGACATATTTAAATAAACTGCACAAATGCTCTGACAAACTTAAATGCAAGGCTGACTATGAAGTGTGTGGGCACTAATGTAAAGGTCTTCTCACTCTGTGTGTCTGTGTATGTTGTGTAAACAGCACGCGACTATGAAATTCAGCGAGAATGCATTGAATTGGGACGCTGCATTGGTGAGGGTCAGTTTGGAGACGTCCACCAAGGAGTCTACATCAGCCCGGTACGTACAGTAGTCTCTCTCACACACACGTATCTTAATACCTGTAGGTCTGGATTCATGGTAGCTTTTTATCTGAATAATCTTATTAAAATAAACCAGTACTGATGGTCTTTAACAAATGGTTGAGTAAACATTTGGTAGCATTAAACCCTTCACTCACAAATTGGCTGAATTTAGTTTTAGATGAAATGTAATGCTGATCGTGTAGTTGAGTTGGAATATCTCCCTCGCAGGAGAACCCTGCTCTGTCCGTGGCAGTGAAGACGTGTAAGAATTCGACGGCGGACAGTGTCAGGGAAAAGTTTCTCCAAGAAGCATGTAAGTTCAACAGTCAGGAGTGCGCAGAATAGCCTTTTCGGTGCAGAAGAACTTGCAGGCTGTTTTTGAACCGAACCCCATTCATCTTTACCTGCAGTAACCATGCGTCAGTTTGACCATCCGCACATTGTGAAGCTGATGGGCGTCATCCCAGATAATCCAGTCTGGATCATCATGGAGCTCTGCACGCTGGGAGAGGTAGGACACGATTAACATGGATGTGTGCGTAGGTTAAAAAGCTTATTTAAGTATCACTGTAAACCGTAAAGCTCATTTTTCAATCGTTTAAAAAAAGAACAGCACAGTGAAGATATATATATATATATATATATATATATATATATATATATATATATATATACTTTTTTTTTAAATGTCTAGTTGTAAAATAGATTAACAGAAATATCCACAGTACATACAGCTACATCTTTCGTTGTCACTTTGCATTAGTGTATTATTCTCAACTGTGTTTACTGTAAAAATCCAAGTGATGAATAGTTTCTCAATTAGTAATAAATTGCATTTACTTTGGTTTAAAAAATAATCCTTCACGTTCAATATCGTATGTATGTTTGCATTTGTTTGTGATTTTGGTTCTTAGAGCAAATGGATTTTAGAGCTCTAGATCTCCACATCACCTGTTTTACTTTCCTTCCGTCCTCCATAGTTAAGGTCCTTTCTCCAGGTGAGGAAGTACAGTCTAGACCTGGCCTCTCTCATCCTGTACTCGTATCAGCTCAGCACGGCACTGGCATATCTGGAGAGCAAGCGCTTTGTGCACAGGTATGCATCACCGTCTTCCAAACACCCATAATACCACAATATTTTACAATGATAAAAGGCACCACACGATGGAAATGAAGTCAAGTAACATTAAAATGAAATGTGTGTAGTGATTAATTCAATAAATGAAAGAATATTTATTTCATGTCAAATAGACATTTTCTGTAAAAACCACAGCTCAGCGTTGCCACCTACTGGAGAAATGACGACATGTGTGTGATATGTTGGAAAGCATTGTTCCTGATTCTTTGTAGATGGCTCATTAGAAGGAGGGACACTGGTTATTTGGTTATAGGCGACTGTGGGTGAGTGGGGAGCACGGTCGTCCTTCAATCAGAGGGTTGTCGGTTCGATCCCAGGCTCTGCTGACCCGCATGTTGATGTGTCCTTGGGCAAGACACTTAAGCCAACATTGCTCCTGTAGCTGTGACTACTGTGTGTGAATGTTAGTTACTGATATGCAGGTGTCATTGTGTACGGTTCTCCTGTCATCAGTGTGTGAACTGGTTATTTGGTTATAGGCGACTGGGTGAGTGGGGAGCACGTCGTCCTCCAATCAGAGGCCTGTGTATGGTTCTCCTCATCAGTGTATGAATGGGTGTGAATGGGTGAATGATGTTATGTAGTGTTAAAGCGCTTTGAGTGGTCAGAAGACTAGAAAAGCGCTATACAAGTACAGTCCATTTACCATTTATTTGCTGTTTGTTTTATATGATGTTTCTTTTCAGAAGCTACATAAGACAACAATTGTTGTCAAAGTGTGCGCTCACTTTGGATTTGTCTTCCTCAGGGACATCGCCGCGCGGAACGTCTTGGTGTCTACAGTTGACTGTGTAAAACTTGGGGACTTTGGTTTGTCTCGATATATGGAAGATAGCTCGTATTATAAGGGTAAATGCAACACCGCCTATAATTGCGACCCGTCTCTGTCATAACACCATCATAATCACTACTGTCGTTAATTGGACTGACGTGAACTGAGCTGATCATCTGATTTTTCAGCATCTAAAGGTAAACTGCCCATTAAGTGGATGGCTCCAGAGTCCATTAACTTCAGGCGGTTTACCACAGCAAGCGACGTCTGGATGTTTGGTGAGTTTAAGTCTTTGTTTTCTTCTTTCTTTTTTAATTTCTTCGGTGGATTTGTACCAGGCTTTTAATGCTGCGTGGTTTGTAGTTTTACGTCTGACTTTAGCAGTATTAACGAGCCAATAGGTGAATGTCTCCGTCTCTTGCAGTGAGTGAGTTTTTCTGCTTTCCCGTCCTTCCACCAGGTGTCTGTATGTGGGAGATCCTAATGTTCGGCATCAAGCCTTTCCAGGGTGTGAAGAACAACGATGTCATCGGCAGGATAGAGAACGGCGAGCGCCTGGCGATGCCCCCTCAGTGCCCTCCTACTCTCTACAGCTTGATGACAAAGTGTTGGTCGTATGATCCAAGCAAGAGGCCACGCTTCACCGAGCTGAAAACACAACTGAGGTATTTAATAGAGTGCGGATTAAATGTCTCCGTGTGTGTGTGTCTCGCTGAAGACGTGTATTCTGAATTTGGTATTGTTGTTGTGAAGAGTAAGTTTCAGTTCTCAAATAGTTTGTTTTCTCGTGCCTTCCTAACAGCAGATGTCGCTGTCTGTGCTGGTAATCTAACAAGAGGAATGAGGCCAACCAAAAGATAGAGATTATACTTTTAAAATCAAGCAATGTATTTCGGTCTTTATTTATGGTTTATGGTCATACATCACCAGTGTCCTGAATATGTGCATTTGGAAATAATTACAATATGACCATAATTTATCTGCAGTCAAGTCATATAGACTTCAGCCTTACACTATTTGAGTTCTACATTGTTTTGCTTGATTCCATTTGATTGTGATCCCGTTCCTCCTTAAAGCTGTTCACATCTATAGTGGATGGAAGATATAGGATTCCTAGTACATCAGTGCTACTTGTTTTATCATAAACGTGGTTTCTACATGGTTTAACTCCCTCAGGATAAACCTGAATTCTGATTTATAGTGAGTGTTTCTTTTCAAATGTACAAATAATAATCAAACTGTACAAATAATTGATTCAGACTGCACTTCATCTCCTGTTTAGTCTAATGGCCGCATAGTTGGCATGGTAACATGGATGTGATGATGACAAAGAGATTAAATAATATCTCGGTCACGCCTCCTTGACTAAACGATACATCACAACACCTTTGTTTCGAGCTTTGCCCAAAGACATGGATCTTTCCAGAGATACTCTCCCACACGCTGAGATCAGATAAGACAAAGCAAGACAAGACTGTATACACGTCAGACACTGTTGCGTCAGTACATTGTCACTGATATTCCCTTTAAGACAGGAAGAGTCTGACCTATTCATGAGTCATATTATGTCGTACTTCATTCAATGAAGAGAAGTTTGTGAACTAATTCATCAAATGGAAATTAAATGAAATGAGAGTCGCACTCCTTCGACCCTCCGTCTGACAACCAGCAAAGCTAACGTGTGTGTGAAGTGATAGTTAATAGTTAGCAGTAAAACTATTAACATTTCAAAGACGAAATTGAACAAGGGAAGGGCACCTTTCTTTTTCAACCATTAGGGAGCTTTTCCCACCAACAGTGACTCAACAATTCATAATCACACAGACACGAACAGACTTGCAGTTTGTGGGAAGTAGCGCTTCAGCTGGAAACGTAGGAGAAACAAACGGGAGTGGTGCTGGTAGTGATGAAATAACGTTTGGAGGGCTGCTGTAAAAGAGTGCAAACTGAATCTCTGTGGTAACAGTCAATGAAGCTTATTTGCAACACAAATTGTTACTTGGGTTTCATATTCATTTAATTAACTTCACCTCAGTGTAGCCGTATATACCAGCTCTGTTTTTCTTTATATTATTCATTTAAAATGATCATTTTATTGTTTTCAAATTGTCTAAAATGCTTGTCCAGTGTGTTTTACAGATATAAATATTCAATATACTTCTAACAAAAAAAAAGTAATGATATCTACAGTAAATATTACTGCCAACATGTCGACAGTGCTATTTCGGCTCTGTTTTGAATCAATACATCAGATTTATTGTTTCTTAAACATAACAATAGTATTCTGTTAGCTTAATTATATTTACAAAAAAACAACCACAACAGATTCTGGAGCTTTACACAACAAACGTGTTCCCTCCTTTGTCATTATTATCTACTTCCGTTTATCATCTACAATATTATGTTTTCATACTATGTTTCCAATCACTCAAAATTGAATTTACATGTAGCGTTCGTATTGTACATTTTGACGTTTAGTTAAACAACAGGAGCAGCCAGATGCCATGTTTCCTGCTACATGCACATTCCTTCTCCTGTTCTTTCTCACTCACACAGAAACAGGAGATTAAGAGCACAAATTCAACTCCTGTGGTTTTTATTAGTTCGCTTAAAACCAGCATGACTCGCACCTTAAATTCCCCCTGAAAGTACCTCTTTGCCTCCTTTTCAAAATTATTTTGTTCCCAATCCCGACCTCCTGATCATGGAGGGAGGGAGGGAGGGAGGGAGAGAGGGAGAGGGAGGGAGAGATTTTTGCAGTACTGTACTCTCCTAGTCAAAGGTCTGGTGCCGCTGGCCCATCATCATTTTAGTGGCTGCATTATTCTCCTAAAAGGGTTTGACTGGAAATACTGCGGGGCTGTTGGACGACCTGTAGTTAAGGTACAGTATTGTCTCTATGTCCATGCCTTTGTCTCATCAGGCTTTTTGTCCTTAGAAGTAAACCTTCTGTTTAGAAAAATGTGTGCCGACGCACTTGAACCCAGATGTCTAAATCCCTGGCGCTCCGTGGTCGATCAGTAGCAGGTTATACTGGGCAGGCTCGCAGGTGAAAAGATAAAACCCCGCAGAGATTGTGGAGGTTTTGCCCCCAGCCTTAGTAAAATAATCTAAAACAGGGCCTCGTTATTCCAGGTGGCAGCGTGGTGTCGGTGGGGGAGGAGACGGGCAGCTTTGTGTTGCCAGGTGCTGATGTTGTCATTGTCACACATACCTGTGCATGATGTCATATATATTTTATCTGTGACTTGTTAATCATTGGCTTTTCGAATACACGTGCAATAAAAAGGCCGTTGAGGTACAGAACTATAAGTTACATTTTAGAACTGATATCCACTGTGATGCAGTCTTTGATTTTTAAGTCTGGATATAGTAAAAAGTAATGGATTCTATCTATTCTCAGTGCACAGTATTCATTCTAGACAATTATGATATTGGTATGAACATAAGATACACAATACTACTGATACCTACCAAAGATTAATACTTTCAAATGTATGTTTACTGCTTAAGAATTACAAAATGATGTAATTTTTTATCCAAGCAATATAAATTTAATACATACTATTTTTAACTAGTAATTTATATTGTTTTCATAATTCAATGTATTGAACGAAGGCTGGAGAGAAGGACTTGAAGGGAGACAGATTTTGACAGGTGCAAGGACACAGACACGCGCGCACACACACACACACACACACACACACACACACACACCATGCAGGAAATAACAGAACAGGAGGGTAATGACGTGACTGGAATCAGCCTTTACCCTTGTTGGGGAAAAGAGCGTGGAAGCAGTGTGTGACTGCGTGTACTGGATCGTTTAGCAGCCGTTTTCCCAGAGAACAGGTCAGTAAGGATCATTTTAGTAAATTCAGTGTGGTATCGTTGGCTGCATTTGACCTAAGAATGTTTGGGGCGTGGGACTTTGCTAAACCTACAAGTGATTCATTTAATGTTAAGCAATATTACTCACAAAGTAATCTTCAACCGCTTTAGTTCCCGTTAAAGATTTGTACACTGAAAACCGATGACATCGGTAGTTTGTGTGAATATTAGTCAGCTTTATTGTGAATGAGGTCTCTACTTCAAAGTATTTAAAAGGTTGGATGAGTAAACCACGATGGACCATGTTGCAGCACAGACTCAGAGTCATATCACACTGGCTCAAATTGTTTTCATTTTTACGCTCATGGATTTGCTCACTGAATATTATTGTCTGTTGCTAATCTGTAAAGGTAGTAAGACACAATGAGGGACCAATAAGACGTAATAAAATTATTTTTTTATTATAGTTTTTAGTTTTTTATGTTGTGTACAAACATTTGGAGGAATGGTCTGTATGTCTGTCGTGAGTTTGTATTACAGCTGACCATCACGGCGACGTGTGGGTGTGTGTTTATGGGATTATCCGAGTATGTTGGGGAAACCCTTTGACTGGCGGTCGTATAACAAGGAGCGTGTGTGTGTGTGTGTGTGTATGTGTATCTTCAGAACGGACTTAGTTTACAAAACGGGTCAAAGTGGGCTTTGCTTGCTGAGGAGACGGAGGTCCTTCGAGACGACGTGAGGAGCAATATCATAAAACAGTGAATAAAGATAAAAGGGGAAGCTCGGCCTTGGTCCGCCCTCTTGATTCCATGGAAGAGGAGGGTGAGACGGAGGCGTTAGTCATTTACGAGCCGGACCGCGATACCCACAGTGCACGAAGGAGCGCTGACGCGTGTCATTCACTGCAAAAGCATTCAGACAATAAGAGCAACTGGTGCGTGAGCGAAAAGTGTATAGTGTGTATGCACACTATACACTTTATGTATTAAGTATCGAGAAAATTGAATGTTCCCAGTCTGTGATCTATAACGTTCTCGTGTGTGTGTGTGTGCGTGTGTGTTTGTGTGTATATATTTAAGGTTAAAGTATTTAGTGAAAAACATTTTATGCATATTTTAAGTACAATTTTTAGTTTTTCATTTGTTATAGGATATCAAAATATATTTTCCGTTATGGTTAATTTCATACCTTGCCTTAAAAACAATGTCCTAATACAGAACTATTTATCTAGTCTAGTGTTCTATGCCGTATGTTTATTTGCGTTATTGAGAAAGTAACAGAAGCCACTATATCTACTTAAAGAAGGTGACATTTCCCTGGAAAAAAAAGGCGTCAGTATCTTTTTTGTGTTACATGGCTGAGACGGACTCCAGCCCCCCCGCGACCCTGTGTGCAGGATAAGCGGTGTGCAGATGGATGGATGGTAACACTTGTTTCCTTGTTTCCAGCACTATTTTAGAGGAGGAGAAGCAGCAGCAGAAGGAAAGGAGCAGGATGGAGATGAGGAGACAGGTCACTGTTTCATGGGACTCTGGAGGGTCTGATGAAGCGCCGCCAAAGGTAAGAGACCACCACACCTTGTGTGTTTGTGTTTCCGTCGGCCCGTCTTGTACGAGTGCAAACGGTGTAGTAACAAAGAGTTTGAGTATCTGCCGTCTCTGTGCTGTTGGCAGTCCGACGCCCTGATCGTCCTGAGTCCCACGCGCTATCCAGCTTCCCGTCTGATATGCTTTCATGTGGTGTTGTATACTTTGCTGCATCATACATGATTCTAAGCTGCTGATGTTAAGCCATTGAAATAATTCAAATATGGACATATTTGAATCAATATTTCATCTTTTTGCACCAGTCTGACGTCACTTGTCAGGGAGGTTTTTTTATAATGACAAAGGTTTAAGAAGACAAAATGCTGAGCTTTTGACTCCAGGCTTTTCAAGAAAGCGTGTCAGCAGCATGAAGCTCAGTCCCGTGTTAAGGTGCTAACATACGGCGGTTGAACCTGTGACCTTTTCCAGCTTTTGTCTAAAAAATAAGTATTATTTTTGTCAGTGTGTAAGCCTCTATTCTTCTCAGTGTGATGATGATTGCAGTGGAGAGGTTACGGTTTGTATTCGTTGCTGGGTCTGTGTGCGCCATTGACCACATTTATTTTACACACGTTTTACATGTTTGCAAATATGTCATTACTTCTTAAATGGTTATTAAGTCCATAAACTCCACCCCAACTCCCACCCCCACTTTTCCACATCACAGCTTGTTGCCCCAGCTGCTGGCTGCCTCACCCTCCCTCCCCGGCCCCCGTGCCCCTGCTGTTAGCATCTGCTAACTGTTTCTTAGGTTAAAACTAATGCCGTATGTCTGGAATGGTGTAGTTCACACAATTTAGATATTACTTATTTTAAGTAAGCAGTTGAACTATTCCTTTTATTCAGATTTTATTTAATTAAACTATATGTGTTTTATTTACTTGTCAACAAAATGAGTTGTAGTGTCTTCCAGGGAGGGAAATGTCATTTTGCTGAACAGTGTGCTTCAGAGGCACTGTGGCTTTATGGTCATAGTTATATTATATTTCTGTCTGTGCTTCGACCCTTCCGTCTCACCTGTCTGCTACATATCTCTGTCTCCCAGGTTACCTTTATTATTTCCATACGTCCGTCTTCTACCTTTTGTCTTTCTGTTTGCAGCCCAGCCGTCGTCCCTCCCCGCAGCCCACCTCCAGTCTGGATTGTCTGTCTGCTCCTTCGCCTCACTACCATTGCCATCCAAACCAGTGCTTTGCCTCACAGCTTTCCCTCTGCTTTGGAAACCCTCATCCTTCGTCTCCCTTCACCTCTTCCCACCCCCCCAATCCTCCGATCTACTCATCAGCTCTGCAACTTCGCCAGCACATTTCCTCTCCTCACACTCAATCGCCTCCTTTTCAAAAGATCCCTTTGCACAATAGCTCCCTCTCTGAGAACAGCACTAAGTTCCAGTCCCAATCCAAGGCCAGCTTGTCCCTACAGTCACAGACCAACTTGTTCTACGCTCCTTTGAGCAGGTAAGAGAGCTTTTCAAATTGCAGCTGCCCCCCCGAGACAAATCCCACGCTAGTAGCCACTTGCTCTGTTCATCCCAGCCAGAGTCAAACAGCTCTCCCTCCCAGCACTTCTGCCGCTTCTCCCCACTCCTTTCCCGGTCCAGTTCTAACTATAACTCTCTGGCCCACAGCGTGTCAAAAATGTGTCCCCACACCCTGCAAAACATCCAGCCCAAGTCAAACTCTAATCCCAAAAGCCTGCTGTTGGGCAATTTTCACAGTGGCTGCCCTGCTGACCCCAGCACCGCGGTACAACCTAACTCTGACCCGCAGCACCAACCCCCCGCTGTGCGGCCTTGTGGGAGGCCCCCGCTGGTCCCTCCAGCCGCCCTCTCGCACCCCTCCGCCTGCACTCTGTCCTCCGCTCACCACCGTCCACCGGGTCGAACGCCAAGCCTCCCCGTGAATGGCAAAGCACCTTTCACCATCTCTTGCTCTGAAAGATGCATTTCTAGATCTTTGAAGGCAGGTGGCGTACTGTTGAGCTGTTTTTAACTAACTTATTTGTCTTCATCCAAACATTTGCAATGTGCAGGATTATGACATCTTTCGATACAGATCCACGGTCAATGATTTACAAAACCCAGAAAAGATCAGCTCGGCCTGCAGAGAAAACCAGATTATATACTAGTGGTGGACACATTTCTTCCTCCTTTGTAACTCTTTTGAATGTCGGACATTGATATTAGAAATACTACACAGTTTGACAAACATTTTTTGATCAGAAGATTCAATAACTCAATCCGATCTTAATATAATTAACTGAGAGTGGTGATTTTGATACAATGCTTGCCAGCACCATTGACAATAAATGAGCATGTTTGTTATTGGCATGCTTTGTTTATGTCAGACCTGCAGGTTGACTGTACTCGGGCATTGTGTTGATGTGTCCTTTGATTATTGCACCCATCCCCTGGTCAGGATTCTTACTAAAAATTCCTAATCCCTTGTCTAACATTCAAACCTATCAAACACACGTGGTCTTAGATATAGTTTATTAATCATAAGCAAAAAATAAATACTCTCAAAATGAACCCCAAAAAATCTCTGTGTTCTCATTCAGACGTTGCTGGATTTAAAATCAAGTTACGTGTTGATTATTTTACACAAGCTAGAAACCAAAGTTCAAAATGAATGCGTTCATGTAATATGGCACATTTTTCCACTCCCCAAGTCCAGGGACACGGCCACGTTCAAGAGCAAAGGGTTTCAAGTGTAATTCAATATAATACCGTTGGTCTGTGTTCTTTACCAAAATGTCTCATTGAATTATTTATGATATACTTTAAAAGCAGAAAGTGGAGCCCAGGATTAAGAGAGTAACTACATGAATAAAGTGCTACCTGAAGGCCTCATACAGAGCTGCCCCTTTGTCACCTCGGCCTAATGCTGTAGTGTCACTGCAGGCTTGTTTTGGTCAGTGACTCTTTTTGCCCCCCCGCTCAGCTTTAACATCAACACACCCGCTACGTGTAGGCTTCTGCTAGGAATTGTGACTTGCAGTGCTGCAAAGCCCATTAAAACATGAATCGTCAAAGAGAATACTTTTCACACCGGCTTGAGATTAATGATGGAAACATAACGGAAACAAAACTTTCCGACAGTTTGGCCCTCAACTAGATCGGACGTGAAATCTTCACAGCAGCTACAATAAATTCCTTTCTTTTTTGACTGCGCTGTGACCCTTTTTGGTGATGGATGAGTCTGCGTGGGAGTCGGCGGTTTTAATTACGCTGTGCCACTCGACATACCTAAAATTCTTCCAGACAGAAAAACTTGTCTCACAACGCGTTTAAGAGCCGCTGTGCGTCCAAAATGTACTGCCCTTAAATGTTGCATTTTATTTTTTTTATTGGCATAATCTGCTTAAATGCTCAAATAGTTAAAAAAAAATCACTAATCATTGTTCTTAAACAGCTGCTTCTTCTCCTTGCCGTTAGATGGCGCACGTTGAGACATTTGTGTAAACTGCTTCTGCTGTTTTGCCAATAAGTGGCGAGCGCTGTGCGAGGCCCTGCAGCATTCATCTGGTCATTCATCCCAAAGTCTCCATAGCAACCAGGTTCTGTCCCCACTCCGGTTTGACCATCCTGTCTCAGTAACTCTGACCCTTCCAGTCTGTCGTTCTTGTGTCTTTCCATTTTTAAAACGGGCATTGCCCCCAAAAACCTCCCTCCGCTCGGATTGGTTGCCGTAAGGGCTGTGAATCTGTTGGGACAGATTCAAACTGTGTGTCCTTCCATGTGTGAGCATGTTCACAACATGCTGTACGTTTTCCCTCTCTGTCTGCCGGAGGGGTTTTAAAGCTCCCGTTTGTCTCGTCCTCAGTATCTTTGTCTTGTCTGCTTTTCTTTGTCCTCCCTTCCTCCTGTTCTTCCTTTTCTCCTTCCTTGCCTCCCTTTCTTTGCTGTCTGTTTCCCTGTGTGTCTTTGTGTCGGTCTTGCTGTCGGAGGTGTGGTCCAGAGAAAGCTACTATGAGAGACTGTGGAAGGTAGAGGTTACAACACTGTTGTTATAGAAATGAGCTCTTAAAATCATGAGGACAAATGTCTCGCGTCATTCCAAGAGGGAAAACTCTTTAACTTCCAACAGCTCCATCACCAGAAAACCAAGAGAAGAAACAAGGTTGTGGGTTCACCAAGCACTTCTGTTTTTAGCTACTTGTGCCCAACAAAGGAAAATAAAAGAATAGACATGAGTTGCAGACTCACTCTCCTCTACTATATTATTTCCCTTTAGCCCCACATTGAAAATACTTCACCCCACACTTTGTTCATCGGATGCTTCGACAACCATACATGTTTTTCTTCCAATTTAGAAATAAAGAAATGGAGAAATTGCTTGAAAAGAAGGTCTTTGGTGAACGTGCAACCCTGACATCCATTTACTCATCTGCATCACGTCTAATCATAGGTCTCATTAGTCCAGCAGTGTTAAATATAATATATACCTAATCCATGGATCCCAATAATTCATCTTTGTGACCGTAGTTTGTGTCACTTCAACTAACCGCTTGCTTGAGTTGCAGCCCAGTGGGTGTTTCCTGTTTTGAGTGACAGCTAACCCAGCCACACAAACAGCTGCGAGGGGTTTGTGTGTTGATTGTCTGAACGACCCGGTGGCCCTTCTTCTCACGTTCCGCTTGCGGGGGGGATGAAAAATAAGGTCATTTTACTAAACCTCTTTCCTTCTGTCTGTCTGTGTGTCTGTCTGTAGCCGAGTAGACCAGGCTATCCCAGTCCTCGCTCCAGTGAAGGTTTTTATCCCAGCCCCCAACATCCTGGACACTACCAGGTACGCAGACAAACTCCTCTGACTGCTTTTTTGCTGCTGATGTTCTTGGTATAAAGTTGCATTTCTATTTCCAATCGGCGGCGGTTTGGGCGGAAAGATGTAATCAAAAGAGCACTGGCAACCGGGCTAAGAGTTCCTATTGTCCTTCTTTCCTGGATCAGATGGCCGGGTACCCCGGCCCTCACACCCTCCCCTCGGTGCCCAGTGCCCTGTACCCCCCACAGGCTACGATGCTGGACACACACCACGCGCACACGCACCCCCGCCACCACGTCCACTCGCACGCTCAGCACCTCCCACATCCACATGGGCACGACATGGCACTATGGGGCTCTGCGATGGAGGTAGGAGACAAATCGCACACACACACACACACACACACACGTATGCACACACAGGATTGCTGTTTTGGACGCTGCCGGTTACTTCTCTAGCTCTCAAAAATCAAATCAAAAGGGCCAGAAGAAGCCTTCCAAAGGATCCAGTTTAAAAACAACACACAGCTATTCCTCTATCTCCACTCTGGGTCTCTATCATAATACTAGTAGCATTACAGGCTACGTGAAACAATACTGTGAAAAAGTTCAAGTCCTCGCAAAGTTGCACAATAATTAGTATATGGTGAAAAGCAATTGTCCATCTCCAAGTGTGTGTCCATCATCTCAGTTAAGACGCTCAACAGTCTGGTGTGTGTGTGTGTGTCTCTGATGGTCCTTTTGTGTGTCTATGCGTGTGTGTCTGTGACTGTGCGTTCGTCCATGTGCTGGTGTGCACGTCTGTGGCAACACTTGTCTTTTGTTGCATGCTTGCACTTGTGCGTGTCTTCTACGTGTGTGCGTTCAGGACAGGGCAGTAGACATGCAGCAGTGTGTAGGCCAGCAGTGCCTGGTAATGGAGGAACAGCTGATGATACAACAACAGCAGATGGAGGAGGACCAGAGGTGGCTGGAGCAGGAGGAGAGGCTTCTGGTAACACACAATGCACACTCACAGATACGGCTGATACAACGTGACCGTACATTTGACTTCTGTCTGTTAGTGGCTTGATGTTGCTACCGTGAAATTATAACCAAGATTATTGCTTATCTTTTACAAGTGAATTGCAAGTTTCGTCCTTTTATATTTATCACCAGGAAAACGTTACTGCAGAGTAAAGTAAAGTAAAACATAGAAAATAGCTACACTTTAAGACACCTTAGTGCCTGCATCGTGCAGCTTCTCTCATGCGTGGTACCGTGTGTTAGCGGTGTCCGTGATGCAAAGCTTACTTTGTTGTCATCTTTGACTTATCAGTGGATGTTGTGGATGTATTTTTATTTCGTGTTGCATGTTGTTGTTCTTTTGTTGGAGGGTGCTCTGAAGTACTTTTACTCATTAGATTTAACGTGTGTACAAAGAGTTTCTTACTAATCAAATGCAAAGGATGTGATTTTGATATCACGGCAGTTATTTTAGAGAATAATAATCTTATCAATACTCATTCCTCCTCAGCTGCAGTATGTTTCAAGTAAAAAGCATTAATATTTCAAGCCTGCTAAATTTCATCAGAGCAAGTTATTAAGCCCTCAGGGTTTCGAAGGGCGGCTGTCATGGTGACCTCGCTCTGACCTTCAATGATGAGTGAAACTAAAAAATGGAATTCTGGGGATTATTTGATAATAAACTAATTGGGAACTTAAAATATTAATGTTCTCCGAGGTTACAATTGTTTAAAAATATCTAGGTTTGTTCATTTTCTTTGCTCACACGATTGGATATGATCAGAGTCCTTTTATGCACAGGGTCTTAGTCTTTGAATTTAAGCATTATACTGTCGGAGCCAGAGCAGATGTAGGCAGGTGTGGCCTGTGTGAATTCCAGGCTAATGATAGGCTTAGACGATCTGACAGCCCAGTCAACAGTTTGTCTTTGACCCACTGCCACTGACGGCCAACACACAAGATCGCTGAAAACATGTGTGCGCGTGCGTGTGTGTGTGTGTGTGTGTGTGTGTGTGTGTGTGGTTGATAAAGGCTGGCTTTTCTTTTAACATTGTCACTTCAGAGGGGGGGGGGGGAGTAGGCTAAACCTGCTCACACAGGCGAGCAGGACGGCTCATTGGCAGCGTGCTCCATCCCTCCTCCTCCTCCTCCTCCTCCCGTTCCCTCTCTCCATGCGTCAGAGTCAGATATAAGTATGCTGGAGGCAGGAAGCTGGATCGGAATCAGAATTCCTGTCTTGATGAAACTGCCGGCACAGACTAGTGGACAGACAGACGGAGAGAGAGAAACAACCAGATCAGGACCAGATAGCGACGCAGACTAAACACCTCAAACCACTTGGATTCATCAGAGGACTTTGATGAACTCAAAGGCAATGCTGGTCTTCAAGTCTTGTCTTGGAAAACTGGTAGGCACGGAAGGGTGTGAGAGCTTCAAGGGTTTTGGTGTACGTGTGAGCTTGTATTTGGCCGTCGAAGTTGCAGAATTGTAAACCGGGTGTTAAATGTAAAATGAAAAGTTGTGCTTCTATTGGAAAGAAAATGTGTTTTGTGTAGGACAACAACGTCAAAACTGCAGCTTAGTACAATGTGTTTTTGCAGGGAGACAATGTACAGGGAGATGTGTACAATGATTATTAAAAAATGTTATGTGAGGCCCCTGCTGTGATTCACGCATTCATTTCCTCATTCATATAATCATTGTCGTATTTACGATTAAGGTTCAAAGTTTTGAGAGTCTGTGGCTTTTTTGCCCCGGACAGCGTGCAAACTGCCATTAATTGAATAATTACTGAGAGCCTTTTGTCGGGTAAAATGGCTTCATGTGGGATTCCTCTGTTCGTAGAACATGTTGTTCTAAACACTCTCAAGCGAATGAGTAAAAGCACTGGTTTGAGCGACTGAGTTTGCACCATATGATGCACCTAACATGTGACTTACCCTGAGCTGATGGCACGCCGTGAAAGGGTGTTTGTCTCCCACAATTCACAACTGCTTGTAAAGATACTATGAACTATCATTGAACTATGGACATTTTATCTGTATTTGTGTGTTTAGAAACCAGACTCTAGAAGTTCCAGAGGGAGTCTGGACAGAGAAGACGGGGGACTCCAACCACCAGTAAGTTACTTTCTGCAGCTGTTTTCTATCTGCTACCGTCTCACTGTTCGTTGATGTTGTTCATAAATGCAAAGCAACAGCCGTGGCTCATAGACTCATTTAGAAGAAAAGACGTTTTGAGACGTACTACTCTTTTTAATTTAAAATCATAAACATTTTCCGCACCCACCGCATCAAAAAGGTTTGTAATTCTTCTGAATCGGTTGTGTTTTTAAGAGTGGACGCTGTCTGATAAAGAAAATTGTTGACAGAAGTCCACCTTTTGGTTGGACTCGCTGCAATTGGCTGCAGCATGTGTTTGTTTTGATTAGAGCTAAGGGTATTGATCCAGGGACGGGAAGTGACCTGTCAGGGGTCGGGTCAGTAACGAGGGTCAATGGATTCCCATAACATCGCCAGTTATTAATAGAGCGCCGTTTGAAGAAAAGAAGCAGCCGTTTTTATTGTGTCCCAGCCTTACTCGTGAGACTGCACGCTGGTGGTTTGTAGTTAAACGTGTTCTGCTCGAGTCTGTGCATTGATAACACTTTCTGCAATGTCAACAGTACCAAATGAGGAAGGTGTGGTGGATTTATAGTGATCTCGAGAAGAACACCCACTTGCAGGTGCTGCAGAAAGCATGCATGTGACTTTAACAGGGTGATGTTTTAGCCTGTTGATTATTTGTCGAGTCATGTCAGTCAAGTTTTCAGCTTTTTTTAATTTATTTTTTTAGGTCTTTGACATTTTAGACACCCAATGATTATTGTTTACTCAAGTACCTACTAATCAGATCTTTTAAAAAGGAAAATGTTCTGTAGCTATCCCCGTAGTCACATGATGTGCAATCCTGCAACATGATCAGTGTTCCTGAAGGAAGACATAATTTCTTTGCTTTTCCCTTGTTTTTGAATACAACAGTTAACAACATTCTTTTTGTTTTTATTTGAGCACTGGGGTGTAACTGAAAGGATTTACAATGCCCGATTTCCACTTGCACCACCTAGTTGTGGTTACACGCAGTTAAGCCCTCTAAAATAGTTCGACACAGGAGGCATTGAAAGGTAACTTCATCGCCTGTTTCCTCTCGTAATGTTTTTCTTTTCAGAGGAAATGGAATCACTATGTTTTGCCTCAAAGCATTTCTATGATTACGTTTCTTCCACAATCTGTACTATGTTACGTTCCCGATGCCAGGAGAAGTTGTTTTAGCAGTCTGAAGTTGCCGTGGGCCGGATATTTCTGTCTCTGTAATTCATCTCTACTTGTCCTCCTCCCAGTGAATTGCTGTGGTTTGTGGTTTTCTGTGTGTGTGTGTGTGTGTGTGTGTGTGTGTGTGTGTGTGTGTGTGTGTGTGTGTGTGTGTGTGTGTGTGTGTGTGTGTGTGTGTGTGTGTGTGTGTGTGTGTGTGTGATGGCTTCGAAGCCCTCTGTTCTGCTTTCTCACACAGAAAAAAAGGACAACAGCAATTCCGCAATAATACAAGAAAGTAGATGTATAACTTATATGGCACAAAAGCGTTTTGTAGCATAATTAAATGCTTACAAAACTATTAAATACTAATCAGGTTTTTTTTTTAATCCCTGTGTTTTAGCATCATTAAAAGCCCTGCTAGACCACACACACCTCTGAGAATCAAAACCGCTCCTTGACAAAACACATCACAACGCCCTGTCGTGTGACAACAACATTAAATAGGATTTTTAAAATATATCTAGCCGGTGATTTCGGCCTGTGAAGTTCTATCTTCCTGCGTGGTTTCTTTTTACATGTGTGACTTGCTAACCCGGTGTTTTGTTGTTGTGTTTGTTTGTTTGTGCAGACAGGAAACCAGCACATATACCAGCCCGTTGGAAAACCAGGTAATAGACAGGCCGGAACTGTCTGTGATTACATACAGACGCTATTGCTTTAATGTCTCTCTTCTTTTAATCTGCCACAGTATGTGGTTCACACATGTACCATTACGTAGCTTTATTTCAGCTATTTAATGGCTCTTAATTCAACCTGTACACAAACTCTTTGTCTCCCACTATCATGGATTTTCTCATGGATTTAATAAATTAGTTTTATATGGTTCTTATTATGAACCTCTAATAATCAATAATAAATCATTTGCTGTGGTACTTTGGTCACTCGGGCAGAGCTGGAATGTAATAGTAGCGTTTCCCCAGAACCAGTGTGCATGAGACTGTAAAAGCATGAGGAGAAATTCTTTTCATTTTCATACCTGATTTTCTGCAGAGCATGCAGCTCCCCCGAAGAAGCCCCCTCGACCGGGCGCCCAGGGCCAAGTGGGCAGTCTTACTTGTCTAAATAGTGGTGACAGTTACAACGAGGGAGTCAAGGTAAGCACACTTGTTCAGTGACACACACAAACGCAAAAAGAAGAGTTGCACACACACATGCTAACGGATAATACGGAAAAACACAGACATGAATATGTTTACTAAATATAAGGCATGTTTTTGATGCTTTTAATACTTTTTTTTTCTTATCTTCTTCTCCTTTGGCTGCTCCCTTCCCCTCTCTCCTTCTCCGTTTCCTCCTGCTCTCTGCCTTACTGTTGACCTCTAGCCCTGGAGGGTAAGCAGCACACTGTGTGGATGTTTACTGTGCGTCTTGTCTGCTAGTTGATCACACCGATTCTTTCGATTCGTTGTTCTTTCATGTCTCTGTCAAGCAAATTAAATCCTGCATGTTTTCATACCAACAAGAAATAAAAATTAAAAAAACACGCTGTGTAGATTCTATTCAGTTTTTTGTATTTATTTGTATTAACATCCAAATCTACATATGTTTGTTGTCTTAAACGGACAGTATTTATGTTCCCTTCTATCTCACTGGACACCATTTTACTTTAATCGCACAAGAAAATCTTTTGGACTAATAACGCACTAATGAAGCAGTTTTTCAAAGCGAGAAGATCCCTCCTTTGTTACTTTGTGTGACGTTTTTCTCATTTAAAGGTTTCTCCCCATCTCAGTGATAAAAGGTTTCATATTTCATACCGATTGATTCAACTCTGATTTTTGACTTGATAATCCAAACTCAATTTGAGTTTATTAACTTTTAGTTTTATCAATTTCTACCAGTGTGTTACTGCCATCTAGTGGCCGAAATAGTGAGCTGCATGTGACATTTATAGCCATTTCCCATTTGTTCATTCGTTAATTTACTCTGTAACCTACTCATTGACCGGTTTGTTTTTGGGGAATTGGTCGCCTCTCCTCTTAATCTTAAATTCACAACCATTCAAAAAGTAGTATTCTGTCTTTTACTTTATACCTCAAATCATGTGCGGAGGGTCAGAAAGGCATGTTTACTGTACTTTTCTGTAACATGCAGGCTTTGCATATTTGCACATGTTTATATAGTTCATCGGTATTGTCTCTGTGTGTCACCTGGATCTCATTCAGTCCGAAAGTCACTCATTGCTTTTTTTTCTGCTCTCATCAGCTGCAGCCCCAAGAGATAAGCCCGCCTCCCACCGCCAATCTGGACCGCTCCAACGACAAGGTGTACGAGAACGTGACCGGATTGGTCAAAGCTGTGATCGAGATGTCGAGCAAGATTCAACCAGCTCCTCCGGAGGAATACGTTCCCATGGTCAAGGTAACCACGGCACAGTTATTCTGTCCTGAGCTTCATGCCGTGGCCTTAACTTGAAAGCATTACACTGATTATTGCTGTTCTATTTTGGAGAACTTTAGAAGGCTGAATTTAAATTTCTCTTTCAAATAAATCATTTCTGCTAACTTTACTCCACATATTTGTCAACATTGTGTTAATTATTTCCTTACCAACTTTCTATTTGTCATGTATAATTTTAATCCTAATCCTTCAGGACGTGGGTCTGGCTTTGAGGACGCTATTGGCCACAGTGGATGAGACTCTACCACAACTTCCAGCCAGTACACACAGAGAGGTAAAATCAGACACTTATTCGTGTTTTTTTATCAATTTTGAGTTGTGTGGAATAAATTATGTTTCTTTTGTTTTCCTGAAATGTTGGTAAAGGTTTGTAATCCACTCTCGCATCTGTTGACGTTGGGACTTCATCCTACTGGACTGATGTTAAATTCATGTTGAACTCTGGTTTTCTTTAACAGATTGAGATGGCACAGAAACTTCTGAACTCTGACTTGGCAGAACTGATTGGGAAGATGAAGTTAGCCCAACAATATGTGATGACCAGGTATATTCAGATAATAGCATTTCAAAAAGAAAAGAATCGTTTTCATTGACTTACATTGCTTTGCAAAACATTTAAATGTAATAGACACCTACATTCAAATTTTTTTTGAATGTAGGTGTCTATTTTACTAGTACAGCCAGGGGCACATTATTTAAGGACACTAAATAAAATAATCTCTTTGGGAAACATACTAATGAACCTTTTACGGGTCTCTGTCTCATTTGATGGCACCAAAGTGGCACCTTTTTTAAAAAAAAATTTAAAATCATACAAATCTCATCTAGCACAAGTACCAAGACGTATACGTGATGTTGTGTGTTTGCTTCGTGCTTTGCTCCAGTCTCCAGCAGGACTATAAGAAGCAGATGTTGACGGCGGCTCACGCGCTTGCAGTTGATGCCAAAAACCTGCTGGACGTCATCGATCAATCACGGCTTAAGATGATGTCCCAGTCCCGCCCACACTAGTCCAGCGTCAGCTGAGCTGACCAATCAGAAAATTCTTTTATTTGGGAGACATTGTCCCTTTGGTTACTGTTAGTGATGGAGAATCAGCACACGTGAGAGTTATTGAAGCTGAATGCTTTACATCAGAGGAGGAAAACAACGACTCTGATACTTTGACAACAGCCTGTGAAGAATTATTAGATGTCATGTCCTTTTGGAGCCGAGTACGTCTCTCCACCACTGTGACTTTCGTAATACAAGAACGGAACAAAAACACTTCCTGAACCAAGGACCGGGCAGCTTCTCTATCTTTGGACTGTAATATAAAGATGAGACTAGGAAAGTCGAAAAGGAACCGTCGCCATCGGGTGGATTCGTCTTATCGGAATAGCACTCTTAAGCGACGCCATCAGAGCCTGATCACACTGCGACATATCTGTATGAAACCTCCCTGTGGAAATGGACTCGGACGTCAACCAGCAGCCATCGTCAGTACATTTCTTGGTATCGTGTGTGTCGTGACTCCCGGATGTGAACTGGACCTCAGCATCTCCTTGGATTCTTTTGAATGGGCGGATCAAACAACAGCTTTTTCAACAAGGATATTCACAGAAAAGACTGCATCGGTTTGAAGAAAAAAGCCTTTTCCATCCCGACCCGTTTTCCCCTCCGTCTCAGAAATTGGAGAGGAGACGGAGGGAGAGACGAGCGTTGAGACTGGAGGACAGTCTAGCGTCTTGCCTGAAGGAAGCTTTCCTTGCCTTTTTTTTTTTTTTCACTTACTATTTCACCCACTTTTCATTCGCCTTTTGTTTTCGCATTCTCTCCTTCGTAAAGTCTTCCTCAACTCCTCGCTGAGCCAGTTTTAAAGACTCCAAATGTGAAGAATCCGGCTCCGTCTGGGTGCACAGCGCAGACAAGAAGTTCCCTTCTCGTACTCCGTTTTAGTTAACCCGTTTAACGGCTAGCTCTGTTTTTTCTGTGTTGTTTCAGCAGTCGCAATCTTCCTCCTGTTTACTGAACACTTAGGACAAGCAGATATTCTATTCCAGCATTGACTTTGATGAGCCAAACAAAAAAAGAAAGGTGGGATTTGAGGATTTACTTATTGTAACTGGGTATTTCCTATTCGTCCGAGAGGAAGAGAAGGACTTCATGTCTCAGACTGGTCACTGAGCATGACTGGACCTGTTTCCGTGAGGACAGGGTCAGCCTCCTTCCTTCCTCCTCACTGTCCTTAATAGCGTCCAGTTGTTCCTATTCAAGACATGTCATGCCTTTAACTGTCCCCTCAGCCACCTGTGTCACAAAGTGAATTTACTGGGGACACAAACAAACCTCACAACTGGAACCTCTGTGCTTAGAATCCCAGTTTTTTCAGGTGTAACTCTTTAACACTTTAAATATGTCTCTCCAACCAACAGTCCCCAGGGACACACACACACACAGATGAAAGGTGGAGCCACATTAATGCAGCTTGTCTCCAGACACAAAACACTGAACTGAAAGTACAGCAGATCACATGTGTTAATAGTGACCCCACATGGAGTACACACTGCTATATGAAATGTACTGGTGACTGTACTAGTATAGCATGATATACAGGTATGGAGAAGAGCATATTTGCACAGCACCAAAAAACTAAAATCAAACTCTTTTAACCCTGTTTAATCCAGATTTGATTTCCAGGTTTTGACAGCAATGAAACTATCAAATATCTGGGTTTTATAGGCATTAAAAGAACATGTAAAAAAACAATCTATTTTATCTTGTCGTTGTGTAAATCTGCTCATGTTGGTATATTGTAAGCTATACTGGTGTGAATCACTGGTGAATTGTACAGAATTAGTACTAGTAAACACTGGTTTTTATTTTGTCTTCTGGGCTCAATCGGCCATCTTGTCCAAATGAGGAGGAAAAAATGAAATAAAAGTAATAAGTGAAATCAGGCCCACGTTGTTTATCCCTCATTGATTTATTTAAACGCATTACCTTACAGGTTTTATAATAATGATAGTTTTTATTTAATGTTAATGCCGGCGTGCAAAGGGAAACTCCCTGATGTGATCTGTTTTGTATCCAATTTCTCCCTGGAATGTAATTTATCTTGTCTTGAAAGAAGTTACAAAGATTTAAATCCAACCCCTGGGTTCAACATGTTTGTTTGTTCAGCAATATAAATGATTTGGAATCTTTCAACCAGAGATCATATTCATTAGAATTTAAAAGCTTGGTGATTGGAGCAAGTCATACTGCTGTATTTATTCCAGAGGTGTCAAAAGTATTCACATTCATTACTCAGAAGTACAGACACTAGGGTTTAAATAGACTCCTGTAGAAGTTTAAGTACCAGCTCAAGCTTTTTACTTAAGTATAAAAGTACTGGTTTAAAAAGTACTTAAAGTATAAAAAGTAAAAGTAATGTAAGAAAATTCCATTAAGGACAAACTCTTAATGCGTAACCTCGCTCACACAACACAGTCCGTTACAATGTGATGAGAAGGTGCCTGTAGATCACAGAGACCTGCCGTTCTGTCATTTTCTGCTACTTGTCGAGAACTGCTACTTTGTGGTATTGCGCATGCGCCGAGTCGATTTTCCAAGTTTCCTTGACACGCCCATAATATTTTGCAACCCTGTCGGTGAACGACGTGTTAACGGAGTAATATCCTCAAGATCCCGATTATTTCCTCTTTTGGCCAAGTTAAAAAGTACATTGAGCGTGTAGATTGTACAATGACCGTTATCTTGAAATTAAATATTAAATAATTGCATGGACTGTGTATCCTTGCCTCCGTCTACTCTTGTATTATCCTGTAATGAGTAGCGGGAGCAATATTTGATAGGGTGTTATTGTGCTATCAAAATCTGCTACCCCTGAACTTTTTATAATTAGACACATGACTTTATGCCTTTATTTGATGTACAGAGGTAGAAAACCATAAAGTAGCATTTTTTGATAGGGTAGCATGAATCGATAGACAGAGCCATTGATTTATGCGGCGGTATCAATTCTCGACAAAGCAGCAAAAATCGACAGAACACCGGCACATCGCGGAGAAAACCAATCGGGTGTCTGGATGCTAAATGTTTATATTTCTCATCCAACCACAATCACATTCACTGTCCGCATAGCGCCGTTTATCTAGATGTTTTTTTTTGTCTTTGTGTTTTTGAACTGCGACAAGCCGGAAGTAACGAGGCTGTTTTTAAAATGTAAGGAGTAGAAGTAAAAAGTTGTCTGAAAAAGAAATACTCCAGTAAAGTATAGATACCCCAAATTTCTACTTAAGTACAGTAACGAAGTATTTGTATTTCGTTACTTGACACCTCTGATTTATTCTGATATATTCAGACCATCTTAAGTGGTTTCAGGGGGTAGATTGGTAACAAAGGAACGCACTAGTACACGCAGCTGAGCTCAAGTTCAGCGCTGGCACCAATAAAACACACTATTTGTCAATAAGTCCCATTCCCTGACACCAATCCGGATTCTTGTTGAGACACATTGGCGATATTTATTCTCTGTAATAAGGCAACACGCACACACTCACAACGCATTCATGAGACGTCCTTAACAGAAACCAGTCGAGCAGTTGCCTTAACGACCAGTCTTCAGTCTGTTGACTTGTCTCCTGCCTGTAAGTTATGAAAGAAATACCTGCAGACAGACATCAGTTTTTCCAATATGCTGACACCTTAAAGCCAGTGACATTTTGATGTTTATTTCATATAAATAAAAACACTGGTTTAAAAATGATTTTGCAAAGGATTCAACGTTGTATTATTATTCTCCAGCTCAAGCAGTTCAGTCAGTGAAGAATTAAGAAAATAGTATAGAGATCAGCATGATATGATCACAATAAACAGCTTGATAAAATACTACATTTACAGTGCTGTGTTTATACCTTCTAGAGACGCATGTGTCTCATACTGTGTGATGCTAAATAAAGGAGAACAAACCAATACTTAATTAATTTAAACAGCTATATTCTATGTGGTCAAAATGCATTGATTTCATATAAACATGCCATCAAGATGTTTGCAGTAAACTTGCTGAAAATAGTGTGGTCTCTTTTAATATTTTAACATTGCAAAGTCAAGCTTAAGGAAATAATTGTACAGTACAGTGGAACTAAATCTATATGCAATACACAGAAAGTGTACACTAGGAATGACAAAATTTAAGAATATTACATTACTAAACCCATGGCTTTTTTCACATTTTTGCCCGGGAGCAATTAGGGGTTAGGTGTCTTGCTCAGGGACACTTCGACATGGAACACGGGGCAGCCTGGAGTTGAACCACCAACCTTGTGCTTCCCAGCACACCTTCTCTAACCCCTGCGCCACGACGACCCCGTGGTATATCAGGTCAGTACATCAGGTATATGCAGATATTCTGCATATACCTGACATTAAATCACATGGGGGAGATGTACCTGCATTACGACCTGATCAGACTATAGCACCTAAGCCACCTTCAACATAAGTCATTTATTATATATATTCTCAATGGAGAGTAGAAAATGCTTCATGTTGCTTTGAGCTTCTCACAATCGTCCGGGGCCACGTTGCTCTTGTATGTCTAATGTTACACACTTGTGATGCAAAGCCACGCAATGTTCAAACCATAGACATTATTTTAAATTCTAGCCCGGATCACAAAGACTCCAAATAAAAACAAATACAGTATGTTGCGCATATTTGGGATTCGATTTAATAGTGCGCACCAACATCATCCTGGATCAGTTAGAAGCTGCTGTGGCAAACGTGGACGGGCGTCCTGCCTGAGCCTCCGCGTCACATCTTTTACCTTGTTTTTGTGTGTTTGTGCATTTGTCTGTGAAGAAAAGGAGAGGAGAGGAATTTGTCTTCTCCTCATTGAGTCTTTAGTTTCTTGCTGTGGGTCCCGGACTCTCGCCTCCTGGACTTGTGGGCATAACGCCTGTGGAGATATGAAACGAGAGCAGGGTTATATGTCGCACACATCCACCCGAAGGTCGATGAACTGGCGGGTCTGCTGAAAACTGTCAAAGAGGGTGGTTGTGTTTCCCAAACATCTTTATGTACATTATACAGGAAGATGAAAATGCAAGAGTAGTCAAAGCTAAATTAATGGATTCCGTGCAAGTTGTTTAAGACCATGTTCAGTTGAGTCTGTCAAGATCAAGTCCAAAGGCAGTCAAGACCAATCGAAAATTTAGTCCAGAAGAAATTGAGTCAGGATCAACAACAGGCAAGAGCGTCTTTCTAGTGCTTTTGTAGGACAGAAACAATCCACAAACGATATTGATCCGAAATGGTTTGAGCACCATTACAGGTCTCTACAGGTGTGTTCAGGAGGATGAGACTGCCTTTTATTTTAATGCCTTTTATTTTAATGCATTATGTTAAAAGAATCCGGTAACATTCGATGCAACTGATCCCAAATTAGCAGCCTGGATTCACTTGACCAGTTCTTAAAGCCGAGCCTGAGACCAACAAGGCACTGGACCAAGACCAGCGCAAGACTATAAAATAAAATAGTATGAAGACGGGACTCATGTACTACATTCCTTTTGACACAAATCTGCTTCTCAGATTCATTGAGTTAAAATGTATTTTCACATCGTTGTTTTCAACAGATACATCGGTGTGTTTAGTAGCATTGTGAGGGAACTGTCCTACCTTCGCTGATAGAGGTAGAGGAAGAAGAGGATCTCATCTCTGAAGCAGGATAGTTGATGAGAGGAGGAGAAAGATCCAGACGAGGAGAAAAAGGAGGCACAGGAGCACAGGTCTGAGATCAGCGTGTTTACCCCCTAGAGAGAGGAGGAAGAGGAAAAGGACCGAGAATAATCAACTCATTTATTAGCCAAAGCTACAGAATACAACTGATCTAAATCAAAACTACTGAGTTCACTGTTCACGTGAATACAAAGTTCCTGAAAAAGGTTTAGAATCCAAAGAGAAACTGCACTTCGCTGCAAAATGTTACAGTTTGTGGATGAGCATCAGTCCCACTCACTCTGTACAGCAACACTGTCCCCTGCAGGTGGCACACGGACTTCAGCTGATCCAGAGAGCGGCGTGGAGAAACACAGAGATCAGAGGACCGTCCATATAGTAGCTTACAGCAACTCCTCCCAGTCAGCACTGCAATCAGATCATTTGGTAATTTATACTCCTCTAGACGCGACCGACCTTGTGGTTGATGAATAGCTGTGGGGCCATAGACAGGAAGCCAAAGGCATACACCCCTGAGAGGAGAGGGGCAGCTGGTTAGTATGCAATTATGTACTTTATGATTAATCATAAAGGTGATTTTGCTCCACTGCGACAGATTGTTGAAGTAAACTCACCTGTCACTAGCGTGTTGACCAACCAGGAGTAGTAACTGTCAATATAATATATATGTTAATATCAAATGAAGTAGCTGCTAAGTCTGTGTACAGTTTGTATGAAAGGTTTAGACAATAGTTTAAAACCATAAAACGTCTTACTTTTATTCAAGAAATACTCGGGTCTGATCTGAATCTGACTGCCTAAAACACTTCAGTACAGTAGGTGACGAACCAAGATGTAACCAGGAAAGAGTTTGTATTGAAATTTTACAAGCAGACTCCAAAAAAGAGTGTATGACATCTAGTGGCGACATTTAAAGCCACGTGGCGAAGCTCACCTCTTTTGGCGAAAGTAGGCCAGTGAGAAAATAGCTCCGCTGATGCACAGAGGATAGACCAAGTAGGACAAGTATCTGGACGCCTGGAGAGAAAACCCCAAAATGTTCAAATCAAACAAAGCCTGCAGTATAAAACCAGAGCTTTAACTTATGAGAAAAATATCATACCTGTGTGTCGTACTCCACTGTCTTTCTTTCTTCCTCATCTAGCTTATTTACCTGCACAGTCACAGAGGATTAAAATAAATGTATTGATTATTTTCATCTGGTCTGCATGCAAAAGTAGCGGGTCTAAAAAAAAGAAGAAAAAAAAAGCAATGTATTTTGACCAAAACAAATGATAGCACTCTACATATATTACATCTACTGTGAATAGATGATGGAAGATGATGAACTGGCACCACACTCACATGGAGCTTGGAGCTTTTCCATTGAAACTGGATCTTAAACACTGTAAACACCTTCCATACCTGGCGATCAGACAGGTTAGTGGGTTAAAACTGTCTGCTACAATCTTTATTTTACCATTCCTGAATGGAGGAGGCTGCTTGTACTAAATACCTCTACACATGCTCCCAGTCCAACAGGGAGCAGCACCAGTAAACTGGTCTCCTGCAGCAGGTGCAGGAAGATCAGCAAAGTGCTGAGACTGCGCCACTGAACTGCGGACGGAGAGGGCAGAGACCTTTAACCACGGCCCAGGCAACGTGGCACGTCATTTATCAGCTAACGTTGTGCACAATTGCCTTCATATGTTGAGCTTTGTTATGGAAAAGTCAAGCTTGCTTGCTTGAATCTAATTTTCCTACCTGACTTCCTGGACATTCCCACCATGCTCTTCTTTTTCCTCCATGAGCTGAAGTCATTTTTAAGAGCCAAGAATTCACAGATGAGCTGTAGTAAGTCAAAGACGTGGAGAGGAAACGTGCTTTTAGCTTTGCGGCGCTTAACTTGTAACGCGCCTGAGTTGCCGCTCTACGCTACGTTTGCAGACCTGGATGCATAAATGAATTCATAATTCATGGTATATCTATCAGCGGCTGGATTCTAATGTGTGTACCGTACGGCATTTTCTCTGGTGTGGTGTAATCTTACTTGCAGAGCTGTGATGAGTGCAGTCAACACTAACAGGTAGAGGTTGGAGCCCAGCAAAGTCTCTTTAATTTCATCTATGTTCTCCTCAGTGAAGCCTAGATGAACATCAAGATGCAGCATGAAAGCATTTTGTTCAGGTGAATCTCCTCACCGCGTGACACGAAAAACCCACGCTGAAATATGTAGTGGGCTGTATATTAAATATCTGTTATCTCGTTAGCTCACCAAACTGTCGCAGGGAATAAACCACGTCCTGTAGATGCACCCAGAATCTGAATCCCCTTAAAGAGATTCCCTCGTAGGACACAGTCAGAGGGAGCTGAACGGTGCTGCTGCTGATCTCCTATGAAACAAAGACATGAGGTCCCTTCATTCACAAGCCAGTGTTTACCAGACGAGGTGAAACGTGTCGTGTGAACTTGTCCCACCAGGAGATCTCTGACTCTGAAGCTGAGCTCGTTAACCAGCAGCAGAGGGAGGTAGATCATTTGTCGGCCTTCCTGTGAGCTACAAGGAGAAGAGGAAACACGGCGTGATCCAGAGACGATGGACTCGGGCAAATTGATCATTTAACAGCCGAGTGCAGTTGAACAAATATACACACGCGAGCATACAGGATTGACAGGATTTAGCCTAACGATCCAGCTACGGAGTAGCAATCATGATGTTAATGTTATTAACAGTTTATGAAAATGAAAACTATATGAACCATTGGCTAGGGAAGACCGCTCTAAGGCATTTTTTTTACAGTTGCTTGTTTCTTTATCACTATGTGAGTTTACCTCCTAATGGCAATAAAAGTCATTTGAATAGAATAAATTGCAATTTAAGGGAGCGTAAGAAAAGGTTGGCATTCACTGATATACAGGTACAACGTATTGAATGGCATATAGGGCATATGGCACGGTTTTTACAGATAAAATAGATGCTTTAGGAAGATCACTGGATGAAAGCTTTCCTCACTCTAGCGCTAAAGAATTCTGATGAGATGCAGCAATAAAGCAGAAGTCAGAAGCTCTCTGACAGACGGAGCTTTATCCTCCAAAGCCTCGTGCGACTCACACTCTCATGTAGCGCCGCACGTCACTAGGAAGCCCCGCTCTGTTGAAGGTGAAGTCCTCCGACATCAAAGTAATTGCCAGGTGAGGTCTCCAGTGGGACACAGTATTCTCTGATCTGGGACTTGACCTCTAATGGAGCCACAAAAACAACACAAAAAAGGCGCATATGTTCTAAGCCTGCTGTGAAGGTGACGCGGTGCGCTGAGAAGATAACTATAACAGATGTTGAATAACGTTTGACCTTCTGCGTGTCTCTCTGCCCGTCTCTGTACGCGGGAGTGATGTAGGTGGTAAGCTGCGCTGCGTAGTGAACTTCCCTGCTGTCCTCCAGAGGTGAAACCCCGGCTCTGTGAACGTACACCACGGCAAACAGAGTGCCGTTAGCGCGGGTCGGCTCCGGCACGGAGACATTCACCTGCCTGCAGAGAGAGGGAGGGAGACAACCAGTTACTGAAAGCCAGCCCGGCACAGATGGACACATAAGCATTTGTCTCTCTGATAGACACACTGTAAAACAAAATGTCCTGCCGTGGACTCAGTTACTACACAGCACTGAGTCTTCTGGTGAATTGCAGAGGTATCGACATGTCAAGCCAACCTCTCAAATGCGGAGTCCGGGTCAAAGGGGTCTATTTTTACAGCGAGGTGGAGTTGGCTGTTGTCTGGCACAAGGCAAGTGAAGACACTCATCTGGATGAACACAAGAGAAGAAGATAAGAGGTAGGAAGTGGCCTCCTCAATTCAGAAGAATCTGGGAGGGGGGGGGGTAAAAAAACAACGAGATGCAACTGCAGAAATGATGATGAAAATGTATGACCTAGCCACTATATGCAGACCTGCTTGTTACAATCCCCTCCCTCATGTGTCAGCAAAACCTTTAAACGGTAAAACTCTCTCTGATTCGTCCTTTTTACTCTCAAGATGAAGGACCAGGAAAGCGAGGCCCGTGCTAACCTGCAGGCGGGCTCTTGCCGTCAGGTAGGAGGTGATGCAGTGCTCCCCGGAGCTGCCATCGCAGGGTTTGGTGTGCAGGAAGCCGTACAGCAGCCAGGCGGTGTGCAGCGCGTACACCACGAAGACCCCGAGCAGCAGCTTGGCGATGGAGCTGCGGCTGCCGGGGAAGTCCGCGGGCTTCGACAGACACCACGGGAACATGGCGACGACGACGACAAGAGAACGATGAAGGAAAAAGAAAGAGGAGAGGAAAAAATGGACGTGGTCCCGCTTGAGGTACGGAGATGTTCGTGGTCGCAAACACGGCGTCAGCACAATGGGACGCACGCGCTTCCTTCTCGCCGCAGCATCCTTCCGGTTATCTGAGGTGCTGATGCTGCGGCGGTGTTGCCCCGCGTTGCGTCTCCACGTCGCGCGAAGCCAGTCGGCGCTAATAATGTGTGACTGGTGGGACAAAAAAGTCAACAGACATACCTCCAAACACGTGGACACGTGGAGTTTCGCCTTTCTTTTCTAGCTGATGTTGTTTAGAGGAACAACATCGTAAACACAACTTCAGATCATATACGCTTTTATTGTGAAACGATTACTTCGAAGTATTTGGGGCTGATTCCCGTATTTTCTCGGCTTATTTAAATTTTGGCCAACAAAATAAATGAATCATTTGTATTTCCATGTCATGCAGACAGGGTCTTGAAATAGTATTTAGACCTGAATGTCCTGAATTGTGAAAAAAAATCGAATCCATGATCCATAGTATCATTATAACTGAATCAATTAACTAATCAGGTTGAATCCTAAGAAAACAATGTTAGATTCATCGACGCTGAAAACAAGCATTAGATGCAGTGAATCAAACTTGGTTTAGTCAACTAGTTTGATAATATTTTTTGACTTATCCTTCATACATCTGATGTGCTTTCCTTTTCATAATTTGTCTTTTGCTGGTGTTTAATTCCATATTTAGTTTTTTCGTATTTTTCATTCCTGGCCTCGGCTGAAATGCGTTTATGGTCGAAGTGTTACTTCGCTTCGCTAGAGACGATCTTCGGCAACCGTCCTCGTCATCGCCGCGGTGCATTGTGGTCGCACACTGTGCTCTTGCCTCTGCCCTCTTCTTGGCTCATTTCTTCCATCATTCTAAGCTGGACTACTTAGTTCTCGGCCTGAGGCTGTACTTTTAGAAGCGTGTGTAGTTGGCTACAGGTAAAAGACATTTGTTCCCGGGGACTTCGTTTTCTGCCTCTAATTTTAAACAAAATCCCAATGCTAACAGCTAACAGGTAACTAGCATTAACTAGTTAAGTTGAGGATCTATCACGCTGCAGACACCACCTGGGACTTTAATGAAAGATAAGCTAAGACCGCATAACAGCATGAGTGACCTTCGAGGAAGCTACCCGAACCAATGTAACGTTGTACCGGTGGTGAAACTGTCCTCTACCTGTGGATACGCCTCGTCTCCTTAACAGCCAGTCAAACAACCAATCACACAGGAAATGCAGTGCGCCTCAGTCTGTCATTCCTTCTTCCTCTGTTCATGCAGGCTTCTTGTCTCCACCACCTTTGGCTGCAGATGCATGTGCGGTGATCTCCTTGCTGCCTCGGCGGTGCGATGTCTCTGCGCAGGGTGCTGCTCGCTGGCTGCATGAACTGCTGCAGGATGTATCCTCCACCTGCTGGCAACTTTCACCCAAAGAGCCTCTTGAGTTCTGTCATTTACTTTCCCTCAAGAACAATCGGGACCGGGAGCTCCATCCTATGTTGTGCTCTGGCAGCACCCTCCCCGCTGAAGTACTCTGTGCCCCGTGGAAATAGAAAAGTGGGATTGTTCAGCAGGAATTACAGCGGAATCGGATCAGATGCATTTTTCAGTCAAACCCTGCCGGTGTCAAGATGTCAAGCCAGAAGATTTCATCAGCCTGCTGCGTTAGGAAAGAAGAACGTGCTACCGCAAAGTGCCCCATGGCCAAGTAAGAATGAGAGTTAGTACGTGTACAACGGGCTATGTTTCCAAGGCAGAATTTACACTTTTTAAAATCCAGCTGCTAGTACATTCCCCTTCCACAGCCTTCCATTTGTTAACTACAGCTTGATTGCAGCACGTAATGTGTTCGTTACTATTGCTTAGGTCAAAGAAGAAGAGTGTAGTTTTCCATTGTGGTTTAACTTTCATTCCTCTTTGTCGGAACAGTGTCCTTGGTCCGCTACAGAGTGACGGAGGTCTCCAGTCTGTCCCCAGCTTTTGTAGTGGTGAGAGATGACGGAGGTTACTGAACAGTAGTTACTGCTCTTACACCACTAAACACTTTGCCTCAAGACGGTTGTGGAGAAACTGACTTCACACCCTTCTTTAGATTTAACGTCTTCCCACTAATTTACTGTCAGACGTTCATTAAAACGGTTCGTTGAAATTACTGCGAGGACGAGAGATATGTGATCACTTTCTTATTTGTTTATTCCACAGATGAACTTTGACCAAGAGGGAAATGTGACATCATTTGGTAAGTGTTAAAAAAAAATCCCATTAGTTTTTAATTAACTTAATATCTTTTATTTGAGGAATGCGATCCCGCTCGTCATTGAGGCAGATGATTGGTATCCGTTCTATCCTTTGACAAGACCACTGACGGCTTATTTAAGTTATCACTTTCAGTTTGTCATTAGGCTGAAGTTTGTGTTGATCACCATTGCTGTGTTACTTGTAGCTTTACCTTTAGCAGTGAGCATCACATTAACGTCAGCTCCCCCGCTCTGTTTATTCTTCTAAAACAATGCATACACTCTTTCTAAAGAGGATGCTGAAAGCAGCGGCTCTGTTTATGACCTCAAAAATGTGTCTTTCAGAGAAGAAGAAAACGGAGCTTTGTCAGGAGCTTCGCCTTCAGGCCAGGGACCTCCGCTTTCAGCACAGTACCAGCTTAATAGCTAGAAACAACTGCATCATCCTACGGATGGAGGTATGCCCACTTTATGTTTAATACGGCAACATTTTATCATCACACGTCCTTGAGACCATAAAAAGGTTTCTTTCCAATACGTCTATTACCGACTGGTAAACACTGACGAGAGGCTAAAATGTCTAAATCACTTCACTTGCTGATGGAGATCACATTACAACGTGTCCATTCATACCAGAGCTACTCTGCATGGTTGTGGATTTATTGTGGATGTTAGACATGATGCCGCCATGAGGAGGAAAATAATGAAAACTGATAAGTCACTTTGTGAAGGAAACATTAGTTTCACCTGTTTGATGCCCGTAATCTTTTCGTCCCCACGAGTCGGTCGAGTCGGTCAGTCGGTCACAGTTCATAATTAGTAAGCGAACGTTCATCTATGGTGTAGTCATTTTGAGACATCGTAATAGGAAAATTATATGTATGTTTGTGTTGTTATTTATGAACAAACAAACGTGGTTGTTTCATGTTTATTTTTGAAATTAGAAAAACGACAAGGCAGAATACGGTGAACTGTAAATTCATACTGACGTTCCTTTCTTTACTGTTGTAAAGATATTTTGGAATGGTTAAAACTGTACTTAAGTACACAATCACAATACTTATTTTCCATTTAATGGAACTGTCTAATTGTAGTCCACCCCACTTTTGTACCTATATTTTTATATGTATATTACTTTTGACACTGAAATCATTATTGTCATCTTGTCACACACTCTTCCGGTCAGTTAAAGTCATCCTTAACTCTTCGCCACTCCTCTTACTGCTGATAACCGCCCAATCAAAAAGGGGAGTCCTCACAGGTCCGGCCCAAGTAATGTGATTCACACTTGCACATTCCGCATATACACATCCCGTTGCCGTTACACAGCTTCTGGTTTCTCGACCTACAAGAAGCGGTCTCGATGGTGCAGCTGCAATCTTCACCAGTCCAGCCTTCGTCACACACGCAGCGTCCACACTCACATTTCCCATGGCCTCCACATATTCTGTTAGATACAAGAAGTGGTCTTTTCAATATAAATTTAGAGAGGGGCCATTATCACATCGCTTACTGAAGAGCGCATATCGTACCTGCCGTTGTGGTACAAACAATCAAAGTTGCTGCACTCGCAGAATTTTCCGCTGTATCGTTCTCCCACGTTCGCTCGCGTCTCGCACTTACAGAATCCTTCCTCGCATTTTCCCCTACGGCTGCACACGGGGGCGTTCGGGGCCGGGCGACAGTAGTCGTCATTTTGTGAAAGCGTTGAGTCGACGTCTCCCTGGCACTGTGGTCCAGTGTACGGCGTACGGCACTCGCACCGCCCACACACCAGAGCCCCGCGGCCGCCGCAGCCAGCGCTGTTTTCCTCACGGTTTCTTGTGCAGTCACACTGACCTAGGATTTTAATTTAGTTATTTATCACTTTATAGTAGACAGATGTTGGCCTTTTAGCAGCATAATGTCTGTCAATACAAGTTGTTAAAGGACTAGGGTTGGTCAATAAGGTTCTATCTTAGCGCACGCCGGGCCCGACTGAATGCACTCGTCACAGTTGTGAGCAGATGTGCTGCACTTTCGTTCCTCTGCACCGCTGAGACACGACAGAACGAGCAGCAGGCCGAGATATGCGAGCAGCTTCAATGCAGATAAGATAGGTTCTATCTTATTGACTTATTTTCTTTCTGTGGTTCTGCCGTTATACTCACACTCCAGATTGATCTCTAACTTCACGCTCAGTAAAAATCCTCTGGGTATAATGTGGACAGGCCAGGGCCCAGTCCTGTTCTGGTTCAAGTCGTCCCTCTCACTGGGACACTGGGCAGCTGTGACGGTCACCTAGAGAACAAACACTTTATTAATATGATCATTTGTATTTTCGAATGTCCTCATTTCTTCATTTTGCTGACCTGTACAACCAGCAGAGGGTTTTCATTCACAATGGTGCTGAATGAGACGTTGACTCCTGCTGGCAGAGCGCTCGTGTCCATGATGAGCTCTGTGATGGGCTGTGCTGTTGGCACGGTGATCGTGAGAGGGAAGGACTCGCTCACACCCGGCCTCAAACGCAGGGAGACGTCCCGGGGACGGAGGGACAAGGCCTCGGCATCTGCTGGTTCGGTGCTACCGAACAAGAGCATCACCAATATGACTTTTTAATCCAGCAGCCGTGTCACATCAGTTTGGGTTTGTGCTGCACTCCCTGTTTGTGAGTTAGACTGAGAAGATGGTCGTGTTTTGTCTGGCCGACTTAACGGGCGTGAACAGTTTTTGCAGCTGGACACTTACCCGCTGTCATTTTTGACAACTTGCACTCTGCCCCGAGGGTTGAACACGTAACTCTTGTGACAGCCTGCTCTCTGCAGGCCCTTCAAGGTATCACAGCGGATGTTGGCGTTCGGCGCGGAGCACCAGGCGCACGCCGGGCCCGACTGAATGCACTCGTCACAGTTGTGAGCAGATGTGCTGCACTTTTGTTCCTCTGCACCGCTGAGACACGACAGAACGAGCAGCAGGCCGAGATATGCGAGCAGCTTCAACGCAGACATCCTGCGGTTAGAATAAAGAAGTGGGAGGTTCATCCATAAATAAGCATTTGACTTATGATAAAGACAAATAATATAGCTGTATATGTTAAATTGGGACACCTTTATGACCTAAAATACTAAAAATACTATACATGCAGTTTATTTTCCTCTTTTTCTTTACTGTCTTGTTCTCTAATTATCTTTTGCACGCATAACACTTTATTCTCAAAAGTCTTCTCTGTTTAATAGGTCGCGCTACAATTAAAATGATAACATGAGCCAATTTAGCTAGATTAGCCAAATGATTTTGCTTTATTAGACTGCCAAATGGTGAGGATTCAAGAGTCAAGACCTTTTAAAAAAATAAGTGATTATATGTCAACAATTTTGCATCTTGTTAAGCAACAAGTTTACTAAAAAGAGAAATACTTTCATGTTCAATAAAAGCAATATAAACTTTGATCATTTCTGTTTTAAACAGATCTGATCTCCCCCAACAATTGCTCCCCCAAACAAGAAAGACGAACAAAAGATGCAATACAATAATAAGAAAAAGATTTTTCTCTCACAGCATGATTTATGTTTCTCTAGTTGCCATTGGTAACGTGCTAGATAAATTTAAAAAACGCAATCAGTTGGTACGCTACCTGGAGTTCAGAGCGACTTCTCTTCTGTTGCCGTGTCTTGGAGTTTTTTATGTCGGCACACTGACGAGCCTCGCTCCTATATAGACTCGTCCAGTTTTTAGTTTTTTTTACTCGCTTTAAGGAACAAACAAGTGCGTTGTTTGTGCATCAGAGTTGTTCAGGCACTGCAAATATCAGATCAGAGACTCAGACTCGATCAATGATCAGAGTCCGCTGTACGGACAACAGTCATCCACGTGCGCTGTAGTTCTGCATACGCAACTGTGTGCACACACTGAGCGCATGACACATTAACATGAAATGATTAAAACAAATCATCAGCTGCTTCAGTTTCTACAAAACAGTCATGTTTTGTCAATCATGAAAGTCTTGAAAGTAAGATGATTTTGAGTATTTGCATGTAAATCACACCTCCTGGTGTTCATGTTTCTGCGCAGTCTTTGAAAGCCATCGTGACCCCGCAGTCCCTGTTGGTGTTGGATTTCCGCGGTTTGGGACTGGAGCGTTGGCTGGTTCTGGAACTGGCCCCTCAGCTCGCTTCACAGTCGCACTCTCTGCCCTTTGAGTTCAGAGCGCTGGAGGTCATCCTGCAGCACAAGGTGAGGCGGATCACAGAGCTCCTGCACCGCTGTACCAAAGCATGAAAAGCTGCCTGGGTGTTGAGGGCGTCCATGAGGCTCTGTTGCAACGTGCGTCTCTGTGCATTTGACTCCATAGATAAACACTCTACAAGCTCAGCTGAATGACGTCGAGCCAGTAATGTTGGACACACTGGAATCCCTGCTGGATCCTAAAAGCCTTTCTGCTGATAGAAGTAAACTACATGTTCTGCTGCAGAACAGCAAGAGGTGAAGCACGCAACCACATACGTTGCCATGTTATTGCCGTCTGGATTGCATTGCGGATAAATTATGTATGCGAGGAACTTGGTCAGCCCCTCCTGAGGCTGTACAGGTTTCCACCGTCAAACAAGCCCCTAAAACTCGTTAATATGTATTATTTTAAAGCTCTAATACACATTTGTGGCTCAGTCTCCCACTATTTTTTTTTCCATGTGTGTTATTAGATGTAATATAGTTTTAGCACAGCCACTGCGCATTTACCTTCTTATAAAAATGTCTACTATATGTGTTTTTTTCCCGGCTGACTCAGTCCACCCCGTTGACACTTGCACCTCTAACAGTTTATCGGAGTTGGAGACTGACATTAAAGTCTTCAAGGATACCCTGCTAAAGATTTTGGATGAAGAGGAGATCATTGAAGAACTGTGCCTTACAAAGTGGACGGACCCAAGAGTTTTGTAAGTCGTGCACTCACAAACACGTTGGTGAACTTCTGTCAGTTCATAGAGATAAAGACGAGGCCTCAGAGGGGAAATGTTATTGCGAGATCTTCCTTGCTGAGTCATTTCAGCATGTAGGAAATTCAATTATGAATGTACATGTCGACAGTCTTTCATAATGTGTGCTCTTGTGAATTTTGTTTTGGTTTCAATAACTACCAGGCCTTTCTGTCTTTTACTTAAGTATATTAACTTTTTGTCTTTATAGTGAGGAGAGCAGTTTGGGTATTGACCATGCGGAGGAGATGGAACTGTTACTGGATAATTATTATATGCAGGTAACCGACATCTTAATACAAAATAATCATTTTTCCCTTCAGTCAAATGAAATAATCCAAATAACAATATCACTATAATGAAGTCTTAGTTAAAAAAATAATATAACTTAATTTGGACTTTTTTAATCCTCTGAACTACCATCCTTACATTTGTTCTCACCTGAACATTTATTTTTGTGTTGAACATTTTTCTTGTATTGTTTGTCACTAGATATAAAGAACACTGGCACACAATGTTAAATATTCTCTATATGCTTATTAGTTGTTGATTGTCCTTCAACTGCTCAATGCAGGCTGAGGAGCTGGGGAACAAGACCAGAGAGCTAAAAGGGCTGATAGACGACTCTGAAAGTGTTATCTTTATCAACCTGGATAGGTATACACACACACACACATTTAGCACTAAATGCCTCGTAACCTTAGAGGATATCTTCTTGAATTGTTGAGCTCAAACTAATTAAGGTTCCCACACATTTTCCCCTGTGTATTCTATCCACTATCTCCGACATAAACTGCATATCTTTCAATTGCCAGTATGAGCATAAGGAATGATTACGGTGATCAATAGACTGTCGTAGCGTTCGTGTTGTCAAACTCCTTGCAGATGTACTTTTTCAGTCCATTTGAAGCAGAATAACTTTCTGGCTCCACATGTGCCGTCTGTTTCATTCCAGCCATCGTAACGTGATGATGCGCCTCAGCCTGCAGCTGTCGATGGGTTCCTTCTCCCTTTCCTTATTCGGTCTCATAGGGGTGGCCTTCGGAATGAATTTGGAGTCGTCCTTCGAAGAAGTAAGCGAGCTTCTTTATTAGAATAATATTGCATCTGGAGCATTTTAGATTGTTGGGAGCCTCAGTGTTGAGGAATGTTAGTTTGATTAAATGAAAAACGTTTAACACTTTGGCATTCTCCTTATTTCTACATTACTCAGTATATGTTTAGCCATTACACATCATTTTATTTGTGCACTTGGGCCTGTATTTGCATACTGCACCTTTTGTGTGTTCTTACCCACATATACTCACACAGTTTTCTTTTTACCAGGATCCCCGCATTTTCTGGCTGGTGACAGGCTTCATGTTCTTGGGCAGCGGGATGATATGGAGGAGACTGCTGTCGTTTCTGGGGCGACATCTAGAGCCTTCAGTTCCCCCTCTTGTAATTCTTTCACACACGCACACGATGGATGAAAGTGGTTTTGAAAGATTTTGAATTAAGTATTTTTTTTCTCCCGTTTGTGATACAGATCCCTCAAGTCTGGAAGAGAAATCTCAAAGCATCAGACTACAAAACAGGAGTCCGATGATGTTTTGTGCGACGGACATCTTACGGACTGCTGCTCTAGGGACGATTGTTTTGTCACCATGGACCTCCTGAACTCTCTGCAAGGCTGCATTGTCGTTGAGACTGCATTCAAATGTTTCGGGTCTCTAATGTTGTATGTGTGCTTTTGTGTCTTCTGCGTTTCTGGCACAATGTTACCAGAATTATGAATGGCTTTGGCACATTTTGTATTGCTCTGTTATCTGTAGTTTTAGAGCAGTGGGCGGATGCTTTTTGCGAAAGGGATGACATCCCAACCAATGATAACCCTCTGGACGTGCACCTGATGATCGGATATCTGCTGGGACGGTCAACATAACTCATAAAAGGCAGTAACACACTGTCATGCAAAAAGTCAGAGCTGCCTCGGAAATGATTCCTTTAAAAAAACATAGTCAGTTTGAAAAATGTTATTTTATATTGTGTCTCACTTTTTTTATGTCTCCAAATCACAAAAACAAATGGTCCAGAAGAAATGAGGGACTTTCAAGAGTATGACTTGAAAGTTATTGACTTCATCCTTTTACCATCAACATAAAAGGTCATATTCAAAATGTTATAGGCGGAGCTTCTTTATACTTATTGCCTTGTCTCTTTTTAACAGGCCAGCGCAGTAGGAAAAGCATATTTTAATGTTCCTGTGATATTTGTTTGTTGACATTCATTTTATTTAATCATTTTGCTGAACTGGTCAAAGGAGATGTTCCTTCTTTTCCCCAGCTACATCCTTCCCCTTTTGGCTTGCATGTCTCTGCATTATATTTAATGCCTCTAGAAAATATTCTGCATTCTTGGAATGTGTTACTGTTCTTAACCACATTGAGTCAAGGTGGATATGATTTGACTTTTCCGACATGGAAAACAAAACCAAAATCTCTTTAATGCCAAATAAAAAAATAAAAAGTACAAATTGACATTTATGTTTAGAAGTGTGACAAACTCCTAATTACATTCTCTGAAGACGCTTTACAATAAATCATTTTGATCATTCCTGTGGAACAAATGTCAAAATGTCATACATTTATACATATATAGACTTTTGATGATGACAGCAATGAAGTTAGTCAATTATTTTAAAGAAAGCAACATGTTCTATTATGAATGTAAAATATCTACATACCAAAAGACAAACAAAACTTCCTTCAGGATAGATTATTATGATTCACAGAAAACTAAATACAAGTGCTTTATATTTCAGTGTGCAAAGTGACCGAATGCATCGGTCGTACCTGCTGTCATGACAATTATTTTGCACCAGAGGGAGTCAAATCTACAGCTAAAAATTCACTTCATTAGCGAAAATGCTCAGCGTTGTAGTTCACATTGGTCAGTGTCTTATCTCAAGTATTAAAAAAGTAAAGCAAACCCGTACGGGATACTAAAATGTTTATTGGATCTTTCGATACATTGAAAGAAAACTAGTTTTAAAAATGTATCATCTTGTCTACCTCCCTCTGATTTACAACTTCCTGTACTTTTATCCAAAGCGACTTACAATAAGTGCATTCAACCATAGGGTACAAACTCAGAAGAACAAGAAACAAGAAAGTGCAATTTCCTCAAATAAGCCAATTTGCTATAGATAAGTGACGTTATAAGTACAATTTAAGTGGTACAATTTGTCTACTTGATGTCATAGAAGTGTCCTCCTGCTACTTGCTGACTTTACATTTAATGTAGAAAACCCCTGATTTAACAAATACCCCCCCGCCCCCATATTCCAATGAAATAGTCACTATATAAACGCCCCCCCCCCCCACACACACACAGAGACACGCCCCCAGCCTACCTACCTTTACCGACGTCACGCCGTGCTGACGTCAAGGGAGAGCCACGCTCCAGTCCAAACAACTTTGCCAGAGATTTAACAAAAGTAGCCGAAGACGTGTCGAGGAAACCGCAGAGGCGTTTGAGTTTGCCTTTCTCCGTATACGCTACATCCCACTTTATATATTCCACTATAGTTTACGAGTGCCGTCTTTTTGGGGAAATTAAGATGAGGAATCTGCGGTTGTTGGTCCTCTTCGGGCTGGCCAGCGGTTTTATCAGTGAAAAAGTAAGTAGCTTTTACATTCCCTTTTTTAAATTCAAAACATCCACAGGCTAAGGAAGTAAAAAACCTTAAATCACATGTGACTGGTTTTGAAAATATTTAACCCGACCGCTCAGATAAATGAAGGAAATGCCAGCTTGCCTTTGGTGCTAATTGTGTTCAGCTGCCAATTGTGCTCCGGCAGAAAGTTTTAATGTTTAGACTTTCCAGCTTGTTCACTGTTTATTTTCTCAACAGCCTACTTTTAATTGCTTCAACTCGACGTTTTATTTAGCCAAACGTGTTTAAAAATGAGCAACGTGAAAAATATGACTGCTTTTTGTTTTTTGAACCGTAAGCTGATTAATTCTTCCAGTATTTGCATTAGTCACAGAAACGTGTTGATCTAGTACCACTGGCGCAGTCAGCAGGCGGTCCGCTGTTCTCCACCCAGAGTCTGTAGCCAAGTTCAGGCACCCGGTTGGTGTCAGGTTGTCGTTCATAGAGGGCCAAAGTCCGTTCAGCCTCCACCGCCCAGTTCTGACATTACATTACATTAAGTGTCATTTAGCTTTTACCCAAAGCGACGTACAATAAGTGCATATCAACCATAAGGATACAGACATAAACCCAAAACCTCCAGACGTGAAAGAGCCATTCACACAAGGCATGTATCAAGTTTTATTACAGAATTTGATCTAGCAAATGATTTATCAGAAAATACTAAATCTTTCCCTGAGATAAAACCAACTAACGATGACTAAAACCTGCCTGACCTGACAAGTCAGACCCTCAGTGTCTCTGTATCTCTCTGTATGTGTGGGGAAAACGGCTGGAAATGGGTTGACTCATTCAAATTTGACAACTGAGGATCGTAAATGGATGAGATCACTTACTTTTTTTTATAACTACTAAATGTGTACTTCAGCTCCACTTTGGTTCCCAATTTCAAACCACTAATACATAGACTCCAGTCCTGAGTCAATGTTCGTAAATATAAGCTGAATTACTGACTAACCAGTAATTGGGGAAACCGAACGTTGAAACTGGCTTGTGAGCAGGAAGTTCTTTCATTTTCTAGATGGATGACTTTGTGTGAGTCCCACTGGACGAGTCCAGACAGGCATGAAGCTGCACGGTTACACACCCAACCATCGTAGGTTAGAGGAAGCCTCTGCCGCCGACTCTCTATTAATTGTTATTTTCAAAGTGCGTCTGAAACACACGGGTGATGGGAAGACAAAATGAAAAACTTTTCTCACAATAATTCATGAATGTAAAAATAGTTCCATTTGCAGTCCTTCACAAACTGTTGCTCACAACGTATTAGTCGGCACCCGCCGTCCTGACTGTCTGACAACATCTGATTGGCTGCCAGGTTGTTTGTATTACGACTTAATTGTACGTCGGACATTTGTTTTTTTTCAAAGAAATACCAAAAATGACCAGTGAGTGTTGAAAGAAATTTGTCTCTTTGACAAAGCTCAATGCTCTACTGCAAAAATGTTCATATTTTGATGTCCTCTTGGCATCTTATGTTGTGCCAAAGAGTGAGGACTCCAACCTGTTGTGACGCCTTTGGAGACCATAACTGCTGTTAAATAAACCGATGCCTTGAATGCAGTGTGGTCAAACCTTTATGACGCGGTTTGTTCAAACAAGAACAGTGTTGTCTGCTGCTGCGATCTAGCTAGTGATGACAGGTCAGCTGTTACACAACCTCCCTCTCAACCGCACTGCTCTCATTTTCATGGACGAAATATTCTTCTCTATCTTATAAATTCAGCAGGCACTAAAATAAGGATTTGTAGAATAAAAGTTTTAATAAAGCATTCCCCTAAACAGACTCGTTCGTGCTTCCTGTTACACGGCCGTAGTGTTTTAGCACTGAATCCTCGTTTCCAGATGATTAAGCGCAGACAGGCCATTTCTCTCCAGATGTGTGTAACCTCTGACTGACCTCGTCTAGTCTTCCAGTAAATATCCCTAATGCATTACTTCTTTCTCGTAAGCAGCATTGGCAAAGGGATTGATAGCGGACTTTATTTTACAGCGGCTGCACATGTGTTTGAAAACAGTGAATTAGTCCATCAAAAGGAAAATCATTCACCGGGGATTTGTGATTGTCACCATTTCTTAGTATGTCATTAACTGAATTGTTCCATAACATTTTCTTTTCAATGGCCAATCATACAAAAAATGATTACCTGCTGCCGTTTGGGCCGGCTCATATCTCATTCAGTAAACTCCTAATTCTATTATTATTATTATTAACATGATTTTCTTACTTTTAGCATAATTTTGTGAAAATATGATCTAATGTTGATCTTAACATTAGAATTAATTATTAGGATGCGAGCATTCATTCCACTAAAATCTCCTCCCAGCACCTGTCATTTGAGAAACAAATCGTATGGTTAGTACCCATCCTCCTTTGTTCCATTGGCCCTCTCTCACCACCGTTGTTAGTGGAGGCATATTATACATACCAGACATAACTCTGTGTGTGTTACTACACACATCTGAGGAGCCATTCTTCTCTTTTTGAATTTTAGACTCATTGTCCGGTAGCCTTTTGTGTTACTTCGTTCTTCTCTAGCTTTTGTTTTATATTACCATCTATATCAGCTGGTTTTATTCTGTCCTTTAAAAAGTTCAACCAGCTGGTGACTCAATTCACGTACCTGTATTTTGTTTGAGTCATGTAGCTAGTGTTGCACTAAGCTTGTGACTAAACGATGAGTGTTTTGGTTTTAATCACATCCCCTTTGGGTATTGTTTGGGTTAGTGGGAGGCTCTCCTACACTACATTCTCATGTTGTGTTTTTTTTTGAGCGGAGAGAAACGGCCGCTTTAAACGGTTAACCCTTAAATGCTGAGTGGCCCTGTGACGCATCAAAAACGACTAGCACACACGTGAAATAAACAAAGGAAAGGGCCTCTACCTTAGCACTAAACTCACAGACGCAAGTGAACACTCTGGCATATTTGGCTCGCTGAGGTCATCTGCTGTGACAGATTGTCTCACTCCAGAACTATTGCGAGGTTCACGTGTTGTCGATTAGTGGAAAGAATTCTGCAAGTGTGAAAGAAGGAGGTCTATGAGTCTACTTTCTTCTGCGGTCTTAGTTTTTTTTTCTCCTATATTTATCATTGTCTGTCATTTTTCTTTCTCTCCTCCAGGTCTTTGTCTCCTCGCAGACAACCTTCCCCGTGATAGATGACCTTTACTTGGAGGGCCAAACTTCAGGGGAGCTCTCAATAGATGATGAAGATGGGGAAGACGACGACGACGGCGGCTCTGGATCTGGAGACTATGGTAAGGAAATTACTGAATTGTTTTGTAATTGTGTCTTTTTATATTTTAATTTGGGGTAACATTTGATTTGCTACATTAAAGTCTTTATTATTATTTTTTTAATTTAAACTGAATCCTCCTTTACTTTCAGTTTTCAGAAGTCCAAACTACAACTGTCCAGGGAACTGTTTCCAAAAAGTGCTTTTGGAAAATTGAACAGTCTTCTAATTCAAATTTCACTTCCAGTTTATCTGAGTTGTCCTCATCTCACAGTTTGCTAATCTAATACGCCATGCACTCATTTAGAAATGTCACGGGCATGAACAATACTTCTTCTGTTGACACAAGTGCTACAATATTGAAACACAGAAGCATTCAGTCCCATTGCCAGATGTTTGTCCCGAGGTGATGTGTCGTTAACCAGGTGTGATTTTATTTGTAGAGCGCAGATGTCCGATGCTTTCTGCCTTCATTATCAACGACTCATCTTTACACCAACAGCAAATAATGTCTTGGAACATTTGGTGTGGTCATAAATTAACTGAAGCACACAAATTGCCTTCCTGCTTTTAAAAATAACTGGCTAATTCACACCTCAAGGCTACATTCTAACATCGCGTCACTATTCTATTAAAACCGCATAGCTGCAAAATGTCAAAACAGCCTTGTTTTTGGCTTCAATGGAAATTCCCTTTTTTTTTTTTTTTTTTTCAAATAATCCAATGGATTTTTAATTCATTTAATTTTGTATAACAATCAATCTAAATTTCTTGGTTATTTCTTGTCTCTCAGCTCACAGCAACGTTGCAGTTACGGAGGAGGGACTCAAGAAACTCCTCAACTTCTCTCAGACCACCGTCTCCTGGGAACTGGTTCCAAGTCGACCTCAGCCATCAGCAGCCGCTCCGCTCAGCCCATCAACCAAAGCACCAGTCAGTCAGAACCCAGCCACCAAAGTGAGCGACGCAGTCATGCCACCATTCGTATTGCCTAATGGGGGCAACCGTAATGAGGTTGAATATTGCATTTCTCTTTATACAAATCCTTATCTCAAAGATGAACAATGATTAACATACTGTTTGAAAGATTCAAAGACATGTTGTAACGGTGAAGAAATATCCAACATCTGTGTGAACCAAAGCCCTCTCCAGAATACATCAAGAGTACATTTCGATTGATGGTATTCCAAACCACGTTATGTCTGAACCTACTTTATTTAGTGCATCATTCATTTAACAATTCCGCATATTCTTTCAGGTTTCACAGAGTACCAGCTCCGCCACCATTCCTCCCGGTGATACTAGTCCGACCAAATTCGGAATCACTGTAGTCGACCATGCTGACAACAGCCTGGATACGTGGAATGTCTCACCTACCAAAAACCGTGGGGATGAAATCCAGATAAAGCGGGTCGAAAATGAGATTTTTGCCGAAAACGGCCGAAACGGCAGAATGTTCGAAGTTGATACTCCTGAGGAGGTAACCTCTGAGAACACGTGGGAGAGGACGGATGTGCTGGCAGGTAAGAAAACATTGCATCTTTATCACTCTCACATGTCTGGTTTAATTAGGTGCTTGTTATTAGTTCCCAAACTTATTTTCTGTCTCAAGCGCTTTTAGAACATTAAGATTTAGATATTTAAAGAATACAATAACGTATTGTGAAACACTTGAAGCAAGTATGGGACACTTGTCAAGTAAATCCATTTCAATCTATACTTATGCCCCCTCCAGCCGTGATCGCTTGCGGAGTGGTTGGATTCCTCTGTGCGGTTTTCCTCCTCCTCCTCCTCGCCTACCGTATGAAGAAGAAGGACGAAGGCAGCTACGAGCTGGGAGACACCAAAGTTTCCACGACAGCCTATCAGAAAGCACCCACCAAAGAGTTCTACGCCTGAAGTGACCAATAGGAACGTTACGTGGAGTCCTTCTCCTCCCAATCGCGGCTGAGAAGCATTTATAAATGACTGGAAAGGAATCCTGTGGATGAAGTTTGATGAAGTCAAGCGTCTCTGTTCTTCTTCAGTGCTCCCACCGTTTAAAAATGTTCACGTCTTGCTTTATGATGTTTGTGGGGGGGGGGAAAGGTCATGCATAATAATCTATTAATATCGTTCCATTCTGCGGTGGAGTCCAACAATAAGTACACAGCCTTAATTTCAAGAAAGGAATCTTTTCTAGAGTATCCGGATGGATCATGACCGTTATGGTTTAGGAGAGTGACTTCAAAGTATTAAACACTGCTTTGCGAGCAGCATCACTTCTCTAAAATGAACCACACTCTAAGGTTCAAATCGATTGGCCCATTGAACGGAGCTGCAGTCTGAACTGTTTCAGCTCTGCGTAACAACAATGAAGTTCAAAGACACTTATAAATAGCTGTAACACTTTTTGAATGCTTTTATTTAGAACGGTACCACACGTGGGGTTAATGTTACCAAGGGCCTTCAAAAAAGAAACCCTTTTCCCCTTTTTTTATTTGATGTTAAAATTCTTAAGTTTGTTACAGTTTTTCCTTTTTTACATTTCATTTTCTGTATTTTTTTTTTTTTCTTCACTGAATTGAAAATGTTGTTATAAGGAGGAATGTTTCATATGCTCTCCAATATTGAGAGATTTTGTTACTTATGTAGGTACATATTTGTTTTTTTCAGATGTTTTACATTTACAGAACTGGCCAAATATAAATGTGCTTTAATTGTTTTTGGAGAATTTTTGTTTTTGGATGAGAGATTTCCATGGGACAACATTTTTCATCTATTCATGCAGTGGTCCTTTTATGGTCCTTTTGATTTCTGCATTAGCAATATTTTTTCAGGACAATTGTATTTAATGAATAAGTGCTATAAACAGGTGGAGCAGGGTGGAGCCAAAATGATGGACTATAATTCAGAAGTGCAGAAGCCGATTTCTAAATGTCAACTGTATACAGCTACAATAGCAAGAACTCAAAAGTGACTGCGGCAATGTCCATGGCGATACTATCCTATCAGTAATTCATGCGCAGTTTTTACAAATTGTTCTTAATTTGTGACAATGTAATTTAGGGTAAGCAGATTTTAAACCAACATTTCTCAATCTTCGACAGACCAAAGGAGCATTGAAAACTTCATAGACATTAATCGCTTCAAGCAGAAAGCGGATAACATTACTTGTATACATCTCGTATTTAATATATGTTAGTGGAAATACGACTATTGGTTGTGTGTTTAGTCTGCGCTGACTTTTTAAAACCAGCTATTTACTGCTTACTGTGGCAATACTATTTTTAAAATCAGCCTCTTATTGAAATAGAACTTTTGTCTTAAAGCTGCTCTGTGACCTTACAATCTCTGAAAAGGTTAAATAAAACTTTTCAAAAACTAACTGGTTATCAAAATGACTGGGATCCGTTGTTGGGCAGTGGAACCTTGCATTCTTCACACAACCTTTGTGTATCCATTTATAGTTGCTTGACCTTCGAGCTGTTCAGGACCTCAACTTAAACATTTTTGTTTCAGTGAAAAAGAATGTCCATACCAACCAATTTTTTAGAGGAATGTCTGACACAATCCTAATCCTCATTGAGTGAGATGTATCACTTGCGGATGGCTCGAAATAACCTCTCTTCCATTATCTCTGTAAAGTTAGTCTGTTGATGGTAGTATAGTCTATATGTATTAATGTATACTTGCTTTGACTATAATCCAGGTTAAAAACCCCATTGACCAATTGGGATTGTACAGTTATTAATTTATTTTCAATTACAGTTGGATAGCCTTTTAAAAATATTTTTCTATATGAATGCATTTATAATTCATGATTAAATTATTTTTAAACACATATAATCTTTAAATCTTAGTTGAATACGAATCGCCTTCATTTGAACACATAAGCACGTAGATGATGGAAACAACTTGCGGAGGATGTCGTGACTTGAGCAAGTGATGTGGCCTGTGGAGAATTGTCTTGCTAAAAGCATGCATCTTTAAGAGTTCACTACTGTATAAAAGCTGTGGCTTTAAAGCAATTCTAAAACTGTCTCTAATAAAGTGCGTAATCTGAATAGACTTTGACACAATGTACCGAAGACGTTTTTACGACAGAAAACTGCAGTTTATTTGACTGCCAAAAATTCAGCTTTTATTTTGAAAAACATCAAAGCGGAACTAACAGCACGGTGATCACGAGAACGAAAGCGGTGTGTATATTCTGCTGTTACGATCAGAATACTACTTTACAAATTATGATAACTGTTGTAATGTCAACTAAAAGGACGAAACTAACTTAGCCGATGGGTTGGTGTCTGTGGTGTTTTATAGATGCTTAAAAGCAGGTTGTATGATCGACGTTATTCTTCAATTCCTCTCCATCCATCCTCGGTTCTTCTGCATGAAAAAGGAGAAAAGGATTGACTGCTGAAACAAATGGGATGTTACAATCATCGTTATCAGCTTCACAAAACAACCACTAATAGTAATGTTGTTGGCACTGTTTGATCAACGCTAATCGCCTAATTTACTCCAAAAACCTCTGGGATTACACGGCACAACATTGTTAACGGATTAGTGTTGGTTGTACTTATCTTAAACTCTAATCTACTTTGGAAAGTATCATTTGGTTGATTAAACCAAAACTGCAGCTTAGTGACACTGTAGTAAAAACAGCTTGCTGTCTGCAAACTGTCCTTATAAATGTATCAACTGATCAAAACATGTCTGATAGTCACAGGGAAAGTCCTTGTAATGTAACGCTTTTAATCGCCTGGAGGTTTTTCTCTCCTGCAGATGTCTCGGGCTGGTAGGCCGCCCTTCCTCTTCCTCCTCCTCCTCCTCTTCATGTGTCTCCTCATGCTATCGCCTCTGTGTGGCTGTCATCCTCAGTCTCCTGCGTCCATCAGGTCAACACTGAGGACTGAATCCAATCATACTGCCAGGGGAGGTAATTTAAGACCCTCCTACACCTGCACACGCTCAGTAAAGATAGAGGCAAGCAGGTCTTTATGCATGAAAATCAAGGTTGCCATATATATTTCTCTATTAAGTCACACGGTTGTCGTTTTTCAAACAACAAAGAATACCTGCTCTAAGGGTGTGATGGCCTTTGGTGATTGAAGACCATGTTGGACAGGTCTACCTAACGTGTGATTCTAGCTTCTCCCCCGAGAGATCCTTTAAAAAAAAACCCACACATACAGGGCAATTCATTGCAGAGTTCATCATTGCGCAGTTTGATTACAGTTGACGTGTGCAGTGTAATGTAATCCCAGTAAGCTTTAATTGCTTTCTCCACCTTTTCACTTCTACATTTTTTATTCAAGGCCCAAAGGCCCACAGATCAAAATATGTATGTATCTGCTCAAAGCACAACGACAATGCATTTACTCATTTATATTTTACATATAAGATACAGATGAAAAAAAGAGATTTGTATGCAAACCATGCATGTAGGTATGCCTGTTCCTGTTTTGACTGTTTCTATGTGGTGTAAATCCAGGCTCAACAACAGCGGCGGAGGTAGCAGGCTACGCTGATGTGGCCAAACAGATTATTGACCTGGCTGTGTTTGGAGCCGCCCAGAACCGCTCCTACACTCGGCTGGCCCGCTTCACAGACACCATAGGGAACCGTGTCAGTGGCTCACACAGCCTGGAGATGGCTATCAAATACATGTACAACGCTATGGCACAGGAGGGATTGGACGTACACTTGGGTCAGTATACCTTGTTATCTGTCTTGCTTGGACGCAGGACATGAGAATTGTGCTATTAGGTTATACTTCTTACAAATGAACAGATCTCTTGCAGCAATTTCTGAGCCATCTGCTAGAGTGATAACGTATTTTTGTGTCCCTTTTTACACGTTTTCTTTTCCAGAGCCTGTCAAAATCCCGCATTGGGTGAGAGGGAAGGAGAGTGCAGAAATGATTGCACCCAGGGCCGAAAGTCTGGCTATGCTGGGACTGGGTGGCAGTGTAGGGACACCACCTGAGGGTAAAGGCCGTACTATATAAACTAATCGGTAATGCTCACATGCCTTTAATCCACGTCTTACGCTTATCTCTCAAGGTATCGAGGCAGAGGTGTTGGTGGTTCAGTCTTTTGCTGAGCTGAAGCACAGAGCCAGCGAGGCCATGGCGAAGATTGTGGTATTTAACCAACCGTTTGTCAGCTACGGGGAGACGGTGGCTTACCGTGCTAATGGGGCCTCTGAAGCAGCCAAAGTGGGAGCTGTGGCCACACTCATTCGATCTATTACTCCATTCTCTATTAACAGGTACCTATCCATCTATATACATCCATCCAGACAATGTTTCAAAATGACTCGGGTTTATAATTCTGGTTGAATCGAAAGATCCGTTAGTCTTTGTCTCTCCCTCTCTAGTCCCCACACAGGTTTGCAGTACTACCAAGATGGAGTGAAGCGCATCCCTTCGGCCTGTATCACTGTGGAGGATGCTGAGCTGATGTGGCGCATGGCACAGAAAGGGCAGAGGATCGTGGTCCGACTCACCATGGCAGCCAAGACTCTACCAGATGCTGACTCCTTCAACACCGTGGCTGAGATTAGAGGCTGGCAACACCCCGAGCAGGTAGACCTCACGCCCCCCTTTGCAGACACGTGCCTGTCGGACTTATCCACATTTGTTCCATATGGTCGGGACAATTCTGTCAAAGGAAATGTTTGGCAGAGTTGTCCTGGAAATACTGTTATTTTTTGAATTTCTTGTTTCTTTCTTAATTAGCCACTCTCTCTTTTTTCCTCGGTTGAGTTGGACAAGAAAATAACCATTTTTTGGCCACTGCAGCTATTTGCACAGCGTGCTATAACATTTTGACGCTGTTTGTATGATCTAATATTCCAAAGAAGTGCTCAGGCTCAACTGTGTCAGAAAATTCATCAAGAAATGTTTCTTTCAGTCAGCCAGTATAAATGCTATTCATATGGGAACAAGCATTGTGCAAACAACATGTTGACCTGTTAATTAGGAATTTTGAATTGGAATATAAGTTTTCAACTTTGTTGGAAAGTGTCCAAGAAATGTCTCCAACTTGGCTTACTATTTTCATTAATGCCCAACCTCTGACCATATATAATGCCTGTCATTAAGCCAGGCATTTGTTCATTCTTCACAGGCCACAGCCTTTTTTATATCGGCAACAAACAACCAAAGGCCTGCAGCAACGACACTGGAACCCACAGTCATTTCTGTGTTTCATTTTTAGATTTTGTAAAGTCAAATTAATGTAACGTGTATGACGCAGTCAATGTTTTGTCAGCAAATACACACAAAAAAATGTGATCGCAGCATTTGCCGCACAGAACACACACATCACATAACCCGACTTGCAGGTTGTGCAGTGCAGTGTCACACGATGTCACTAACAGGTCCTCAACACACATGCGGTAGGGACCCGGACACGCTTGGCAGGTAGAACCCGAAAAACAAACAAGGTGGCGTTGATCTCCATATGCACGCTACTCTGTTTGCAGAAACTGAAGCAGTGCGGTGGGTTCAGGCTATGACATGTGGCATTGTCATAACAGACACACAGTGCACATTACATGTGTGGGTACACAGTTAGAACTAGAAAGGTAGATTCAACCTTTAGTCTTTTGGAAGAGACTGTCTGCCAAAAGTTGTCTCTTTGAATAAAAAATGGAAACGAAGCAGGGTCAACATTTCCTGTCCACAGGCAGACCTCCAGTCCTGCTGAACCAACGTGCCATAAATAGCTGAGCAGGATATTTAAATTGTAAGACCCATGTGTGAAGAGTTGCAACATACTGTAGCAAAATAAGACTAAACTTGACTAAACATTTTCCATTTCCTTATCTCTTGCGCTTGCATGGGTAAATTCCCCACAGCGTGTCCATGAACTCTGCGTGTGTAAAACTGGTATTTTATCCAATATATTTCTCAGAGCGGTTCCCGATGGATGCTATTTAAGTGAACTCTGTTCTTCTTTAAAACCACAGTCTGTCTCATGTCATTTGGGGAAGCACTAACTCAATAATTAGCCACCACACTTGGATTTGAGGAACATCGCTGATGTAAGATGTTGCTGAACTGGGAACCAACGTTTGGTGACTAATTTTTAGAAAAAACATCATTTAGGGCTCTCTGACTTTAGCGGCAGCTGTAGTTGGTGTGTGTCTGTGTGTGTCTGTACACGCGCCCACAGGGCCAGCCAGTCGTTTCTGGGTTTGGATTTCAGAGCCATCTTCCCTTCTTTTCAAAACAATGTTATATCTATAATCTATATCTATCCATAATGTCAGGATGCAGGCTTTTCTGTTCGTGGTTCGGGCTAATGTCATGTTGCTTGGCGGTGAATCATAAAAAGCAGTGAATTGTTTTCACCATTTAAACTAGACCACATTTAGACTTCCTTTACATACGTTGTTGATCTCTCACGATTTGAACATGTAAACTACAACATGTTTAGTTGTCCCACTGTCACCACATGTAAAATGACTCGTCAGGTTGCAGTACCCCTCACTAGAAAGGAAGATAATGTATAATAGTATAAAGTGAGCATTTTAACCAATGTAAGAATTACCCAATTGATGAATGAAAAGTACAGGAATCCTGATAAACCGGATATTCCAACACTGCAAGAGGTCTGAACTATGTGTGTATTATGAAATCCTGGATGCATGGGCTGACCTGGGATTAACCCGTACTTGGGAGAAAACTAGCATGTCTGAGGAAATAGATTCCTGTGGATACTAAAAAACATCCCAATTGCTTTAATAATGTAAAGGTGGATTAAAATGAGCATTTGAGCACATTTACTCTCGATTTATTTGAAGGTTTGGCTTTTGGGTCATTGACCAGAAGGCGCTTGCTCCGGACACAAATGTTTTGTAACCTGGAACATAAGGTCAGGATCATTATACAGACGGGAATCTCTTGGAAATTCCTTGAAATGGCAATAACACTCTGAACCGTGTGTTTTTTTCTTTGTTTTCCCTTTTCTGTCCGTCCTTGCTGATAATTATTATAGTTACTGACTACACTTAAAGCGTATCGGGTGTCTGCCACAATAAAATGTAGACACGAGTCAGAGAGTTCTATCTTATCCTACACTCTCACACACAGAAGGTTCCCACTACACTCTAATTTCTTTGTTTATGACTCTTTATCTGTCCTATATGCAAGGTCGTCTTACTGAGCGGCCATTTGGACAGTTGGGATGTGGGCCAAGGCGCCATGGATGACGGAGGTGGTGTCATGATTTCCTGGGAGGTCTTGTCACTCATCAAAGACTTGGGTAATATAGACACATGCATACCATGTACACACACACACACACACACACACACACACACACACACACACACACACACACACACACACACACACACACATACAGTGAATGATGAACTTCCTCAGAAACACACATATGCATTTTGTAGAAGTGAGTAGCAGGTATTGACAGAAGCTCAAAAACAAACAATGGCAGGTAGATGATTCACTAAAATATCTAGCTTTATGTAACCTGCTTTACTGATTTAAAAAAACAACAGCATATTTTTATATAAAATGAAAAGACAAATCTCACACATTGTGTACAATGAGGAAAACAGATGCTTCAATAAATCTAAACCAGTCAGTTAGTAAATACGGGAGACACCAGAGTACCGTTCTAAACCTGGGGATAAGTTACAGTCAGTTCGCCTAAGAGCACAAGGTCTACTGATTAACTTGTAGTCGGTGAACTTGCTGGTGTGTATTGCAAGTCAAAAGGAAAAGTCGGAGTAAATGTTGTCACTATACATGACTGTTGTGTCCTTCGGAGCTGTCGTCGCTCTCTGTCTCCCTCAAATTGGTTCCGTGCTTTGGGTGTGTGTGCGTTTCCAGGTTTGCGTCCCAGGAGGACCCTGCGGACTGTGCTGTGGACGGCTGAGGAGCAAGGGGGGGTGGGAGCACGGCAGTACTATGATCAACACAAGGTACCGTCCCGTCGGTAAAAGTAACAAGGCTCAGACCACGCCGGGAAAAGTATACAGCATAGAAATGTACTTGCAGGGATTTGTAGACTTTTCATTTGCAAGGGATCTAAATCTGCTTTGTTAGAGTGTTAACTGCCTACGAGTCCACAATAATATACAATGCTCAAAAACAGATGCACAATTTTACCGTAATTTTTAATAAAAATAAAAACATTTTCACCAGTTTACCATAAATACACCCTGGACTGTCAAGGTATTCCATAATAGGAAGTTGTATTGCCTCAATTAGTCACACCAGCTGTACCAGCAACTCCTAGTGGTCAGTGTGTGTGTGTGTGTGTGTGTGTGTGTGTGTGTCAGTTTCCATGGACTGAAGCTTGAATTATTTTCAATCAAACATAAACTTATTATTTGTGTGCTTCCATGCTTTCTCTTTGCTGTGTCTAACCCTGAGTCTCCTCTCTTATTCCTCTCCACACCCAGGTTAACATGTCCAACTTTGACCTGGTCATGGAGTCTGACTTGGGGACATTTACCCCGCTGGCTCTGCAGTTTACTGGCAGTGATGCAGCGCAAAAGGTAGCTATAAACACACAGCATTGTTACCCAATTACCAGGATCTACACTGGCTCACGTGTGAAAGCAAGCCAGTGTAGATACAAAGATTCTGCAATATGGAGTCCAGAGAGATTTTCTCCATCTGCTCCTGACTTCACATTATATCTACATTTAGACAATTGCTTAAAATCATTAAACCCATGCTCAACACTGAAACTGTAGCGTTGGGTTTCATCAGTGTTTACTATGAATCTGACGTCTGCAGTCTGAATTACAAAGGGCATGTCATGTAAAAATAAGACAATTGATCTTGTCGAGGAGCCGAGAAGCATCAGACTGCGTCTGTATCCACAGGTCATGGCAGAAGTGGTCAAACTTTTGGCTCCCATTAATACGACCAAACTGGAGACACACGGAGAAGGGACAGACATCTCACCGTGGATGCAGGCAGGAGTACCAGGTCAGTGGCGCAGGGGTTAGAGAAGGTGTACTGGGAAGCACAAGGTTGGTGGTTCGATTCCAGGCTGCCCCATGTTCCATGTCGAAGTGTCCCTGAGCAAGACACCTAACCCCTAATTGCTCCCCAGGCAAAAATGTGAAAAAGCCATGGGTTGAAAGTGTAATGTAAGTCGCTTTGGATAAAAGCGTCTGCTAAATGACCTGTAATGTAAATGTAATGTAATAAGTGCAAATGGCAGCAGATCTTCATGACGGGACAATCGAGCAACTCGTCATTACTCACCTCGTTTCTGTGGTGCTTTAAGGGCTTTCTTTTATAAAATTGTTGAGTAAACAGTATCACATCCTCATTAATGAACTATGAAAAGGGTTAGGTAATATTCCATAAAATAGAGAAGTGTGGCCAGACAACCACTTTATGTGGAATTTCTTAAAAAACGGAATTTGAATCCAAAGGGTTTTTGCTTTCCATAATTGCTGGTAGTGAAAACTGATTCAACCATCACCAATGTGATCTAGTCTAGAACTAGTCTAGTAGATTTGAACATAGAAATGAGTAGAGGTGAAGTCGCTCTGAGCTTCACCAGCGTCTGCAAAGAACATCAGAATCAGAATCGAATCAAAATCTGCTTTATCCATGAATTATCAGAGCTCCATCGGAGACAAAGAGAAGAAGTGAACTGATTGGAAACGGGAGCTACAACATTGTAACAGCATGTTGTAGAACAGAAGAGCTCAGCCTGTTTCTTTTATACTGTTAATCAAAGGCAGGTTTTGTGCTCTCTTTCAAGACAAGACGATTACGGACGGAAGTAGAGGTTACAGCACTGAGAAGAGGAACTAGTTTCGTTGTAACCGAGACTCCTTTTCTCAGTACTTTCTGTCTGTGGGTTTTTTTCCACATGCCCACACTTTTGACGAGTGGTTTGTTCCCATCTTCCACTTCTACAGTTATGTTCTGGAGAATAACACTAGACGCATAAATGTTTCTTTCCAGATATAAAATGTAATGACTTTGGGTGCAGGAACGTTTGAACATGTTCTATTTTATTGTATTTTATATTTTTCTCCACCTCTCCTACAGGAGCCAGCCTGCATGTGGCAGACAGTCGATATTTTTGGTTCCACCACAGCGAAGGTGATACCATGACGGTTCAAGATCCTCGAGACATGAACCTCTGCTCAGCATTGTGGGCTGTGGTCGCCTACGTCGTGGCAGACCTGCAGGACATGTTGCCCAGGTAGCCGGTTGGCTCAACGAATGCTGCGCAAACAGGAAAACGGGTTGTTCACTGTTCAATTGGCTGGTCCGATCCAACCTTTATTTGTTTTTTTTCTAAGAATAACAACACATTGTACGTGACTAGCCATCGGATAAACCAGTGAATTAGAAAGACGACGAAAAAAAAAGATAACGTTACTTTATTGACCACTATATAGTAAATGATGTCACCACTATATGTGAATAATAGCTAATTAAATAAATCTTTTCACAAAAAAAGTTGTGTAAAATGTGATCATATCATAAAATAAAGTCCCAAAAGAGATACAAACGTAGTAGCTTGGGGCTCCTGATTTTCTTGAATGTAAAGCAATGTAAAATGTAAAGTGAACAATATGCCTTTGAAAGGTTTGTACACATGATACACATGATCATGGTACATGATCATTTTTATTATTTCTTTAGCACAGAGGAGCTTTAGAATGAGACATAAATTGTATATATTTTTCAAGTCAAAAGCTTACTTTCTAATGCCGGTATACTAACCCACACAATACAAAGAAAGTAAGAAGTCCTTGCTTCCTTGCAGACATTTCTTTCCTCATACCACATTTACAGGATGTTCTGCAAGAAAGTGTTGAAAATAATCAATAAACTTTCCATAAGTACTTTACACTGTATGTCCCATCTGCTCCTCTGCTATATTATGCTGCTGATCATCAAATCATCATACGTTTGATGGAAAAAAAAGAGGAAGATGATGACAAATGAAACATACATATCTAATTCATGGAAGGGAAAAAGAGAAGTGAATAATGCAGAGTGAAGTCCAAAAGAAGAAAAGAACAGCTCATACGAATGAAAGGAAGTAAAGAGAATCAATCATTTAGGCATACATTGCTATTCAATGCAGTGGATACAAAACACACACACACACACGTACAACACTGGGATCCCTCTCTACCCAATGAACACGAGTCAGCACCCCTGAGCGGTGATGTCAGGGTGAGTCAGTCAGCATATATAGATTAAGTCCCTTCAGACACACACATGTGTGAGTAGGATCACGTCTGTCGAAGCCTTCTTGTGAGTCAGTAGCGATGACTCACACACAGACGGTAATGAAACAGTCTGCGGATGTTCAACACTCTCAGTCACACACATGCACCACCGACACAATCGGTTGTGACAAGCCATCACGGCCCAGTTCAATCTAGGCCCGATCTGTATTAACCTTAGAAACAGAATCGAGTAAATGAATGTTCTGTTTGAAAATGATTACATTTTGGCAGGATTCTTTTTATAAGCGCTCTAGAACTTCTATATGAGATTTTGGATTACCTGGATGCTTGTTTTAAACTAAAGGTACACATTTGACCCCTATAACAGCTGGTCTGGAGAGCTCTTTCTTTTTAATGCTTTGTGAACTGATGCGATTATATACTTTTAGAACGGGTTTTACCAGCTGGTAATGAAGCAATGAAAAATTGAGCCGAGGTGATTTTTATGTTCTATGCTGTATTATGACAAAAAAAAAATTACTTTGTATAACAACATCTGGTTCTCATGAAAAGATTTTAAATCCAAGAACACGAAATGGCAACAACAACGTGTTAATGAGGCTTTACTCGGTTTGTGCTTAGGCTGCAGTATGTAAAATACTTACCGCCTGTTCAGCCTATTGCTTAAAAACGCATAAGTGAGAATGCATAGTTAAGCAACGACTGGGGAAAAAGTGATTTGCCCTCTTTGGGGATATTTATCCTCATAAAAAAATACAAATGGTAACATGACCAGAGCCAATTGTGACACCTTGTGTAACAGTCCGTTTACTGTAATAAAAGGAAAATATTCTCATTCAGATAGCTGGAACGCTACGCCTCGTCAATGATGAGATTATTTACATTTGATTTTTCTGTCAGTATGATAATTGCTTCATATCAGCCAGCACATGCTGTTGTAACCTGCCACTGTGTGGATGTCATATTGAATATATCACATAGACCACCACCATGTGGACAACCTGCAGGGCAGCACCTGGTCAGTTTATGTTCCTGTTGGAAATGAAAAAAAATGTAACTATACCCGGTAAATTAAATAGAATTGAAGGATGAAACAAAAACACCAATTTGTTAATGAAATGTCATTTTACAAACTTTTTTTTTAACAGAAAAACAACTTCAAAAAAGATTTCGTTTAGTTACCGGTACTTTTAAAAAAAATCATCCTACACTTTACCAGCAAGCTGGTTGCTGTAAGATAATAGACAACGCCAACAATGCATTTTTAAGAACAATTGTGTATAATATCTTTGAAACAGTCACTGAGAATAAACATAATGAAATCCTTTTCAAAGGTAATGATTGACATGATCATGTAGCCAAAGGCCTTCTGGAATTGAACACCTTGATCCCATTTTGCATTGAAGATCGAGCATATTTGGTCAGTAGAGCTCCGGTGGTCTGTTTTTCTCCACACAGGTCCCTAAACAAAGTAGAGGGTGGAGGAATTACACATTATAATCAATCAAATAGCTAAAGAAAGAACTTTTGGGTTTACTTCCTGCAGTGTACCCTGCAGGGTTCTTGCATCAAACACGGCACTGATGTCCTGAATAGATGACACATACTGTATGTATGGCGTGATGTCTTCCTCCGTCCATTTCTCTCGGATTGTGAAGAGGTGGTTGAAGCGCTCCAGCGTGTCTTCAGACAGATCCTCCACCCGCAGCAGGCAGATGGTCTCGGGGCGGGAGGCGCGGTCCACCAACGCGACACTCTGAAACATTTGCAACGCAAATCAGAACATCTGCGCCAAGTCACTCCTTGACTACCAGTGCATGATTATCTACAGCTCGTTTGAGACGGCTCTTCAAATTGACTCAGACTAGATCCAAAGTAAATGCAAATTAAATCCGCTGGTACAGAAATAAAAACTGTCATAAAACAAACACAAGTGCATGGATGACTTTTAATAACCATGAATGGTACGAAGCTGCATTCATGAGAGGAACTTTAGTTTGAAGTTTGAGAAGGTGAGTCGATGACCATCGAGAAACAGGCTTACCTTTAGCTGTTCTAGTCTTGTGCTCATCCCCTCTGGGACGCTCTGCTGCCAGACTTCTTGAAATTCTCTCAGGTTGAACTTCACAGCGTTCTGCAGCAGCAGTAAGGCCGTGCTTTGACATACTTTATCCTCGTGCAGGGCATAAAAAACGTTGTCTAGGTAGAAGCATACAGAGATGTTAGTGCAGCCTAGTTTCATGTTTGAAATTATTTTGATGGATTCTAGCAATTCAGTAATATAAACTCAAGATCTGTCAGTTGAGTCTTCAGAGATTGTTTTCCTTTACCGTTTTCAGTAAAGCGCTTCCCATAACAGTCCAAACAGTGCTCAATCATCTCTCTGTGAAGAGAGAAGAGACGTTACCTTTAAGGTGCATCATAGATGCTCAGAAAGTCAATATAACCTTGTTTCTTTTTTTCCTGTTGCATGAGCATCATTGTCATTAACTTACTTGGGCTCCAGTGGAGCCAACTCGTCCAGACTGGTTTGAAGGGGAACCTTGTTGAAGGACCACGACTCAGAATCTACCAGCTGAGTAACATGACCGAGCAGCTTCATCTCGTAGTCAAAGTCCAGCACACGCCAGTAGCCTGAAAGACAGGAAGGACACGGCTCGAAAAATCAGGGATCAGTCGTTTTAAAAAAATATATATTTGAGCTAGAACAGCTAAGAATAGAGAGATTGTATTTATAAAAGCATCATGTCTGCTGCGATGTACGGCCCAGGAGCACTAAGTATTAACAATTAGTACACATGTTTTTATCATTTAAAAAAGTAATTGTTTACCATCTATCTGGCAAGCATGGATGGTCTTTAAGTGGGTCTTCAGCTCGTCTTGGCTGGACTGGATCCTGTCCAACAGATCCTGCATTGAGTACTGGTAACAGACAAGCACACACTAAAGGTTATAACCAAATCTAAAAGAGGGGCACAACTAACATTCAGTTATGTAACGGTTATTTTGGTGTTGTTCACAGCAACGTTTAAAGCAATGAAGATCCGATAAGCCCGATACATATGAACACAGACCTAAAGGACGTTATGATACATTTTGCGTTTACCCTGTTTTCTGTATTCTCCTTTTGCCCCCCTAGAGCCGGTCCTTCATAAGGATTCTCCATTAAAATCGCTTTCAGTTTCTTCAGCCTTGGACGCTGTCTCTTCAGTTCCCAGTAGCTGTTACAAAACCCCCAGATCTATAACAGAATGAGGGTATTGTTAGTACACAAGGGTCATTATTGCATCAACTGACCAACATCTGTACACGGAAGGTTGGGTCTTTTTGTGTGGGTGGTTGCAGCACACCAGGCAAGTTTCTCATTTCCATACCTGCGTGTGCACCAAATGGGAGCTTTCCTGGCTGTTGGTTAGTTGGTCCGGCGTTCTGCATCCTGGTACAAACAGCAGCAGGTTGGACGTGTCTGCTATTTTTAAATCGTAGGTCTTGTCACCGCTACAGAGCACTGCTCGCTCGTCCGCGTCCCCTCGAATCACTAGACTGGGGAGTAAAGTGCACATCATTGTGAGTTATGCTGCATCGATCACATGCATCGTGTTTCACAGCACATCAATTTCAATTATCTTCAACCACGTTAATCATTTGAGTCACGTGACAGAAAAAGGGGGCTGCACACTACTCACCAGGTTCTAAAAGAATGATTAGGTTATTCAAACGTAAATTTATAATAACAGATTAGGCCAACTATATTCCTTTTCCATTATTATAAATGAAAGTTTTGGATTGTTGTAGGCAGTCAAAACACACTAAACAATACCCTTAATGTCGGTGTGTTTCACACCACATAGGCCTATTCTTTCACATATATATTATAATATATATTTTAAAACGTTACCTCTGCCCGGCCTGGATGTGTTTGCACAGGGTGTCATCCAGCTCCATGAGGCAGTAGTCTGCTGAGGAAACGTTTTCCCCGAAGGACAGGCAGTGAATTGTTTTCTGTAGATCTTCCTCTTTCAGTTTGGCGATCTGCAGAGTGGCCTGCACCTCCTCTAGAGTTCTCATTCTGGGTGACAACGTTTTAATGAACAAACTCCTGTTTCAATACCAATATATACTTTCATAAACTACCTTAAAGTTACTTTGTTGGAATAGTGGGCGATTGTCAAATTTCCCCGCTCTCTTTTTTTTCTGGTGGGAAGGAAGTTTGGTGACGACGTTGAGGTGCGACGTCAAAGTAGGACCGAGTAGAAACTGTGGTTCGAAAGAAATCAAACAAATGCCCAAACAATTACCATTAAGCAATTATGTCAAGGTGTTTATGAGCTTCGTGAGTGAGTGAATGGCTTGTGTGTATCTATGAATTCGTATTACTCGCTACACAAGCTCGATATAGATTAACCTTTAGCATAGGAACAGTAAGGCCTCAATTCGTGTTTTGACCGAGAAGAAATAACGAACGGACCGCCTCTCATGAGCTGAGGGTCAAATGTTTTTGATGATGTTCTGGTAGTTTTATAGAAATGTCAAGTTTCTCCAGATCTGCCCAGGTAATCGTACAGATTACATATTGTATTTCAGATTTGAATGTCCCAATGTTGTGATTCAATTAACGCATAAATATAACGCTAGCTTGCTTATGTTTGCTAGCAACCAGCGTGGAAGTATGTGAATGTGGTAACGGCCAACGTTAGCTAGGAACGTAACGTTAGTTAACGTTAACCAGTGGATTGTCACATTTGTATAACCCAACGCAGTTGTTTTGCAACAAGCGCTATAACCAACATTTTTGTCAGCCGTGGTAAACTTTCATATATCAGCATTAGCGCTCTAATTGCCGTAAGAAGCTAACGTTAAGTTACATTGAATACGCGCAATGTGGCAGTTTGATTGCAGGACGAACATCACAGTGATGCCATGTTACACACACAGTTAGTTTGTGCATCCCGCGTCTCCTCAACACTCATCAAGGAGGCTGTTGTTGAGCTGAGAATATAGTAAAACCGTATCTTTGTCTTTCAGGTGCTTTCTATTTTTTAGGAAAGGGGAAAATGTTTTAACTGAGCAGGTGGATTAGATTAGATTAGATTAGAGAACTTTATTAATCCTCAATGGGGAAACTCATTCGCCACCAAAATAATTGTACAGACTCCTACAGACCAGGGGGTATGTTCATTTATACAAAAGCCATTGTTTCAGTAAAACTGATGAAAGAGTGGAAGATTCCTGTTTTCCTCCTTGCTCTAGTTGCTTGTGACCTAAACATCAAACTTCAGCTCTAAAGTACCCGAGTAGGGATGGAGGCTTGGCGCTAGAGTTAGAACTGAGGACAAACCGGTGTATCTTCTGTGGAAGTCTTTTCTTTACCTGCAAGAAATGAAAAAAGTGTGATAAACAACCAGAATAATAAAAGCGTTCATTCATTCACACATCTTAAATTATCAAACTCTCTGTGTTTAATAGTATATGCAGGGCCTCATTGTAAGTCGTTGTTCTAACCACATTCCCTAATCCTAACCCTTAATACTACTCATTTTGTTGTAGGGCAGAACCAATGAAACTGCTGCACGAGACATGATTTGGAAACGGTTGCTTGTGGCAAAATATATGTATATCTGAGTCCGAGCTGAAGCTTTGTTGTTTTGTCTCGTACCAACAAACATGTGCTTGTCCCATGCCAGTTTATTCAACAAATCCTTTGCCTCGTTCGTCTTTCAGCAATGGGCGACCTTCGCTCGTTCCTGGTTCCTGATCGATGCCAGACAGCAGCCCCCCGGGAAGATCGCAACCATGTGTTCTGTTAGATTGCAGGGGAAACACAAGCCCATCTACCACGCACTAAGTAAGTAGACGTCTGATCTGTTGAAGCACACACACACGCATATAAAGTAATCATTACCTGTCGAACATGAGCATAACCTTCACACTCCGCATGAAATACTGTTCTTTCAGTAAACAATCCAGTCACCGTTAGTTTGAGCTTGTTTTGGAATAAAATGGCCACACGATGTCAGTAGTAGAGCATAAGCTCGATGAATATTTAGCTTCCTGTGCCTGTGTTGAATTAAACGTATTCCTTTTCATACTTTTTACAACTATCCATGAAATAGATGTTTTCTGAACTTTTTCCAGGTGACTGTGGTGACCATGTAGTAGTTATAAACACCAAGCACATAGCTTTCTCTGGAAACAAATGGGAGCAGAAGGTCTACTCATCACACACGGGGTAAGTGCAGGCTTTTATATAACCACATTATACTTCACTTTGCCCGTCCATTTTTATTGTGTTTCCACTGAGTGCCACTCAGAAAGAAAATGGAGTTCCTCTACATAGTACTTTATGCATTGCGGTTGGTTAGTATTTCTCGACGCTTTTAGATGCTCTAATATCCCTTGACTGCTAAAAAGCATTAAAAATGTACTATTGTTTTCTACAAGTGGCCAATTAAATTTTTTTTGTGGTAAAGAGAAAAACATTTTGAAGAGGGGCACAAACAGATTCATATTTAATTGATTCATCAAAAACAAAAAATAGAATGTTATTCATTTTCTGTTCTGTTTTTATTCATTGACTGTTTAATGGCCTCCTTGAATCAATTTGGTAGAGACACGGACTGACAGGTTTTCCTTTTCTCTAAAGGTATCCAGGTGGGTTCAAACAGGTCACAGCTGCTCAGCTGCACCAAAAAGACCCAAAAGCTGTAAGTGTCATCAACCAATATTCTCCATTTTGTACCATTATTTTTCTAAAATCTCAGATATACCACTGCCACATTCCCATATTCTCATTTCTTCTTCTGCCACATGCAGAGAAAGAGAGAAGGTGTTTTGTGGTTAGACATCATCACTCCGCACATGCAGCTCATGCATACTAATGTGAAGTGCAGCAAACAGGGATACACAGTGAATTTACACGGTTGCATTCTCAAACTCTATAAAAGAATGTCAGTTCAAGGACACCTGCTGGGGGGTTTGGTTATGTTGCATATTCATGGTTTCAGGGTTGGGGATTCTTCAATGGGTTGCAGACACAGTGATCATTACATTTAGAACTTGATGGGAATACAAATGCATATGACGAACCGCTAACCATTGACGTCTGCATTTCAAAGCAAAGTGTCTTTGTCACAAGAGAGAGAAACAGCCCCCCATGAGCCGGAAGGATAAATCTGGTTAATTTGTGTATTTTTAACCAATGACATGATCCCCAAAGAGTGTGTAGCTAAATCCTGATAATGGCTCATTCCTCTGCTCCAAAGAGCTCTACTAAATCTATGACTGGGTTATCTGTTATCTGCTCCTTCATTACAATGACAATGTGAACTGTATTTTATGTTGATTCACTGCTGTCTAATTCCCAGTGGCTTTTTCCATTTGATTTTGGTTTATTGCAGAAAATGAATTCTGTGACAAACACAGGTTTATGACACTGACACTGGATACATTTCCAGAGGAAACACCACTTGTAAGATCGAGGAAGAATGAATGCAACCAGCAGGAGTAACATCTAACACTAAGCTGTAAACAATGTGCGTGAAGTGAATAAGTTTCTAATCTGTAGTTTGCAAAACCAGGAGGGACATTTAGTCCCTCCTGGTTTTTAAGTCCCGCCGTTAACCACAGACGTGTCTCCGGATGGTGGTCTAGTTAACATGAAGATCAGAGGGTGGGTGAGGGAGAAACAGAATTGGACAGATGAATGATTTGGCAGCGCAGCCTCAGTCCAACATCTCGCTCCAATCCTTCTGTCCAACATCTCACCCCTGTAACTCCCTCCAAGTCAAATTTACATTCGTGCGACGAGCCTCATAATGAGAAACACAGTTTTAGAAGCAAATATTAGAAAATGTGAAAAAGTATGTGACGGTTGCTATAGGCACGTTTATTTGTGTTATGTGTATGTCAGAAGTGACCGTACGCTTTTAATGTGCTTCCTCTCAACAGATTGTAAAGTTAGCGGTTTACGGCATGCTGCCGAGGAATCTCGCACGCCGCACGATGATGCAGCGGTTGCACATCTTTCCCGATGACGTAAGTCCAGTTTTGCGCCTCTACGTGCTATTTTGCTCTTTGGATGTGTGAATAAGAAAATGATAATTATGTACCTAGATGCTTCCATGTATTTATCAGTGTGTCAACCTGTCGCCTCGTCCTTCTTCGAATAAGCTTGCACTGCGTCCTCGATGCGGTGACCTGCGAGCACTTGGTAGCACTCAGTTGACCCGGGCGGCTTGACCAAATTATTTAACGGATGTCATTTGTATCCATGCACGAGAACACTATGAGATTGTCTAGACTTGTAATGTACTACGTGAGGTGAGGGAAGTCCAATCCCTGTGTTGTTTTTTTTTGATCCAGGTTTAATATCCACCATCACCTTCCCTAATTACAAACAGATTGTGAATGTCCGCAGTCACATTTATAATTCGGCCCAGTTCCAGAACAGTTGCTTGCTTGTTTCTGAAAGCGGAATAGCACATTTTCCCTCCATGTTAATGTCCTCTACATTATTCATCATGTCCTTACTTTTCCTCACACACTTTCATACAACATTTCAAAGTCCTTTCTGTTCTTCTCTCACTAGGAGCTGCCAGAAGACATCCGAGCCAACATAACGGAGGAGCTGCAGCAGCCAAGAGAAATCCCCAGGAGACTAAGCGAGTACACGCAGGAGGAGATCGACGCCTTCCCCAGGCTGTGGACACCGTATGTTCAAACGCACACGCACACACAGGCATGGGGGGGGGGGGGGGGGGGGGGGATTGTAAAGGTGTTCACATTTATCTAAAGGGCCAATGTCCAAGGCAAGGAACCCAAAAAAGGAAAGGCCGGTTTTCTTTTATGGCAACTCCCAAAGGCTGGATAAAAAAAAGAGGTTTAACAATTTAGTTTCCTCCCTTTGCCCCATATGGAGGTACCACCCCCCGCTTTAAATTGGAGGGGAGTGGGAACAGCCAAAAGGGGGGCGAAATGTTGAACTAAAATACTTTGTTTGGTGCTCTGCCCACCCAAACACCCCACCCTTTGGGACGGTAGTTGTCTTAAAGTAATGTTAGTTGACACCTTTTCATCATTTGTAATAATTCAGTCAATCCTGCTGTTAGAGCTGTAAAAATAAATTGAGTGATAAACCTGAATTTATATATTTATATATATCTCTCAGGTTTATCAACTGAAAGCAACAAAATGGTGCACTTGACTTCAGAGATGCTTGAAAACCCTTTTTTGTGGACAGTTACAAAATTTAAGATGCAACATTTGACGATGATGCACAGAGAACAAACACCGGCTGTTGGACGAGCAGCAACTCGATTGAACAAAATAGGTTCTCCTTAAAAACCTGCAAGGTTGCTGCTCCTGTGTGATTACAGTTGTCTTGCACACAGTTCTAGTACCTAAGTACATGGCTCTTTTCCCACTATATTTTTTATTTACTGTACATAAGTGTTTGTGGGGTTTGCTGTTTTGTGCTCTGAAGGTTGCGTATTGCAGTGTCATGTGATCTTTCCTGAAAGCTTTTTAAATTGAGGCCGTTGCATGACAGCATGACACATATAACCGAGCCTATCTGTACTGTTTAACAGAAACTATCTCAAAAACTTCAGGTTTGTCTTTTCTCGGTCTAGCTCAACATTTGAATATAAATGAAAAAATGTCACGTTGGGAAAGGAGACTGATTTTCCACCACTTACAAACAACTTTCCTCCGTGCGGCGTGAGAGAGCTCACCCATCTGTTTTTTGGCATAATCGTATTCATGACTTTTTGAGTGAAGTATTTTCTGTCTGGAGATGGGGCTGACATCGTGACCCCTCGTTGGCCGATCATGATAATGTCCCCCTGTTGCCTTTCTCCGGCTTCATCTGTAGTCAACATCGTTGTGACCGGTCTCTCCTCCACCTGCTCATGCAGCCATCCGTCCCGTAGCTCTTCATCCAGATCAGGGTCGGAGAAGTCACTCAACACTATTTTTTGACTGCTCCGTCCTTGTGAAAACAGATGAAGTGATTTGATGGAGAGAGATTTACACGTCTTGGCTCAACCCTGTGTGGCGGTTTACTGCTGTCACACTTTGATAAATAATGCACATGCAGTTTTATTTTGCTTGTTTGCCATTTCTATTAATTCTATGCTGGAAATTATAATTCTCATTATTTAGGCAAAATGAGTAGAGAAATATTGTTATAAAACTATAGTCACTGCAACGCAGCTGGAGGGAGTCTTGGCAACGGTACTCACAGTATTAAAAAGCAGGAGAATGAAGAGCAGATTTTTCAGGAAATCAGACAGTTACCGTTGAAAATCCATTGGGACAAATTGTTGCCTCTAAAATAGAAATTTTTCTAAATGTTATTGCAATGATGTGAAGCACAAAATGTCTTCCACCTTTTGTTGTATTGAGGCGACCGTAGAAATCTTCATGGTTCGTTACTGCAGGATGAGAATAAGACGTTTTATTTTAATATGGATTGTTGATCTTTTAAAGCTACAGACAGTACTTCTCTACGATGCTGTTACCAGTATCTCAAATACATTTAAAGTAAACAAAACCTACGTTGGTTTTAATAAAGGAAGGGAAATCCCTTCATGGATCATAGCTATCTGTGGATTCACACTGCCCTCTGTGTGCGTGCGTAGAACAGCATGTCTAGCTAAATGCACGTTCCGCACTGCTGTCAGAGTGTGTGTGTGAGATAAATGAGCCACTTCTTTTTGTTTACTAGCCAAATCTTCTCAGCCAATCAGTGCGTGTGCTCAGGCCCGTCACCGCGTGATCACCAAGGTCAAGCTAATCCGGGTTTATTTAAGAGATGGGCCTTAGCCTAGTTGATATTCACTCCCAGTCGGTCTTATTCATTTTACTGATCAAATATGTGCGTGCGCTTGTGTGTGTGTTCAGGTCATCGAGGGCGATTCAATTGTTACCTTTTATTAAACACATACTTAATATTCTTTCAGAACACCTTGGAGGAAAAAGATTAGTACACACACACACTGTTCAGTTACAGAAAATTGACAACATAAACATTCTGTTAAAGCTGATAGCAGAGCTTTTACAATTGATAACATTTTTCTATTTTGTATCAAAACCAATGCAGCAGGTTCTGATAATATCTGTCTGCTGCAATCTCAGCTCAAAATGAAAGGGAAAAAAACACTAAGGATGCCGTGCCGGGTTTCATTTAAGAAAGAAAATAAACCCAGATAAGATCTGCGTGGTTTCTCATCTGTCACTTTCTCTCCATGTTTTTCCTCGTAATTGTTTTTTTTATTCCCATTCCCCATACTAATGTGTTGTGTTTTTTCCCTAGACCTGAAGACTACAAGATGAAATGAAGGCAAGCCTTTCCAACCTGACCAAAACTTTGGGTAATCCTTGATTGTATTTGTAGTTGTGATAATTCAAAATCAGGTGTCCTTCATGAGATTTGCATGTTATCCATTTTAAAACAAATCTGTTTTAGGTAAAATGTTTGGACAGGAAGGCACGACCTATAACCTAGATGCCATTGTCATGACAGTCGTGTTACAATCGACAGTACATCTTAAATAGTCACATGGCTTGACACCAAGTGGCTCAAATTTGAGTTTTTTTTTTCAGATTATACAACCATGACTTGATCAGATCTGGCCCATGAAAGAATAGAGCAGATCCTGCTTTTGGTTAAAAAAATTCCAGAGTTGTAAAAGTAAAAATGTCTTTTGTGTAAGTTGTAAAATAGGCTAATAAACAATTTAATAAACCGGCGGTTGTCAAGTATTTTTTTTCCATAGTAAATCTAGTAAAATTAAACAAACAACCTAAAACACATTTTATAGTTTTAAGAGATTTATTGGTTATAAAAGCAAACAAAAATAAATAAGTTCATGTTGTACTAAGGGGCGTTGCGGCAAGACACATTTGTTATTAAATTTGTTGAAGCTCGACAGTTTTTCAATCCAAAGGAGACCAGGACCAGCTCTCAGCTGAACTAGCAGTTACTTTAGTGCTTGTTTTCTGCAGTGCAGGAGGGGTAACGCGAACCCTCGTGGTTCAGTCCTTGTTGGTTTCACTGAGAAGCAGCAGAGGGATTTTCATAATAACTGGAATCAAGTCTCATTCCAGCAAGAAGTCAGAGGTCGACCAGTGACTAGACAGCTTCCACAGTGAGCAGGCCCAACTTTGCGTAAGAACAACAATAAAATCGAAACATACGGGGAAACACCGATTTCTCTTCATCACAAGTATTAAAACCCAGAACACACCTGGTCCACAAAGTGGGATGCTAGCTAGATGTTCTGAATGGAAAATAAAATGTTTGCGAAAGTAATACATTTGTTTGGCTCAAAGGGGACATGCAGCTTCACACAGAGAGAAGGGCGTAGTCCTGAAATCAGCTGTGAGGCGGGAAAAAAATCTTACCTTTACATTACGACTGGACGATGCTAACATAGATCAGGCACTTCTCAGACACCCCTTTTACAGAGTTATTGTACAAGTCCACAGAGCTATTTACATTGTTTCACCAAGTGGAGAAAACCACTAGATGCACAAGGAGGGGGCGGGCAAAGTGATCTGTTTCCATGTATGGTCATCAGCGTGTACGTTGTGGCGTGCGGGGGCTCAAGCACTTGAGGCGTGTCCATAATTCCTTTCACAAGTCCTCTCCTCGTTCACACGACTGCGCCACGGGGAAACCTGGCGATGCCCGGCGACCTCACCTCCGTGTCCTCGGAGTGGGTGGGGCTTGAGTGGTAACCGTTGTGCCTGTGAGCCAGTTGGGAGGGTTGTTGGGGGTAGTACTGACGGGGGTAACCCCGGTAATAGGGGTCCTGCTCTTCTTCCTCCTCCTCCTCCTCCTCCTCATCCTCTCCTCCATGGTCGTAAGCCTCTGCAGCAGGGTTGTGCGGCTGATTGTGGGGCTGCACGCCGGCGTGAGGAAGGGGTTGGACTGAGGTGTTGGGAATATTTAGATTCATTTTGAGTGAATGTTTCGGGATCACCGGAGCGGACATAAAACCACCACCACTAGGGAACAGTTGGAAAGGTGACATTGGGACTGGAACCACCTTGAACGCTACCACTGTTTCTTTAAAAGCAATAACAATGCAGTTGAAATGTTACAAAAACAAGTCAAAAGTTGCACAGGTACATTTGATTCCAAAGGTTTACGTTAATGAGGTGAAGCGGGTTAATGAAATGGAAGGAGATCTGGTTTCAACCCCATATTGCCCCCCAAAACAATGACATCTGGGTAACATTAGGAGCAAACCGTTGCCCAGTCTACAGTAGATGAGATGGACAGTTGTTCAGTAATGAACGTACCGAATTAGCCTCAAAGCAATTCATCCCTATTAAGCTGATCCATCAGTGACTGCAGCAGCAAACCATTGTGTACGCTAGTGTTTGTGGACAGATGCCACAGAGATCAGTGGTTGTCATCATTGCAGCAGCTCAATGGGGTTTTGTTTGGTCGTGGGGGAAGGAAAGCTTATCTGTTTTTGTCTCAGACTGTCAAATGATGAAGAAGCCAGATTAACAATTAAATTCTATCAAGAATGTTAACTGATGGTGGAAGTGGATCCAGTGTCTGTTCATGGCAATGAATCGTTGTGTGACTGAACACAATGGATGCTTGTTAGATTAGTCGCCTTAGAAATTCCAGATCATTTTGCAAAAGAATCAGCAAGAATGAATAAGGAAATTGTTTTCTGGAGAAACAAAATGTGGGATTAGAGGTTAACCACCGGTGTCAGGATTAATGAACCATTCCAATAAATATGGAGAACAGAGGGATGATTTATCAATTCTTCTCAGTTTGTAGTCATATGTGAAGGGCACAGAGGGGAGGAAGGTGAGCAGAGGACGGTCGAAGGATGTTCCTCAGTAATCATTCCCATAGTCCTGTTGAACTTCAGTCCAGAAGAGAACGAGACAGAGGGAAGGGGACACAGAAGAAATAAGAAGATTTTACACCTCATACGAGCAAGAAAGCCCAACGACACCAGAGAGTTAAACCTGTGAATCCCCACTGACAAAGAGTTAAACCTGTGAATCCCCACTGACAAAGAGTTAAACCTGTGAATCCCCACTGACAAAGAGTTAAACCTGTGAATCCCCACTGACAAAGAGTTAAACCTGTGAATCCCCACTGACAGAGTTAAACCTGTGAATCCCCACTGACAAACCAAAGAGTTAAACCTGTGAATTCCCACTAACATAACTTTTACAGCTGTTAGGTTGCACATTAGTGTTTAAATCCGTTGCTCTCTTTTGGCGGAAGGAAATACACAAACCCTGAGAGGTTCTTATAAAACATTTAGCTAGTATAAATATTATTGCATTCAGACATTCAAATAAAACTTTTGCAAGGAAGGAACGTGGGCCAAATCTATATTTCTCTTTCTGCAGTGGAGAAAGTGTAAATAAAGATTTCCAACACAGAATTCAGAGAGAGTACAGAGAATACACACAAATAACATCCCCTGTGACAAAAACAATATGTGAATAATGACTCAGTCATTATTCACAGTTGTTAAATAACTGCACCTCATTACGCCATGAATACTCATTTGAATGTGATTAATAGTGTGTATACAGCAACACTAAAATATATGTTAAGTTGAAATATATTTTGAGAAATTATTCCTCTGACATGGAGATAAAATAGAATTTTATATTTCAACCAACCAACCAGTACGTGAACAGCTTTAATTATATGCAAAGTGGTCCATACCTTTAATTTTAGTGGACATGTAACATTTGTTATGACTAATATGACATTAAAAAAAGTGTTAAGCGTTGGTGGCTTTTTAAATTACATTTTTGTGATGTACTATATTTTTTCTGACAAAGTTTATTTTGTGATCGACTTAATATCAATTGTGACCAATTATATTACCACAAATGTGGTTTCTTATGTAATTTCAAAGACCTTTTGAGTTTTTATAACCTTCCATATTATTCTTGCAAGATACTAGAACATACCTTTATACAAAAAACAAATGTTTTATACTATTCTATTACTTTTGTGAGGAATTCTACACAAATGTGCTATATTATATAGTTTTATTTAAACATCTCACTGAACCCTGGTCAAACCAAGCACTGAGTTCACTAATGTTTACTCTGATGTGACGCAACTCATAAAGAGCGCGGAGGACACAGCGGTGAGGCTCCTCAGGGAGGACAAGCAGCTGCCTTACAGTGAGGAACGTCTATGACCAGAAAACCCTGCAAGGAATGGTCGGGACAGCTGAGAAGACCATCAAAACCCCCCCCGGCAATCCATCCAGGATATCGCAAACATCCGCTGCTGGAACAACGACGTGGCAGCGCTTTGCGATGTTCACACTACACACTTCTGCTTTTGTCAGACGGTGAAATTGGCGTCAAGAGGAGAGAGAGGACGACCATCGGCAAAGAGCAGTGGGTTGAATTCTAACCCGGGCCGCTCAGTAAGAACTCGCAGCAGTTACTTTAACGGGTCGGCTACGGGCCGACGCGAGGGCCACTTTTTTGTGACCTCATGATGGTTTTTTCATACTAACCTATGCCGTTGAAAACCATCTTTTATTAATTTATACTGGCCCAGATAGTCTAAAGAAATGATAATTACGTGGGTTTTGAGTTTCCTGTCAAAATTGTATTTTTGTTTAAGGAACATGACCTGATGACCCTATGTGTGCTTTTAGATACAATTTTCTGCAGGAAATGTAACAATATATATATATTTTTTGATCTATAATGGTTCCATTTAGAAATTAGGACAAGACTAGCAAGAATAAAGTCTTAAATTATTAATGCATAACGGTGCGGTCCACAGTATGCTACTCAAATAGAAGTTAATTGTTTGAAAACAACTGCGATGTAACTATATATATTCACATCACGAGTACATTATATTGTTTTAAAACCCTCCATCCATCCATCCATTGTCAGACCGCTTATCCTGCACACAGGGTCGCGGGGGGGCTGGAGTCCATCCCAGCCAACTTCGGGCGATAGACAGGGTACATCCTGGATTGGTCGCCAGCCAATCGCAGGGCAACACAGAGACACACAACCATTCACACTCACATTCACACAACTACGGGCAATTTAAAGTCCCCAATTAACCTGATCCCCAGAGCATGTCTTTGGACTGTGGGAGGAAGCCGGAGAACCCGGAGAGAACCCACGCAGACACGGGGAGAACATGCAGACTCCACACAGAAAGGCCACTGGGCGGAATCGAACCCAGGACCTTCTTGCTGTGAGGCGACAGTGCTAACCACCACGCCACCGTGCCGCCCTGTCATACTAAAAATAAGGCGAGTTCAAATAGTGCTCACCTCCGACGTTGTAGCCCAGACAGGAGTTCTGGTCACAGTACCCTGGCGGGCCGGCGGCCCCGGGGGCACCTGGGTTCCCCGTCCTGCCCGGTGTTCCAGTATTACCGGGCCGCCCGGGGGGGCCCTGGCTGCCTGTCCGTCCTTCACCCGGCAGGCCTGAGGATGGGGGACAAGGCGTCGAAGAAGGCAGAGTGCATTAAATCAGTCATCAATGAATATTCATTAAAACAACTCTGAGAGGGCAGAGAATGAGAGGTAAGGAAAATCAAGTAAAAAATGTGCCGGGCCACATCCTGTCACTGTAATATCGCCTCTTCCATCTCCGCTAAATCCCTCTCTGTGCTCCTGTGACAACATGGCAGAAAAGACGCGATTGTCCTTTCTGGATGAGGGAGATAATAGCTCATGGCCTCAGGGTACAAGTAGAAATTACACAGTTTTTAGCCACAGGCTTCTGCCTTTTTTTTTTTACACAAGAGAAAGTGCTTCATCAGGACTCACTTCAGCAGTCAGCTGAACTATGAAATCAATACTTTGAGGGCAGTTTCATTTGCCAAGAGCTAAAATTGTTATTCCACAAATGTTCCAGAAAAGCACAGAGAAGAGACGGAGGGCTTTGCCCGGTACATTTCTCTCAGAGAACATTTCCTCTTTCATATATTGAAGTGTTATTATTCATTTGGCAGTTATCCGACAACAGAAAAGTTTCTGTGGCTTGTGAGTGTTGATCACACAACAGTAAATCTCATAACTGACATAATAAACACGAACCCCCAAACTTCACACAGGGAAGTCAACACAGCGAATTACATCGCGCTCCAAAACGTGCTCGCTGCCCTCGGACGGCGATTTAACAGAGAATAACGCGGATGAAGATTTCAATGGCTTTCTGTGCAATTATGTTGTTTAAATATTTGAAACATTTTTGCTTTTGGTTTACAGAGGGTACAAAATGGGAAAAAACATCTTCATGTTTTAGCTCCCCAAGCTCCGCTTGGTTGCAGTCCGAAAACACCACAAAGAAATGTCCAGAATATTCTGCTATATCGCGTCCTAATTATATTTGAGCAACAAGCGGATTAAGTTGGCTTTTAAAACTCATTGAGCATCACAACATGTGTATAGGTTTGTAAGTATCTTACCTGGAGGTCCGGATTGTCCTCGGGGTCCCTGACTTCCAATTCCTGGACTCCCTCTTTCTCCCTTGTCACCCAAAAGACCTGGAAGGACACCGTTCAAAGAGATGCACATAAAACTCAAATGCACATTTCATCTTTCTCTCTGACAAGTACAACTCATTTTTACTAATGCTAATTCATACCGTCATCTATTATACTGCAATTCATCATTGCACAACATTCATCTGAGCTATATTTATAGATCAGGGGTCTCAAACTCAAGTCAGGTACAAGCCAGATGCAGCCCACCTCGACCGAACGCGGGCCAGACCATTATGGCCGACGGGGGGGATGACACTGACGGTCCGAAACGGTCGGCGCTGGGGTGGAGGTTGTAAGTGGCTGCTAACAGCGAGGTTGCTACAATATGGAACTCGCGGGTCGCACTAACATTACACTTTCATATGAAGGCGGGGGCCACAAAATATCGTCCCGAGGGCCGCAATTGGCCCGCGGGCCGCGAGTTTGAGACCCCTGTTATAGATGATACATTAAAACACTGTTCCACGACTTTTGGCTTATAAAGTTATTAGCAGTTCTATCAGAGATTTTTCCTCTGGACTTCTTACTTTTTAAAATTTAAATAACTTGAGGCTCAAAAGATAAAAACAAAAACTTGTTCTTTTTATGAACGACTTAATCAACTGCAACCGTAAAGAGGAAGTAAATACAAAACATTTTCTATATGGAGGCCGCTTCCCGTCCTCCTTTGTCAACAATTGCCACTTACTGACCTGCACACTCTCTCTATATTCTGGACGCTAAAGCATGTGAACTGCACATGGTTTCATCCGTTTAGCCTCATCACAACTTTCTTCCTCATTCTGGAGTCACACTTACATAAACCATCTGACTTAATGATAACATGTCTACTTTTCTTAAGCCTGCTATTCATCTTTTATAATATTCGTCCGACTCTGGTTTCAGTTCAGCCAATAAAACATCAAAGCATGTGATTTTTTTATTGGGTAGAATCAAAGGTCTGGACGTGCTGGACATTTCCTGACGGCGGATTTCAGCTTTCCGCCATGCGTGCAGGCTTACTTAGTATGTGGGTCTGGAGAGTGGGTTGCGAGTTTTAGTGAAGAAGACAGCCTCATAAAAGCAATTTCTAGACGAGTGGCAGGGGAATGACTTCATGGATGTTGAAGTAACTTCCTTCTGGCCTGGACTGAACTTAGCGGAGCTCTGACCCCGACTGTGAGGAAGAAGAGCAAGCCAGACCACGCAGAGCAAACCTCATTGTCAATGTTGTAAATCAGGATAAACTTTGGTTGGTATGCCGGTAAATATTTCTATTAGCATGTCTCAATCTGCATCATTGTTATAGCGGCCCTTTTAAGGGTGTTTTTCATTTCGGGCGCCGGTTGTCCCTCGCCCAAACTTGGCCTGGTGTTCAGCCCCTTTCCACACAAGAAATCCTGAAAGGGGAGGTACCAATGGAATAAGTATGTTTTCTTCAGACTGAGCTACAGCCTCTTGGACAATAATGGCTTCCTTCATTTCCTGTCAGCTCTGCAATAAAGCCATGAAAAAAGAAATAAAAGAGAAGCCAAAGGTTCCATACCAATCGCGTCTTAGTTAACCATACCTATAAATATATGCTCCATTTCCACCCTTTATTTGTTGACTATTATGACTTCACATCACAGACTATAACCGGCTCACTGTGGCAAGAGCGGACCATTAAACCCTGAAATGCTTCCTCACACGCGCAGGCAGACTAGACCCGACCCAATTGGTCAGTATGTTACTAAGAGAATAAGAGATATACGTATGGAAATTGCCAAGTAGCTTTAGTTTTCCTGAGCCACTCCTTCTCTCAACATGTGTCATGCATCCAGTGAATAACGGCCATTGCTCATAGACGCATCCTCCCTCACCTCTCTCTCCCGGAAGCCCGTTCTGGCCGCTGGCGCCGGGGAAGCCCGGCCTGCCGGCTGGCCCTGGCTCTCCCTGGGGGCCCGGGGAGCCTCTCCTCCCCGGCTCCCCGGGTGGTCCTGGTACTGTTCGGACTGACGTTGCTGCCTGGGCGGGGATCTGGTTCAGTATGGAGTTATAGCGAGACAAGTGGCCTGCGCGAGTTAAACGAGGAGAAGGGATTGAAAGGATTTAAAATGAGCTCTTCAACAATTGCCCTTAATAGCATGCTGGTGTAACTGTGAAAATATTCCTTACTCACTCTGGATGAGCTGCTCGCACACTTGCCGAGCAATGGCATGCACAGCAGCTTGGGATTGCACGTCACCCTGAAGACAAAGATGGCGCTTTCATGATCTGATATTAAACAATCACCCTGTAGACTGAATATATTTAGTATTTCAGTGCATCGTATTGATTGGATTTGATAGCTGACATAAGTGGCTGTGAGGTCTGACGTTGGCCATTTTTTATATTAAGAAAAGCTCTAGTTTCTATACCTGAGAGGTGAGATAGTATTGAGTTGATAACTTCAAATGGCTTCCGAAACTCTTCCTAATCTCAAAGTTCAGTCTACTTGTCACACGGACCAGAACACACCCCATGAAATGGTGGAATGACGTCTTCTATGCTCTGCGGGAGCTTTCCCCGAGCATTTAGGAAGCAAAAAATGCAAAATGCAAAGGAAGACATGAAGTTTATCCAAAGAATTTGCCCCTGCTGGGGAAGTCAATATGTTGATTTGATTTCGAGAGGGAATTTATTATGTCATTGCCCCATAATATTCCATTGAAATTTGGATATAATTTATATATTGATATATTGATTTGATTAGTTGGCACTGCACTCTTATTTTACTTTTGTGTAATGGAGTCGATATTTGGAGTTGTAATAAGTTTCAAATATTTATAATAGATTTGTCTTGAATCAAAAAGGTTGCATTGATGAATCAATGTTTTTATGAATGATGTGACTGATTACTGTATGTATCTTATAAATACATTGGGAAAAAAATATTTTTTTAAACGTTTACTTTCCCCCTTATTCATATATTAAGTTTTAATCCATACAAATTTAAACCAGGCATATGAAACAAGAATGAGTGAATTTCGGGGCAAAAGACAAACAAGACTGAATCTTGTTGTTGCCTCATTTCGTATCCTCAAAACAAGTATTGGTGAGTTTTACTCTTTTAGTCAGCAAAATAACAATATTTCCAGTGTGTAATGAAGCAGCAAAAATAATTTGTTCTAAACAGGAGTTACAGACTTACTCTTTCTCCCTTATCACCTTTGGTACCAGAAGGACCCTGGAACATAAAAACACAGGAGGAGAATACATATTAAAATGGGATGTGTACTAGAAATAGTCTCCCTCCCTCCTTTAATGCCCTCGCCTCATTACCTATTTTTCTTTATACTGCTTCTCTTACACAAACAACTACACATTCGTTTGTCTGGTCTGATCCAACAGCTGATATGACAGTTTGAGACCTGGTTCTTTTGCATGTTCGCTAAAACATTAACATGCAATACTTTGGCTTGGAGGAGGATTCTTTGATGCTTCTACCAACACTGTAAAATACAAAGATTTATATCTGATGACAACACACACACACACACACACACACACACACACCATGCACATAAAGCAGATCAATGCATCGCAGCGTAACGCATTGTGATCCGCAGGCAAATAAAAGTCTAGAACTTTTGCTTGGCCACAGAACTACGTGCTGATATGATTTGCATCGGTTTCGATGTTGTTACAGCTTTTGAATAAAAGCGTGTTTATCTTGGGGGGGAACATGTCCTTGACCACCACCTGACTGGCTGGGCGTTCAGGGGGTTGATGGATAGAGAACGATGAGAAACTGTGTGAGCAGGCTTGGCATATCGTACAGTGTGCGCGCTGCACCGATGGAAAGCTTGTGCCAACATTTGACACAGCCACGGAAATGGAGCACAGTTCTCAGCAATAAATGTGTTCTGCCGGACCTCCTCTGCGTGTCTGGCTGCATCTCCAGTCTTTTCTGGACATGTAACTGTCTGCCGTGTTAACAGTGTGACATGGGAAAACCAAATCCAACTGTGTCAGCCTGAGTGGAGTGGGAAAAAGACAAGGATATTTCTCACAGGAATATGATTAATTGTGTTATTTTATCAAAGATTTAGCCTATTGTGCCCCGTATGCAGAAATGATCCAAAGTACAGAGTCAGTGTTTTTCTCACTCAAAATGTTTTACAATTCATCTGCAGAAGGAAAAGATTATGACTTTTCTTTTGCACAGCTCCTCAGAAAGGACTGGCCAAACAATCTCAAGAAGATATTTTCTTTTTCTGTTTTTGTAAGTCAAATTGCAATCAAGTCAATGATCACATGCTTGGACTCATTGTCACACAATCGTCCTCAAGTGCTATTTGAACTGTTTGAGAGACTTGTGAGGCCGGCTGTTTATACAGTGGTATATGATAATGTGTACCAAATTGAATGATAAATCCAAACTTGTCAAGGAGAATTCTGCAGCTTAGCATCTGTTAAGCCTGTTTTTCCATGTTCCTTATTATGAAAATTTATAATTATTTACATTGATGAATAGAGATTGATCAAAATCTTCGTAAATCTAAAGTTTGGGATTTCCCATTAGATGCTGCAACATTAACTCGTGTTGCACTCTGTATCTTCAGAATCTTATATTGTCTTTATTGGTGTAAATCCACTGCTCTTCAGTGAATTATTTATTTCAGTAGGACAGATGTGTGGAACTTCTGTGTCCGCCTCAACAAAATAGCTCAGTTACAACACGTACGACAAAATGCAAAAAAGTCCCTGTGTATTTCTACGGCTGCTTTCAGGTAAAAAAAAGCCCACTTGTTTAAGAGGAAAGTATAATCTTGTAAACCTGGAGACGGGTTGCAGAGGGCACAAAGACGACTGAATCAGCAATTTAATGTTTAAGTGAATTTTGAAACTAAAAGTTTAATATGTTTAAGAGATTATTTCTCAGGAGAGCAAGATATGCTTTTCTTCGTGTATCTGTGCTGGTTTGCTGCATGTGCATGCATGGATACAGGGTGTCTGTGTCTTCTGTGTGTTAGTAATGAGGCAGATGTGATCTCTCATCCTTTTGTTTTTTTTATGTGTGTGTCAAGGGAGCGAGAGCTTTGTGATTTATAGCTCTACCTCTCTGAGCCAAACTTTGCTTCTGGCCTGCAGAGCTGACCTGAGACTGGATTAGCTGTCCCCAACATCACATTATCACCTGTTTCTGTATGGAAGCCAACATCTTTATCTGGGCATTCTTCTCTGACACATCTTTCCTATTCTTTTGTAGGGCTTTTTAAACCGTCTCACTTTACTTTTAGAATTGGAGGTAATGCTTCCTATTTTGGTTTTCAAAAGATGAATCATTATTCAATTAGCCCGGAGCAAACACTATATGATTGGTGTTTTTCATAATCTGAAGCGATACGCTTATTAGTAGTGCTAAATTCTGACCGAGTGGTACATGCGTGATCATGAGGACTGTGTCCAATACCAGGCTTTTAAAGTCAACATAAGTAAGATCAGAAAAACAGGACTAATATGAGAAGAATAAACAATGTGTACAAGCGTTGGAAAAAATCCACAATGTTTGTCATATTTAATCAAACCGGTTACTTTGTAATGCAGCTGTGAGATTTTTCTTCTGTAAATTTAGGCGGACATGATGGGAGAAAAACATCTAAAGACTCAAGTGGGTGGAGTGAAGTTGTGTTAAGCTCTCGAGTGGACTTTTCAGAACCATTTCAGTCGAGCTCCTTGATTCAGAACAAAACTCAGCACCAAAGTTTTCTCATATAATTCTTAACAAAATAAAAACTCACAGGAAGTCCTTGATCTCCTTGAGTTCCTGCTGAACCGACAGGTCCATGAGCTCCGGGTGCTCCTGGGGATCCCTGAGGGAAAGTCAAAGAAAGTGACAGAAATGAAACAGGTTCATGTATCAGCGTGATCTGTCAGACAAAAGAAAGAAGGAAAAAAAAAAGACTATAGACACTTACAAGAGGTCCAGGAGGCCCTTGTCTTCCCTGTGGTCCACTATTACCCGGCAGACCCTGAGAGATGCAGATGCTCACATTACAATTACAAATACAAATTGTCATCCAGGCAACTTAACCAAACTCAGCAGCTGTTACATCTGCTGTCCAAACTCCAGGCGTGGAGACAAATGCCTCCAATCAAACTTTCATTCGGTTTTACTTTTAGACAGTTTGAAGAAGACACAGGTGCATTCTTTCTGACTTTTGGCTTTTTCCCAATAAGACTGTTGAGTTTTTCACGCTTTGTATTGTAGTATCCTCAATGGCATTTTAAACATCTTAATGTCTTCCCCATGATGCTCTGTTTGAGGAGAACACGTGAATATCAAACTGGAGCTTTAACTTCAGAAGCACATTCATACCAACTGGAGAGTTCTGTGTTTCCTTTGGCTCTGTAAAGCTACACCATAATAACATGATATATGATAACGTGGTGGCTTTCGATCCTTCTCAAAATGTATCAATCTGAACAAATTTAGTGTTATTAAAACCCCATTTTCAGATAGTCTACGAACACAGCTTAATCTGAGGTTCATTCAATCCTCTCATTTTAGCTTGGATGTCTGAAATTACTTTGTGGTCCTTGTATAATACTCAGTTGAGCATGCGTAGGGTTGAACATTACAAAACCGTAATCGACTTAATTATGAGATGAGCATTAGCTTCTGTGAAAATAGAGTAGGATAAACTCAGTTTAGCCTCGGGTTGAAAAAGTTCTGACACCGTTTTGTATCGTAAGCTTCAAAATGAATAGCTTTCTGTTAATATTATTATTATTATTATTATTATTATAGGACCCAAGAGAGTTACTGCCGTTTCAGCTGATCTAACTGGCGGCTGCAGTGGAGTCTTTGCCAGACTTCTTTGGGCTTTTACACAAAAGCACATTGTGGATGCCCAGTGGACTCGTGGGATGCTGGTAACTTTTTGTTGATAAGAGGACATCTGCACTGACAGTTCTGCTGTGTGTGTGCTGGATGACACGGCCCAGGTAGCACAGGCATTGTTAAATTATTTGTTTCCAAAAAGCTGCTTGTTATTTTTAATGATGATCAGTATTTCCTATATCGCCGTCAAAAGAAGATATATGGCTGTTGCGTTGATGACCTGCTGTGAATCGATTCTATTTAACTGAAAAAAAAATACATTTAGGGCATGCTGCTGGAAACATCAGCCTGAGATGCTGCAGTTATTCTGCAACAACAACAAATGCTGATTTGAAATGTCTTATTAAAACAAAATTGTATTTTTTTTGGTATTGCAAACATATGGAATTATTGTCTCAGCATCTCCACAACCATCAGAAATTGTTACACAATAGATATGAAGCATCTTGATGAAATATGGATGTGGAAGGCCTGTCATAATTAATGCTATAAAGGGGTTTATCTCCAAATAGAAAGAAGATAAAATTGCTCCCTGATTAGTCATGTTGCATGATTACACCTAATAATTAAAATGAGTTTTGTGTGTTCTGTGTGTGTGTGTGTTTTGCTTATCACCACATGGTTCAGTGCAGCGCGGTACTTCCAAAAGTTGAAAACTGAAATCTTTGCTGCTTTGTTAATCGTACCATAAAAGAATCAAGCTCCGAATGTGTATCTGACAAATTTTTGATAAATATTCCTTCAAATCCCTACACGTTGTAACTCAAAATGGTCTCACTTACCACTTGATTTGATCAGTTTACCGTATAAACCCAATGCAGTGGGTCTAACTTCAGAATGAATGAATAAATATTGATTAATCATATCATTAGTTTCAGCATTCACCGTGTTGGCACTTGATGCATAATGTGACATCTACAATGGAAGCAAACTAGTTATGAGCCAAATGAAGAAACACACTTTGATGTTGTGCAACCCTCTAGGGATAAGCGGTATAGCGGATGACACATTTGTTGACTCATTCAAACAGGAAGAACAGAAAAGTAATATTAAATGCAGTTTTAGTGACAAACCAAAAACAGATTGTGAGTTAAAGATCCAGTGTGTATCATTAAGTTTCACCTCGCAGTGATGTGGAAACCAACAGAATACGCTTTTGTTCAATCGTCCCCTTCCAAAGCTACGACAACACGAGCAGTTGAGCGCAACAGAAGTAACAGCGTTGTTCTTCAGGAGCAACTAAACTCTGACGACAGTTGGCAGATGCGCGGTTTTAAAGTCGGAGGCTAAAATGTTTTACATTCATGTGAAGGGGACTCAATCCCTTTGTGGTTATGAAGGACTCATTCCAAGCAAATCAAAACACAATCATTCTTACTTTAGGTGATTATACATCAAATACAACATAGTTATGGATAACATTTTACAATTCCGCAAATATATAAACCGCAGCCCTAAACACTGCTCCTTTATTGCCTTTGTTGCTTAAACCTCATTAACTCACAACCTCTCAGGCATCAGGAAAAAAAACCCAAATAAATAAACTATTGTCCAGAAGGAAATCACGCGACAAGCCTGAAAACTACGTTCTAAAAACTAACACTGAGGGGGTGACTGTCTGGACTGCTTTCACCAGCAAAGAGGCAGCAGGTGGATTATGTGTCTTTCACCTCGGCAGGAGTAGACGTGACTCAACACACATGATATTTTATTACTTTATTATCTCATCTTACTGACACAGGGTTTTGGTTTAATATCAAATCAACATATAATTTACCTATGTAATCTAGAGCTATATACTGTATATAGATGCGGGTAATGTAGATATATGCATCTCTAAACTGTATTGTAACTCCTAGAAACACATGTGACGGAGCGTCCCTCACGGCACCAACTCTGCCCACAACTACGCCATCGTTTTTGTGGGATTCAGTAAGTAAAGAGAGAACCCCGTCACAGGGTACTTGTCAGTTGATGGTCTTACCCTTGCCCCCGGGGGGCCGTCTCTCCCGGGGGAGCCCGAGCTTCCAGGAACGCCCTGAACAAAGCACAAACAAGTAGGTTAGAATCACTTTCACATGCAGCATAACGAGGCATAATGGCTTTAGATGCATATACACAACCGAACGTCAAAAGAGAAAAGGTTTGTAGTCAATGATGCTTTCACAGCAGGGGTCATAAATGTGATTTGTGGAATAACCAGTCTCGCCCTGTGGGTACCTCTATATCACCGGGCCACCCCGCTGCTCCGTCTCCTGCCCCCTTTCCCCTTCATCCACCTCTCCTCAGGTCAACTCACACAGCCGACTCCGAAATACAGTCATGGATTAAGTGTTGAAGTGATTTATCACTGTACTTTGGTCGTAGTGGATGAGAGCTCATAAAACAGGGCAGTTAACACAAAGAAAAAAAAAAGGTCCCGCGGTCGCAGAGGACCAGTTATTATTAATGATGTGCCGTCGTTTAGATGCTGGCTGATCTACGTTCTCCTAAGACATCTGCAATTATGTCTCTCTGCCACTTTCACCCATTTATCTACAAACTTCTACATTGACAAGAAATGTAGAGAAATCTATGTTGGGAAACAAAGAATAATGCTTTTCTTTTTGTTTGGTTTAGAGGCTAAACAAGTTAATATGCACAGCACACTCGTTGAAATATTGTGATTCCACTGAAACATCTTTCACTTGTTTTAACAGAATACAGACTTTAAAGAACCAATTGCAAACTAAAATAAATTCATAACAAGCATAACAATTTGGGGTTACACTTGATAACCCCTATAACTCCCTACTTAGCACTTAAAGTTAGTACACAGGAAATCAATAAATACCACACAATAACGCAGTTCTAAGCAGATGTAAAATCATTGTATGTATAAATATAATCAATGCACTAACATCTCCTGCCCTTGAAGCATCCTTAACCTGTATGTGTACGAATTGATCATAATAATTTTTACTGAATAATAAATATTCGTTATTCATAATCAACTGCGTTATAAAGTTAAACACTGCAAGATTTAGAATTATATGGAGTTACAATTGTTAATAAATGCATTATTAAAGTGTTTATATACTGCTTACAAATGCAACTGACATGCCAGGATAAAAGCACACAAACACACACTCTTATCAGACCCTTACGTGGAGGACTTAACAATACTACAAACAACACACACACACACGCACAAACTTGCCCCCATACAGTTGAATATGTGTTAAGAGTCCAATAAATTTAGTTAAAGGTGGAAGTCTAAGAGGGCTGTCTACACCCGTCTGTAAAATATGTAAACCTTAAATCTTTGCCCCCACAATCTATATTCCACTTGGATAAAATTAAAACGATTACACACACACTCGTGCACAGACACCAATAAACAGGATGGAAATGAGTGAGATGCATAACAAGGATGGACACACACCAACACACACCAACACACACACACACACACACACATTATTTGCTATTCATCACAGCTGCATTTTCCACTGTCAAATTGAAACAGAGGCAGAGGGGACACTCATGACAAGGTTACGTTGTATTTGTCTGCAGAGAGGAGGGGGGAGAGAGAGAGAGAGAGAGAGAGAGAGAGAGGCAGAAAGAGGGAAACGGAAAGAAAGAGCAAGAGAGGTAATTGATGTTTTAAAGTTGTGATATCCTCTGCGGTCGCTCGTATATTACAACAGGGCCGTGGAAGCTACAATTCACCCAGCGAGCTACCCGTCCCTCCCCCGTCCCTCTCCCTCCCTCCCCCCACACACATTCATATTCCTCTCGCTGACAAAACACATTATTACTCGGAAACCTAGTGCGACACAAGGGCACACTGCCAGCTTCTTTTATTAATAGGACTATGCAGGTGGAGAGAGAGAAGTGGATATTGCTGCATCAGGAAGTGTTGCTGGTTCAAAGCTATTGCATATTCCTTTGTAATGAAATCTGTAAGAGTTCAACAGGTGTGGACAAGTTTCAGATACAATTCTGACTTTCAATCAGTGCTGACGTCTAGTCTCCTCAACTTATGAGGATCTAAATAAAAGAAAATAATACAAGCCATTTCATGAACTACTTTAAAGATTAGAAATGGTTAAAAACCCACAAAGAACAAACAAAAATCAGCAACCACATGATTATCCGCATCAGTATTAAAACATTGTCTTTACAGCTGAAAAATAAATAAAAAATAAACCCTGTTCAACATTTTCTTTGGCTCTAAAATAATTTTTATAATTAGGAACCTTTTAACCCAAACGCTCAACTATAAAACTAGTAAAGATACTGTGTGGAGGATGATCCCCATCCTAAAGCACAGTATGGAATGACGTGTGTGTGTGTAATCGTGTTGTGCGTCTGCACGGTGCTCTGGCGGCAGATCGATGCATCAGTTTGACATTACCAGTGATCATCTGATGGAAGCAGCAACTGTGACAAGTTGTGCTCTGAAGTGGAAAGAAAATAATAGCGCTTCATGTAGGAGCTGTCTCTGAAAATTTAAACATTTGCAGCTCCACTTGAAGAGCTTGACAGCAGCTAAATCTAGTTGTAATGAATCCAACACAAGTTTGTAGGCTTCTGTTATTTGTCATCCCCCTACAGACGAGGGTTGTGAGGCCGATCCCGGGATGCCGAGGGAAGAACACATTAAAAAACAGGTTGTCAGTTCATCAACGCCCTCAAACTTAAAGGTCGGGTCCTTCTAACTGTGAGTGTGGTTGGCAACCTCAGACATGAACATTGCCAACCAAGTGCAATTTACTACTAATCGATATGGATGTCGGAAAATCTATTACATGAAAAACTCGAGCCCTGAGTCCGGCTGGCAAGCACCGCTCCTCTGTAACATCCTCGAGTGGATCTGGGCAGACAGCCATAAAGGAATTCGCGGCCTTATTTAATTTATTGTGATCATCAGACTACACAGCAATGGACAACACAAACCGACGGACCTTGATGAATTCTGCGGGAGAAAAGGCTTCCTGCTGACTATCTGCAGGACAGAGCTGCACCTTGCACATAGTGCTGCTGCATCAAGGTCTAGTGGGACTGTGAAGGAGCCGATAGATTTTCTACGAATGTTGGCTCCCAAATTCTCCACTTTCAAACAACAAAATCATTTTAAGTTCATTGAGAAAAATAAACGACTTGTGACAAAAAGTAGCCAGCACAATATCCGCTTGAGGTTAACATGTGGTGACAATGAGCTAAAGAATCGAGACAGTAAAATTGATCAAGAGGAATTAGGAAGATTATTTGGCGAGCGGCATCTAGCTTTGTAATAGTACAAGGCTTATTTGACCGGACAGCCTGACCAGAAAGACAGCCTTATGAGGTATGTCGCGATATATATATCCCCTGTTAGCCCAACATACTATAATACATCACTGTAAAAGATATTAACAAAAAATGTTGCCTAATTATACCCAATAATATTAAGCTAACTGTGAGGTGTTTTATCGTTTCTTTTTATATCACTTTCACACCATGAGAATTGATATGTTAATGATGGCTTTAATATTTAGTTCCCCAGTCGAGTTATTATGAAGTAGCACAGACGCAAAACCCCAAACTATGGTTTGACTGATGTCACAACCTGGCAAGGCTCAATGCTGCATGCACTCTGACAAACCACTTCACCCAATTAGCTCAGGTAACCCGCGTGTTACACCTGTTAAGGTGAGACAATGAATAACAATTTACATTCTCAGCTCTACCCAGCTTTTACCTGAGCAGGTTTCTAATGCAGCAGAACAACACTTGTGAGGTTATTGTTTAAACACTAGATGTTTTCACAAGACGCAATGCTGTGTGAGGCAGACCAAAGCCACTGTTTGTAGCAGCAATACATTAGCAATGCAATGTCTCAAGAAATGTGTCTCTTCAATGGAATGAAAGAAAAATTAGAAAAAAATACACATTAATCACATTCTCTCATCTTAAATGTTCTGTCTTTCCTGGTCGGAGTTACTGAGGAATTGTTCTGTCCTTGGTGATGTTCAAGGCTCCCAGGAGAACTCCTTTAAATTAATTTAGTATTATGTGAGATTGGTTCGCTGCCCAATAATGGAGATGCTGAAAAGGATTGTTCCCATCTCAATAATTCCATTAGGCTGCTCTGTGTCTGTATCGACGGGCACGTGTGTTTCAGCAGCAAAACAGTTACACACAAACACAAACACATGCAAGCAAGCAGATACACACAGTGCAACTTGGATGTTCACATTCCCCTCAACTCCCTTCATCTTTAACTCTTTCACCACCTGCACAACAAATGCAAGCTTTTGCGGAGAATAGTTAATACAGACATTATGCTGTATCTGTTTATAGATGCATGTAATTAGTTTTGAATTAAGATGAATGTCTACCTTCTTTGTGGCTCTTTACTTTTAAGAAAACAACAATAACCACAAGTGTTTGGGATGTTATGTATTCCATTCTGGGTTTGTTTTGCGTTTATAAAAAAAAAAAGGCAATGAATATTTCTTTTTGAAAATCTATATCAAAGTATGTTTTTTTATGCCATCTTTTTTCCTTATCAAAATATATTATGTCACAGAAATGCAGAATTTCCATGAAAACAGTTCTGTTGCACTTGCACGCTTTAACATTTCTACACTACGTTTAGTTTTCTCTACCTAAGAAATCAATCAACATGCAATATAACAGTTACTTCGCTAAATAGCTAACATCTGTAGTGTAGGCCGGATTGAAATATATATTTTCAAAAAGTCACAGAAATGCGTTTAAAAGGCAACAAGTATCATTAATGTGAGCTTACAGGGCCGAGGCCCCTCATTCATAATACATACGGGACTCTTTGGTATTCTCCACACATACACACACAGGAGAACAATTTATAAACACACACACACACACACACACACACACACACACACACACACACACACACACACACACACACACACACACAAATAAAACAAATAAACACACACACACTGCAGGGTTTGTGATAAACCAATACTACTTAGCTCCTTTAGTCAAAAAAAAAAAAAACAGAAGGAGAAATTCCAAAACAGTTGCCCCTCGGCAAAACTGTGCTGTTGGGAATAACAAGCCCCACAAACACTTCACCTCTGTATCTTACAATAATGTAATTTTCTTGGTAAATGCTTTCTCACCATTTGCCCGGCTGGACCGATCTCTCCTCGCGCTCCCTTCCCCCCCGCAGCACCCTGTAAAGGACCAAAGTCATTACATCTCGGCTGGACCGGTGGTCACACCGACAGCTACCTGAAGCACCGGAGAAACCTGCATCTGTTATCTTAATAAGATGCTGGTCGCCACCACAAGTCCCCACAACAGCTCCAGTGTGCTTTGGGCAAGATCCTTCAAAAGACCGGAAGCCTATTTGAAGTGTACGTTCACATTTCGTCAATTTATGACGCCAAAATGGTTGACAGTGTACATATTGTCATATTAGACCAAGACAGTGGTTGGCCATTGCATTTATGATTACAAAACATAATAAAATAATAAGACAAGTTTATGTTTTTTAATCTCAACAGCACTCAATGTGCACATACAAGCAATGTCTTACCGGGGGTCCCTGAATAGAGAGACCACTGGGTCCCTGAGGACCAGGCGGCCCTGAGGGTCCAGAAGGACCGATCTTTCCCACTGGTCCCTGAGGTCCCTATTTAAAAAAACACAATGTCAGGATAAATGAAACAGGACATCTTTAATCCCATGACAAATGAGCATGTGACGTGAACTCCTTCACGCCTAATCGGCTCATTCATTTCGCATATTCATGAAATTCATTTTAACCACTGTAGAAATGCTTCCGTTATGGCTGTGTGTAAATAAAGTAGCACTCAAAACAACACTTTGAAGAAAGTGAAACAATACATTGAAGAAAGATAAGATATTTGATTAAAATATGTTTCCATTTCCTCAAAGTCTGCAACACATCAAATATTCATAAATGTAACAACTGCCGACTCTGATTGACATCATTGCTACATGCTCGGGGGCTTTTGCTACCATTTGCTAGCCCCATAATGATATTTATATGGATCATTCACAGCATTCACAGTTTGTACGCTCAGCAGCGGTTGTGAGCAAAGTAATCTTCACTCTGGCAGCATCCGTTGTTTGACTTTACAGTAACCGGCTTCAAAATAATCAAAAGAAACTTTGGACCAGACACAGAATAAAGTAATTCAGTGTACAGTGAGAATAAGAGGACAACTGAAGTGTGTAATGTTAGGATAAAATATATGAAAATATTGGTAAAATACACTGAACCACATAAACAGACGAATCAATGTCGTCCAACCATGTCAAAGCGTGACATAAATAAGCTTAATTTGTAGATTGAAAGCCCGCGTGTCACCCGCTTGTTTGTTTTTTGTATCCAAAATATGTCTTTTAAAATAAAAAGGGTTAGGGTTAGGGTAAAAGATTAAATTACAAAAATGGGAATTGGCTATTGGTATTGAGAGGTGTCCAACAGCATCAGGGCTGACTGACACAGCTGGATGGTTTGTAAGAGTTTGGAACAGATTTCCATTTTGTCAGAACTGTTTCAACACTGTGGCACAGGGTTCTTCAACGATTTTCAGGCCAAGGACCCCCAAACTGATGGCGAGATGGAGCAGGGACTCTCTATTCTATGGAGTTTGGTTCGTCATCTTTTTTTTTTGCTGAGCTTTGCGCTCTTTAGACGAGAGGATAAACGCAATCTGATTGGCTGGTGCCTGCGCTGTCGCGTTTGCATGAAAGGAGCAGTGCGTGAACCGGTGCCCAGCTTGAGAGCTGCTGAGGGAAGCTGTATGTGTGTGTTGCAGACCGAAGATAACGTCTTCTCCATCCATTTATCTGTTCAATACAATATCTTGGATTGATGTTAATTTGCATTTAAAGACAATGAATACAATTTTGATTCATTTGAATTTTTGTGTAAAAAAACCCAAAAAACTAAATTGTCTTGTCACTTGTGACTATCGGGGTGCTCATCCCTCCCGAGTTGTGAGCTGGACACTGTTCCGGACCAAGTACGTGCTGAGAGTTTTGTTAAGAAATAAATAAATAATATGGGTGATAAATGGTCTGTGCGTTTTACTCACCGTCACTCCTGACTCTCCTCGATCTCCTCTGGCTCCCCGTATGCCTGGACCGCCCTTCAACACCGGCCAAACACACACGGTAACAACAAGGCAGGTCAGTTTTGACAGTTTCACAGTAATGGTTAAGACATGCCACCACAAAACTATGTATCCCTCAGATTCCCTTGTACACATGTCCATTGGAGTTAATTCTGAAAGATATAATGAAAGTGAAATAGATTCATATCTCTGATATGAATGTATTGTGACTTTTAGGGACAGAGGCCAACTCTGATCTGTGCAGGGAACTGCCCCCTGGGCTCGGGGCTTTACTGCGATGCATCTGTAAGTCAGTGTGGAGCCGTAAACCTCAGGCTGACCCCAATAGCCAAACGGTCCATCCAGGGAGAAACACACATCTGCTAATCATCAATTCATTTTGGATACGTCCTCTGGTTGGAGAAATAGACCTCCAGTAGGAATGAGTGGGTAGTTCCTATGGTATTCAGCCAAAGGGAGACAGGCGTGTACAAGAAGGGCGAGGAATATGAGGGGAAGCACACATTTATTTTTACAATCAACACCTTGAATTATAGAAGCACTTTGCAAATGACAAGGTGGTACGAATTGTAAACTACATATACTGTACTATACTGTATACTTTTCGTTTTCAAAACACAAAAGGAATAGAACAACAGTACTTTTCATTCAAATGCAATGAGTATGCTTTTGGAAATCATTTCAAATTAACCATTGTTTGGTCAAATCTGTATAATTTTACTGCATTTATTTCTTTTGACATATTTTAAGTCAGGCACATCTGCAGGGGAAACAGAAATTAGCTTCAAACATCAGCAATACCACTATTTGTGTTTGGATTGTTGTGTGCCTTCGTGTGTTAAAATGAAGTATACCGCTATTATTACATAAACGAGCAATTTGATGTCCAACACATTTCTAAACAGGACTAGGCTATTAAACAGTGTGGGCACAAATCACAAATCTAGTCAGCAGTCTGATTTTCTTTAATCAAAGGGTTCCAGTTCGGTTACCGAGCTGAATTTATGCCAAATCAGGCAGGAAAGATTGTAATTCATTTAGGGCAATCAATATTAGTTCAAAGATGACTCAAAGATTAACAAAACCGATGATGTCTGCTGCTGTGCAAGACAAGAAAAGACACGCGAGCAGTGAACAGCCAGTACAAATGACTCGGGGAGGGCAAACTGTAGTTTGAATGGTGATATTTAGTTTAGAGCAGGCTACTACTGGAACCAAAATAAAATCTCATCTGAATAGATCATAATTAACGACAATAATTTCTATGATCAGATGGATCCTACATTTTTTTAAATAAATATTTGCTCTCAAACTCATTTGTCTTCTAGGTGTCTTTTCATGGCATTCTTTTAGATATTGCATCAGGTATCCCAATGGATCCAGGTATTTATTTGGCTTTCTTACAGCCCTTTGTTCAATAGAGCGAAGTCTCAGCAGCAGAAAAACAAATAATAATGCGAATCTCTTTAGTCTGTTAAAAGTGCTCTTAGAAGTGTTTGTCTCTATATGAAGCTTGTTGTCCACAGGGGAAACAATACATTTATTGTGTTGATGACCATTATATTGTGTTAACAAGGGGAATGGTGTGGCCTTTTTATCCTTCCTCTAAACCCCACAGACTTTAGTTGGCAGCTTTAGCTCAAAAATGTCCATGAATGAACTATTACACCATTCATCCGTGCCAAGATGCTGTAGTTAAAAATTGATTTGAGAAGCCAATTCAATAACAAAGAGATATAGACAGAGACACAGGCACAATGAAATAGGCTTATATTGACAGTAAAAAGAGAGAGAAAGAGCCTCCGGCTTGTGGATGAAGTGAAGGTAGAAGAGGAAAAAAACAGCACAGAAGAAATAGAAAGATAAAAGAGTTGAAAGTTCTACAGAACCGCTATTGATCTGGTTTGGACAGATAGTGAAGCAGAGAAAGGGAGAGAAGATGGAGGCCACACAAAATAATGCACAGAAAAGAGTTGATGAATATGAAGAAAGAAAAGACAGGAAAAGGTCCTAAATGGAGACAACAAAAAGGCTGTGATGAATGGAATCACCATTTAATTACATTCTTAAACTATACTGCTGTTGATCCACACCCCTCCCATGCCTTCGTTACCCAAGGGTGGAGACAAAGACAGAAGATGAGAGAAAACAAAAGAGATTTAGAGACGGGGGAAAGGAAAAGAATACGAAATGGAAAATAGAGCAAGGAATGAAAGAAGAACGAGAAAATGACTTTCTAAAAAAATCTCGGGCTATAAATGAGCTCATTTACTTTGCTCTCATCTCTCAGCCTCTATCAGGTTTTACATGCTGCTGCGTGAGAGGAATACGGCTCCTCACAAGCTCATCTCTCCCCTCTTACATGCAATGAAAACATCAAAAGATTTGTAATTTTACATCACACAGGTGTTATTAAAATACATCAATGGTCATTGTGTTAATATCTATGGATGCTACATACTTGTGAAATGATGTGCTGTTGTATTGGGGGACGTTGTTTTGTTAAGTAGTCATTGGTCACTGTCACTGTTCCGGATTTATTTTGTTAAATCTTTACACAATCATATTATGTATTTTGAGATTGCGTTTTTATATGTTTTCCTTGGTTTTCTATTTGCAGAAAACCCCAAATCCTCCCTTGAGGCACAAAGACTGAACTGAGCTGGATTAGACTGATTACATTGTTTTATTTCCTTCACATTCAAATGTAAATTTAGCAACAACAAATATTTACTTGGCTGCAGTTTGAATCAGAATTGCACCTAAAATGTAGACTGTTGGCCGTATAACAATCACTTAAAACTTAAGTGAGTCTAGACAGTCTAGAAAGTCGAGTAATTATTTATTTATTCTGTGAAGGAGAAAATGTTTGGGGTATGAGCATGAATAACAATACATACGAAGTGAGCAGTTCCACACAATATATATAGAGGAATAGACAAGAGTAAAAAAAAGAATACACAACGAAAGATCAAATGAACTTACAGGGGGTCCGGAAGGTCCTGGAGGTCCTTTGCTCTCCTGGGAACAGGTGCAGGCATGCGGCATGGAGGGACACTGCTCCTCAACTCTCTGAAAACACACATTTAGACATTGAGAGCATTTGGTTTTTATTCAGGCAACACAACTCCTAACTGTCTGAGCCGATTTGCTTTTCAAACCAAGGTTGGCTTGGTTCCCTTGACTACTCGTTACATACTTAAATCAAAAGTTTAGAAAACAGCATCTGTTGAAATAATTATACAGTTTTGTGGATTTACTTACTTACTGGCAGTGTTTCTGTCATAGTGGGCAGCTTGTGCATGTTAGCCGGGTGAAAAACATATCGGTAATGCGCTCCAGCACCACCACAAACTACACAATTAGCATAACATTGAACCAAAAAGTTTGACCTTTTTGAATAAAAAAAAAAAAAGGTCTCTGCAATATTGTTTTAATGGATTCCATCAGATTGCAGAGGGATATTATTATATACTCATATAATTAAGACTCGGTGTATATGTACTTTACCTAATTGTTCCCACCTGTCTGCAATCACCTGAACCTTGTCGGTTCCTGAAATTTGTGCCCTGTTGTTTCTGTTCCATTAAAGGTTTTTTTGTTTGAATAAAATATTGTTTGAGTCCGACTTTCCTCCCAAACCGCGACAGTTATGTAGCCATGTTTTATGCCTGGGGTGTTGACTGACGGTGGGCGCTATTATGTACGTGTTTATCTTTTATTTGTATACACGTGGGAGAAAGACAGCATTGGTCACTAGAGGCTTTCATGTCCTGAGAGAGGAGAGGCAGTAAAAGCAGCCATTAAAGCGTGTGAGCATTCATGTGAGAGTACATGAATGTGAAGTTTCTTACTAATGCCGGCAGCTCGCAGCACTTATCTCTGCTGGCCCAGGATGTGCTGCAGATGATATCAAACATCTGGAGCTGGAACTGTAAACACACACACACACACACACACACACACACACACACACAAATATTGGTACACTTATACACACGCAAATCCATTACAGCAATTCTGCAAACAACATTTCAAAATTAAAACAGAACCAAAAATTGAAAATTAAATATTGACCGTGGTGTTTTGTACTGATGTGGTTTTGTGGTGTTTCTGTGTCGATAAGATAAAAGGACAGACAGATTGGCAAGCTGAAAATGGCTGGGAGATACGACAAGTCTGGCTGATAGCTAAACAAACAAAATTAGTATTAGAGAGGCTTCTCTTGTCTTAAACGATACGGTCAAGTTCACTCCTGAAGAAACAGGCCGCTGACGTGTGCGGTTTGCTTTCATTTCACTAGAAGAACGCTTTCTTTAATCTAAATTTCTAATTATCCAGAAATACAATGTTTCATTCTCCAAATCTCAAACAAACGAACTTACACATGTGGTTTCTACTCTTGAGTAGAAGTAATGACTGTGAAACGTTGAGACATAGGAAGTTTAATGCATTAAAAACACACAGGATGGTTGACCTTGATGAGATTATGTCGGCTAGTAAGAAACTGTTAGGTTGTCACACAATTATGATCTAAGATAAGGCTTCTACATTATTTCTGGTTTGGTCAGGTTTCATATATTCATTTAAGTGCAAATAGGGTTACCTTAGATAAGAAAGGTGCAGAAATAAAAAGTCTGACGAACCGTATCTCGAAAGATATCAGAGAATAAAAGGATATTTGAATCAAATGTTTTCAATTCCTGCACCAGAGCCCTTGTGAAACAGTGTTATCTTGGGGATTATATGTGTTTTTTCTATTGCTCACTTTAAAGTCCAACTGGAACTAATTTTGAGAACGGAAAAGTAGAGACAATTTTAGGTTTTTGACCAAAATTTATAGATATGCTATTGAATTGAAATATTACGAAAAAAAGTCACAACTGTCACATAATTTCATCCAAGTATGAAAAACAGATTAAGAGGACGGATTAAGCACCACACAATGTTCTTATTTTATGCTTTAGGGAAATAGCTTTTTTGGGCCCCTCTTCAACAAAGGCCAGCTCTATAGAGCTTGCAGCGGTCCTACAGACAGACACTCATTCGCTGCAGTGGAGATTTTCACCTCATTCAGGGTTACTTTTGGTCTCTTGGTCTCAGTGTCCTCCTTGCCTGCCTTGAGTATTTATTCGTCCATCTACTGAGTTTTTGTGGTGCCATATTCTTTCGAATAAATTCGTTAGACCACGTGGTCCATTACATAAAAAACAAATACAAAACCCTTCTTATTGTAGGTTCTAATGCAACCAAAGGGAAAGGGGTGGTGTACAGGAACTGTGCTTCATAGTGTGGACACCATCACATTTCAACGATCAGTGGAAACCCCGTGTTCCCTCTGTTCAGTGTACACTTAACACTTATTCAGACGAGGATTAATACTGACTGCAGCAGAGTTGTCCCGTCTGCCTCTGGACTGAATCATCCTTCCGAGGATCTCCACTCCATCCGTAGTGATGTTACCAGCAGCACTGACCGATTTCTCCCCAACCACAGAACAATCTAACACCACCTTCACAGACGTCTTGCTTATGGTTACATGGAGCTGTATGGAAGAGAGAGAATAAGGTGCATAAGAAAGAAGTATAAATAAGCAGCACAACTCACAACTAAATACATCAATATTTCAGAATAAAACAGCGTTGTTTCAGCATTTTATGTGCAGCATTTTCACAGGACTTGTATCTGTGATCACTTATTAAAGCGTTATTAACGCATAATGCATTCATTCATTAACGCAGACACAAGAAGTGAAAACAAGCTGCTCCCAATTGTTACTCATTACTCGGGTAATGTTAAGATGTACAATACATTGTTTAACTGCTAATGTGCATTGAATGCTGCTGTTAAAAAGCACCTTTGGCGTGTTCATACAGTCCATCTGCATGGACTATATGTCATAGGAACATGAAGACATGAGTGAAGCACATGCACCTCTCAATGCGAAGTCAGACACAGTTCATATTAAAGTGTCAGGGCCCGTTCCTTGGACAGTTGCTTCATAATGATTTTCTGTTCTCACCCTCCATTTTGCACACTTCACAAGACATGATGTGTGTGTGTGTGTGTGTGTGTGTGTGTGTGTGTGTAAAAAAACATGATGAAAGTTGGGAATTCTGCCAATATTTTGTAGCATTTAGTAGTTGAAGTTAAGGCCTAGGGCATTGCCTGAGGTACATTGACGTACATAGACGTTGGTCTTTTTGTGTGTGTCAATGACGGTAGTCCTTCTCCTTCAGGCTGTCTGGCTTCTTCATTTACTCCAGCAGTGACTTATTATTTCTGAACAATTCCCTCATTCCCACACTGATATGACATAATGCAAACTGCAGGAAGCATTAGAAAATATCCTGCATCCTTCCAAAAATATGCTTTTTGGGGAGCTATATTCTCGCAGGTGAGTATACGCAAACATTTATGGCTAAAATTATTAATAACTGCTTTCAGCAAATGCAGGTGCATGCAAAACACTACAGGTTGTGAGCATTATACAGGCAGCCTCTGAATTATACACTTGGTTAGGGTTTTCCAGACATTACTTGTCTGTACATTATAAATCTTAACCTGAGTTACAGCTGCAGTAAAAAGCAACAGATTTATTGTGCTGCGTTATAAACTCAAAGGAATACAGTTGTAAGTATTAAGCTTTACAAGCCCAGCAAACCGCAAGAACCTCACAACCCTCAAATAATTTGTCTGTCAGGCAAATTCAACATAGACCACCTGTTGCTGCTGGTGAAGTACAGTCCGCTCGAGATCAGTCGTTACGACAGTATCTGTGCATGAAGTGCACATTTAGTGTGCACATACGAGACATCTGCGACCTTTTTCAATCGTTTTCTAGCCATATTTGTCGCTCAACAATTATTTTATGTCATAAGAAAATCCAAACCGGAATCTTTAAATGCACATTCATGCAGATTCCAAGAGATGAAAGAGCAAACTAAAGACAAGGTTTTCAAAGTATTGACATATAAAAGAAGAGGGCAGGAAATGAGTTTCCGCTTTAAGCACAAATGTTTTCTTAAATCGTAAAATAAAAGTATTAAATGTTTCATCCTAACTTGAGACAATCAATGCCACATAACACCATCTCCTCCATCCTTTTCATGTCACTAAAATACACAGCTTCATTCATGCCGAATATTTTCTTTCCACACATACAGATTTACCGTTTCTGCTCTAGTTTCTCCATTATATAATTCGTGAGTAAACTATTTGAATTTCACTCTGTAACACATTTCCAAAGAAATTCTAAGCTAGAAAGCTGCAAAAGCACTGAAGCAAACGCGTAGATTTTCACAGCCCACAAGGAACAACTTTAAGTGCTCTCTAATATTTTTTTATGTGAGCCATTTCATCCCTGATGAACTAATCTTGAGATTTATAAGGTGTTTAACCCGTGTTGGGTATAATATGTCTCAGAGCAATAGGTGATCTACACTGAAGACCACTTTCAGTTCTTCTTTCTACGTCTTTATTTTTTTCTCCTAGTGTGACAAACTCACTGTCAGAGAGTTCTTCCTCTGCTGCTTTTTCTCCCTTCTTCACCTGTTTGTGTTTTCTCGGTGTGACGGTTCCTGGCGGACATTCCTCCTTTGTTGCCTTCATATGGTAATCCCTTTATAACTGACACGCAATCACATACAACCACACGGACGCTGCTCTCATTCACCTGTCATTCTGTCAGAGCAGAGACAAATAGTTCCTCCTAACAGTCTTCTGCATATGTTCTGTCTCTGAACATTGTCATGTTCTCAAGCAGAAAGACAGGAAACAATGAAGAAGACAATGATGGACAGCTGCTCCCTGATATTCAGTGAATTGAGACGTAGAAAGTTGGTGGTCTGGTGTTGATTTGTTTTTGGCAAAATCAACACCAGGAAATAAAGCAGCAGCTCTATGGCAATAAAACCGCTGTCTTTAAAGACTTTACCTGAACCCCGTTGATTTTCATGGCCATTGAATTGTCACGTTAATAAATGCAACAAAGCAAATTATGCCATTTCCATCAGGTAAATACACCTTCCAAACAACGGGATTGATCCAAAGTACACATAAGACATAAGAACTAATTATCATTCAGCCTGTTTAGTAGTTATTATTTTGTCTCAGCTGGTGTTGATAGTTCCTGCCCAAGTGTTGTGGTGGAGGGAACTTGCCATTCACTCGGCCTGCTGAGGCCAAAACAATGTCATTGTTTATTCAGGCATTTGGAGGCATTTGCATCCCCATTTATTCCATAATTTATTTTTTGATAGAACGCTTTCTTCTCAAGTGAGTTGAAAATTGTCTTATATTGACTGAATATCATATAAATTTGCCTTTTCTATTCAGTTACGACTAATTTGATACAACTAAATTTACATATACATATATTTTGGATAGAATTCCGGTGATTGAGGGAATTGTGAAATGTCTTTGTCAGAGAATCAGTTGGGAGGTCAAACAAATACCTTCACTCAGGGAAAAGTAATAGTGGAAATCATGGGAAGAACAGTTTAGCTGTGGATGAACTAGGTGCTTCCCTATCAAAACCTGGTCTTGTCTAATGTATTTTGTTGGATGTTTTAAATATTTTAACTATCACCTAAATATTGTGACGACGGTTTGTCATGTAAATGGGCTATGAAATGCAAACGGGCAGAGGATGAGTGTGACGGGCTCTCTAAGAAGACTTTTACAAACACAATCGCACAGCATCTACATCATTCTTTTAACATTAACAGTCATTGCATTAAAATCTCTACAAATTGATTAATTGTTTATATATTCTTCCTTTAAAGATGCTTAAAATGACTAAACATCATTCAACAATGTGCATCTATTTCCTCATTCAGGTCATTCTTAGCAAACATAATCGAGGACTGACCTTGTGGAAGCTGCCGTGGAAGAGTTTTTTTATTTCAGTTCCTTCAAAAGTGACAGTCTGAAAGTGTCCTTTGTAGTCGTGGTTGAAGAAGGTTAAGGTCTTTCCAGAGTCTGCGGGGGAACAGACAGACAAGGTGAAGAGGGGGAAGAGAAAAGCTTCATGTTCAGTCCCTTTTTCATCGTACACGAGCTAGAACATATTTCAACCACTTACTCTCCGTGCTTCAAAGTAATTTGTCTGTAAACCAAAAAATGAAGCTTAATTTTAAGTCCATCGGATGTATTTTTTACTGATGAATGTAATAATTTCATTGTGATATAGGCATGACGGCCCTGTCAGCTTAGCCAAACGCCAACCCCAATATTGTGTTAATATATGTTACATTAGTGGCAGTGACTTTGACTTTGACTTGACCATGACTTTGTACCGTGTCGATGCAAACCGCTCTTTGAGATGGTCACAATATTTATAGAGATTATCAGGTAAGCATGCTCATTTCTTTGCTGCTTCATAACCTTTGCACAAAAAGTACATGATGGCGGCCCAACTTCTGTTGAAATGCTGTAAGCAATTCTTATTTTCGTCATCAACCCGTTTCCTGATTTTGTCTTAAATTTCCGGATTCTTCTGAACAGTAAAATAAACTATACACTAATTTACAATTAAAGTTGATTATCCTTTTCTTGCCGCAAGTCTCTATCTGGCTCAACAAGGAAAGCAGAGCGAAACAAAAATGACTTTTCTCCTGTAACTTCCTCCAGCTCCCCGTGGGGATCCAGAGATCATCAATTTCCGCTAGAAGTATAATCTCCACAGCAGGTGAGGGGGCGGCCACAGGTGTCCTCTAAGTCCCTGTCCAAAACTGTCTCTTAAGTTTGACCCCTGCGATGCGTTTCACACCGTGACGAGTATTTCTAGAAAATCAAACACTTAAATGTGTTCTCCAGTTTCAAAGTACTCAAGGATCAGGCCCTCGAGGTCTGAGGTCATGGGGCTAACCCAGACAAATGGTTGGTCCCATTCAGGACAGGAGCAAGTATGGGGAACTTCCACTCTCATTAGGTACTCGGCCTGCAGGAACTTCACCTCCCGTCTGCTGTTTGTTATAATGCAGCCAAGAGGAACAACAAGTGATTGAAACTTACTGTCCAGGATAAGTCCGACCAATGGCTCGTCGTTGCCGTTGAGGATTTCCCACAATGCAAAGGGCTCCTCCGGGGTCTCAGGAAGCAGTCGGAGCATCATAGAAATGGTGTAGTCAGATGGTAAACCTTCTGGATGAAGGTACCTGGTACACACATTGGTGAACACACAACGATGTTTAGCATAGCGATGCCTTAAAGGCAAGTATCCAGTAAGTGTCCTTTTCAAAGTGCCATTGGCTCTCTTCAGCTCTTGTGGATGCTTTTAGACTTATTTTGGCTGCTTTCGTGTCTGAGTGCCAGCTTCTTTTTTTTTTATCTCAGTCAAGTCTTTTCTGCAGTTCTCTTCAAGCATTTCAGGTTAAAACTGTCTAAGCTTTAACCTTTTTAGAGGGCCCTTCAATGTCACTTTTGACAAACTAAACAATCACGGAGCAGAAAGCTGAAGTGTAAGCTGGTTGCCGTTAAAAAACAAGAGAAAATGGCTCCAAAATGACATCAGAGATAGAAGAACTTATTTGAAGCCATAGGTTGCGCTCTTGAAGTTGTGTATGTATAAGTTACTTGAATACTTACTTCTGGTATAAGCACAAACTAAATAATAACACGTCCAACCTGCACCTACAAGCATCTATTTTTTGGTAATTTGTAACCCATGTTAATACTTTGAAGCCTCTTAATTACTTGTGGGCATTTGGTAAATCTGATTTGAAACACATTTAAAATCTGAGGAAATGACCACAGTATCTTTAATCTTGTTTTGATACTTACCCATTGGGCAGGGTCTGATCAGACAACACACAGTGTATTTTATTGGAATTACAGTTTTGCTTCAATAATATTCTACTACTGAGTATAAAAGGCTCAAATTCGACAATCTTCATGATCAACTTTTGTGGTTGGCAACAAAATACATCAATGAGAACAGCCAAATTATGGAGGTGTAACGATACTTTAAAGTGGGTCAACACATCAATCCAACGATCAATAATCCAAAATGAAAACAATACATTTTTCAGATATGCTTTTTTTGTCAATTTCCATGTTACATCGAAGTTACCATCTCCATTCAAGCGCCCCGTTTATTATATTAACATTATACATAAACTTTTTCTGAGTTTATATAAAAGTAAGTGATTGTGTTACATCGGCACACGTAATCAAGCAGTGCTTTTGTAAAGAGCTTCATATGTCCTGTAAACCGTAGTTGCTCCCCCTCAGAGGCAACACACTCACTTGGTGGGCTGCGACACCAGGGCGTCCCGGTGTAACCTGTAACACGGGAAGCTGTTAAATGAACCCGGCTCCAGAGAAACTCCGGCTATGGTGCTGTACTCCTTCTCCACTAGGCCAAACTTCTCCATCATGTGGAAACCTGCAACAGGCAAATTGTCACTACCTTCGTCCTCCTCCTCCTCCTCCTCCATGTGATGACTCTAATTACAATCATTACCACAACCACAGCGTGTACCATCATTATGTTATTAGCGTCATCATAATTCTCTTTATTTAGACACACTAATTGGACCTGCTTTAAGGCTTATACCGTGTATTATGAATCTTCCTTACCCGCCATTGTGTTACCACTCATCAAAACCGATGGACAAGCTGAAAGACAGTAGAGAGTTCATGCTTTAGACATTTTTTTTTATTTTATGCAGCCATTCTCTCACAGTCTCTCCACCACCGAGCAGCACCCCGACTACTCCGATTGTTTATCCTCCCAGTGTCTTCCCCGCTGTCTGTGCCAAGCACCAGGTGGTCTTACTCACTGGCGGTGGCGGCCTCACAGACAAAAGTAATGAGCTGTTCTTCTATTTTCTTCACGGCGTCCAAATCGTCCACAAAGAAGACGTGTCTATCACTGGGCTTGCTGGCAATATTCACCAGCTCCCCGTAGTCAGCGTCCGCAAAGCCAATGGCGAAGATGATATATCCTGAGAATGGGGTAAAAAAAAGATGATTCATTACAAGGTGAAAATGAGAGGAAAGGATTACGGGGAGTAATGAGACATTGTTTGGTGTTATTTCAAATCAATGGTTAAAGTGTAAAACATAAAGTACATAAAGCTTTCAAGAATGAGGAGAATCTACTAACAAAGAATTAATAACATGGTGAACCTGAATTGTCACTCTAACAAACTACCAATTATTTCATTTGTGGGTTTGTTTTAAAAATAAACCCACCGTCCACCTGCATCTCCTTCGACACTTTGTTGACATCATCTTGGGAACGTCCGTCAGTGAGGACAACCAGGACTTTAGGGACGCCCCGTCTTGCACCGGCCTCCGGTGTAAAAATAGACTCCTTCACATGTTTGATGGCCCGACCTGATGAAGACCAAAGGAAACCTCTTGATTGAACCCATGTAGCCATTTAACTTCCATGCCCTTTGCTTTTGGAAACATAGTAAAGTGTTTGAGATGCTGTGTTCATTTTCACTTTCCAAGTCCTTTTATTCCTGTTCAACGTAAAACTGCACTTCTACAATACGATCGGCATCAGGTGTTTACATTGTCTCGCTCACAGCTGTGGGCTGATGAAGTCTAATCATATCCTCGTTATGAGTAAATGAGCCTCATCTGTTCATTTTTCTTCATCCTTCATTCAAAGCACATAATTATGTTGTGGCCTGAGTGACCCAAAAGGTCCTGAAAACAAATTTAGGCCTGGTTGCCATTGACATTTAAAATATGCCAGAAGGCGGACAGTGTCAGCTGTATTTCAATGAGACCTAAACACTAAGAGATGAGTCGAAGAGGGAAATGTCAATGTCATGTCTGTCAAAAGTGTCAGTTGAATGAGGCTTTGACAGAGTGCACGTTACCTGCTTACGAAATTAAGCATTCAAATAAATCTTTACGGACAGTTTTAAAAGGTGTCAACATCCACCCACAACAAAGCCGCCACGGTGGTAATTAATGTAATGCTGCCTTTAATGCATCACTGTATTCGTAGACCCGTGTCAAAAGCATTTGTATGTAATGTGTTATTTTTATAATATTTCTATTGATCTTTTCCTTCACAGCTCTCTCACTCACTGCTAAATAGTGAACTCGACGATGACAGATGAAGGGTTGTCATTGTGGTTATTTAGCAGCGAATTAAACAAAATACCATAATATTTTAACGATATGGTCCTCTAAAATAAAAGAAATTATCTGTAATCTGCTCGAATTGATCTTACCTGATACAGATTTCATACATTCTAAATAAAGACATAACTGTGTGCAAATACACTCATTTTGTGCATGCAAACCATTCACCGATCCCCTTATCATTTGTACTTAATGCCAGTTTTTGAATACTGTTTTTGTATACTTTTGTATCATGATTTGTTACTACTTCAAAAACCTCTACTCATCTCCATCAGACCTTTTCATAATAAAATCACTTTCTCCTCTCACTCTTCTGCTGTGCCCAAACGTGTGTCTGTGTCCTTAGGTGCTGAGTATCAGCGGACGTTGCAATTAAAACAATCCCAGATGAAGCAATAAAAGGCTTCGTAAGCTAACGAAACATTTAAGGTACATTGGAGTGTGTGGTGTAAACGGCTCTATACGGTGTCTCCGTCTTTGTAACTAAAGCAAAACCCTCAGACCACATCCATGCCTCCTCCTCCTCTCTTTTTTTACAGCGCTGTCCATGGTGACAAATGACAGAATGCTTGGCCTGTAAAGTTTTGTATTGTCAGATATCTGCTGGTGATACATCTGTTTCTACACTGTCCTCTGATCCCGCTGGGAAAGACCAGGATTACAGCAGCCAGCCAGGCATGAAGTACTACAAAGGACAGAGCAAAGGAGACAGCGATGGGGGATGAGATCAAGGAGGGGCCGGCTGGGCTTTGGAAGACGAAAAGGGAGGGCAGGTAAAAGGGCACAGAGAGAGCCGGTGAAAAAGAAAGAGAAAAGACAAAAAGAGGTCACATGGGGAAGGGCGGGTGAGAGAAAACGAGTCAATGGATCCTACAAAACATCAGTAAACAATCTCTTTGTGTGATATGGATCACCTCTCTTACAAAGATTTTCTTTCTCCAGAAGGGAAACCATAGCAGAAAAAAAGTATGAACTGATCTCTCCTGTTACAGAATTCAAAGCATTTGTGCAAAATATAATAGGATACCTTTTCTCCCCTGTTGTGTTGAGTGTTGATCTTATGTCTCAGTTACTATAAAAAGCCACTAATCTTTGGAAAATTCCTAACAAATACATTTCAACAATCAAATGTATTATAGACAATATACAATGAATTTTAATTGGTTTTTATAGTCAGTGACAATACCAATTACTCACTTAAGGCTGAAATTTCATCAATTTCAAAAGACACACATATTCACTCACACATTACAGTACACTGAACATACAAGAATAAGGTACAGCTGCAGCTATATTAAACCAACCAGCCAGAAAAAGGTTCATTTAAACCTCAATGAATAAAAGTAGAGACGAATCCTTCATATCATCTTCAAAACAGTGCTAAATCTTAAAGGAGGCAGCCTCATTTACATATTGTTTATGATTTAGAAGGAGAATAAGTAGCTGATCCTCCTTGTTGAGCCTCCACAGCGCCATTTGTGCAGAGCGCTCATTCAGATAAGGTAGCGGTTCTGTTGCCGAGCGTGAGACTGAGATTAGTGTTTCACTAATTAGCTGTTCAGATGTTAAATAGTAAGAAAATATAATGCAGGTTGGCCTGAAAGAAGCAGGGTTTAACTTAAGGTTTCAGAAGGCATAAACTTCGCTGGAGGGGGATGGAATACACTGCCAGCTTGTATGCATCATTTCAGCACATTTAAAAAGGATATAGCACACAGGATAAAAAGTGAGCTCGCCATTTACAGTAAAAAGAGGGGAAAAAATGAATTAAAGCCGCTGGGCTTCTTGCTTGCTGGCCGATGTATCCACACAGACATATCTGCCAGAGGCTCACGGTTAAAGAGGCTATATTTCTTTTTCTCTTAGGGCTTTATTGGATTTAGACCCAGTGTGGGGCCCTAGTGGGGTCTTTGACGAGAAGTGGGGGTTCAGGAATAAAAAAGGAATGTAATATTAAGGTTGTAATGCAAGCCTCAGTCCTAAAAGCCAGAGAAAATACAGAATCTCTGAATAAACCAAAGGAATAACATGTAAGTAAGGATATTCACTGTAGTCAGGGGGTATTTGGCTCAGTACAGTATATACTGTACATTTTTGTATTTGTATTTGTATAGCTTAGGATCAAGGTTACCAAGGGAGAAACACTATTTTAATTATTTCTAAAGTATCTTATGTTTTATGTGCAGTAACGAGTAGTGCAATGAATAAAATAAACATCAATAAGGAATACGCGAGTGTGGGTGTAACTGGTGGAAGTAAGGACAAGCTGAAGAATAGGCTCCCTGTGTGAACACTAGAGGATGAATTATACGCTGAGGCACTGAATGAGAATGCAATGCGATGTGAGAGACAAAGCATGTGTGGGTGAGAGACAAAGAGAAAGAGAGAGATTCTGTGAGCGCTGACCTAACCGTGTGAGAGCTTGCTGCCCCCTCGTTCCCTTTGTGTAGGCAAGGTGACATATCACGGTTTGTTTCGGCTCTGCTGTAGACCACATGCACGCACAAGTATGCTGCATTGTCCGCACCAGCCACTTCCACTTGTTGAACTATAAGACAGTAAAGTTGGTCTATACGAGGGTTTATGTGGTATTGGATAAAATAAGAAACTGGAGAAAACAAGCTTGAAAAAGGAAGAATGTTCATAGACAGTGACAGCGTGAGGGGAGAAGAACAGAGGGCACTTAAAGGAAAACAAATAGGCTATACGGCGATGAAGGGGAGAGCAGAGGGAGGTCGCAAAGAGAGCAGAGGAGGAGAAACAAGAAGAGAAAGAGTAGAATGAAGGGAGAGGACGAGATGAGTACGAACAGATGAGAGTGGGTTCAGCTCTGAAGCTCAAGGACACAATTAACCTGAATACACACTGAGCCCAGACAGAGACTGCAGGATAGTTAAAGTCCCCTGAACAACCAGCCTTACCCGTAAACCCACGTCCCCGCTTAGAGGTTACTGACATTCACCTCGTGTTTCAAAGTTCACAACCCCAAACTGCTTGTGATGCATCCACATTAGTCTCTCTTAATACTCTTGCGTGTGTTGCAGAGCAATTCACCACCAGAACAACAGGTGGAGTAACGTGTTCCTGTTGAAGACGACCTAGAGAGTCACGTCTTTGGGTGTGGAAGTTGTTGGTTTGTTTATTTATTTATCATAGACTTTATTGCCCCGTGCATCGACACTACTGCTTTTCATCGCGGACACATTTGTCCCGTATTTTCTTCCACAACTTTGTTCCCCTCGACCGGCAAACCGACGTTTGCGGAGATTGAAAGTGCGCCTTAGAATCCGGTGCGCCGTATAGTGCGGAAAATACGGTAATGCCCTGAAACTGGTGAGAACTGACATGTTTTCTGTAGGTTTGCTGATGAAGATTTTTTCTCAAAGATGGGGTTTAAAGTTGATTATTGAGTTAAAATAACCATAAAAAAATTGTCAAAATCATCTGACATCAAGTATCTGATCGGATTTTTGATTGGATCGCGCAGTCTTTCTCGACAAACCAAAGATTTCAAATAGTAACACATTCAACTCCAACAAATGAGCCAACTCTGTCTGCTGAGCAAGAATGTGTGAAACAATCAAATGCTTCACAACAGCTTTTTGTGTATTTGCGAATAGATTTATGTAAATTTTTATTGCATTGCACAATTACATAACACACTGCTCTGACCTGTCTTTGTGTTTCCACCCTTGTATCGGATCCTCTGGATAGCGTCCAACAGCGCTTCTTTGTTGCCATGGGAACTCAGCTGGAATTCTGTCCGAGCATCGTCGCTGAACTGAGCGATGGCCACCTGCAGCGAGGCGGAGACAGACGGACAGAAAGTTATGGGGAATTCAAGCGGCAACCCTCAGCGCTGGGAAATCAATCCAAGATGGAAGAGTCAACTACAGTTCTTCAAATGGAAACTTATAGCTGGCTCCGAAAGCGAGACAATCTGCACACACCCCAGAGGCTAAAATGGCCAACTTTATAGCAGAAACAAACATGTTAACAGCCTGTTGCAAAAAGGTTTTTGGTCTCTACGGCTTATCTCTCCCTCACAACTGTAAGGGTCATTTTTTTATTTTTTAAATAACAATATACATAGAGCCTTAGAGTAGAGTGACAGGTAGGGGCTAGAACCAGTCATCGCCTGCTCACATGAATTACCTAGAATGTGTTTTATTGGCTGAAGAAAACAATGCTATAATCAAATTGAATGTGCAGCCTCGACAAATAGTTAGTGTTTTCACATTTATCTATGATGATATATATGCGCTGGAATCTAATTGATTCACTAAGAATAACTTTCACTACTTCCAAACGGCTAATGGTGTAGTTCTTGGCTCTAAGTGGAGAACATTTAGCAGCCAACTCTCTCTTTACTGTAAAGCCAACTCTCTTACATTACAGCCAGCATTTTGCTCTTGGTAGCCTACCGCCAGAGTTGCATGGGGCACAACAAGGGTAGAAAACTGCTCAACAGCAGAAATTATACAAATAAAAGAAAGAAGGTTTTGCAAGCACCTCTACCGTTTGACGAATGAACCAGCTGAGCTCCGCTGACAGAGTGAGAGAGCCATGCAGACAAGAAGCACAAAGAACTTGACAATAAAGAATTACTGCCTTAACGTAGAGCCTGATAGTATGAACCTGATACATGAGAAAAACACATGAGGGGGATGTGTACTATAGATACTAAGTATTTCTGATGGCGGATGTTAAACTAAGAATTAAGTTGTAAGTTATTCGTCGATGCTGCGTTGAAGCGCCTGCACTTTGTTCTAGCTTTCAACGCTTCTAGACAACTTATTAGCAGCACCACCCATCAAAGAAAATGTTGTGTTTTCTGGCAAAATACACAATGGCAGAATACATAGACATAGGAAACAGACGACGAGGTGGTTGGGTTGAAAAGGGTTGTTGGATATTTGTGAACTTATGCTTTGTTGTGCTTGCAAAACATTACTTTAAGAAACGTTACAAAGCCCAGCAAAAGGTTTTGTAATGTTACTTTGTAGAGAGAAATTCCAAGATGGTCATGGTCAAATTCTAACAATATGAATTCAGAGATGTTTTGTTGTGATGCCTTTGTGGAAATGAAGTCATATTGCAAGGTAACAAGTAATAGTTGATCACTGTCTTACTCTTGTGCTCTTTCTTTTAGACTCTCGGTGAGGTAACAAATAACCGCGGCCGGGTCACATGACTGACCTGAGTACCGTCTGGGCCAATCAGATCCAGTGATCCCATGGTGCTGTAGAGAAAACGCGTGATCTTCATGAAGTTATCGTCTCCAATGGACCACGAACCATCGACCAGGAAAGCCAGGTCGGCCTTGGCCTCCCTGCACACTAGATGGATGGACAGAAGGACAGATGGAAAGAAGAGATAGATAGAAGATTTTGTCAGCACATACTTGGTCTCTGCAAAAAACTTCACAGAGAACGAAAGACGAACCATAGCTTGAATGTTTAACTGGCTGCAAAGTGAATATGCAGAGTCCAGATCCTTAAATTTCTTTGCACATCATGGCATGAATGTCTATTGCTCTAAAATTCTCTTTAAAACCACAAAAATGTGTTTTACCCAACATGTGTATGGATCTTTCTCCATCTGTTTGCTTCTCGTTATTAATCCTGGTCCAGCGGGGAATCTACTTATTCTTCTTAGGTTTCCAAATGCAGTAAAGTTGTTTTGTGGCTTTAACAACTTTTCAAACCCATTTTCTTTTTCAAAATGTATTCATGACCACGTTAGGCTCAATAAAAGATTGAGGAAAACCTTAGCGGCGGCTGCTTATAAAGGAAAAAAACGTTTCATTTGAAACGCAACAAGTTAAAACAGGAGACGTAAAGGAAATCATGCAAACTGTTTTTATAAGCAAAGCGCTCAAGCTCGTCAGAAAAGTCAACTTTGACATCAGCTGGAGACTCTTTGCCTTTGGTCTTAACTCCCATTGCCATTATTTTGCTCCGTCTTTTTCTTATTGCTCTCTGTCTTTTACCACCATGGCGTCGTTCCCCTCATTTGTCTGTTTGTGTCTGGTCCCCCTCCGCTTCCTGTCTGCAGCCCTTTCTCGGCCCGTTCTGCTCATCCTGCCTGCCCTTTCTTTTGTTTCCTTCTTTTAGCAGCCGTTAGGAACGATGGAGAAGGAGATAAAAGGTTAACAATCGCTACCAATCCCCCCCCCCCCCCCCCTTTGGTCTAAATGCTAGCACCATGTTCATCTTCACCTGTCATGCCTGAAGCTTCATACTTCGGCTTGAAGATGTGTTCATTGCTTCTGCTCCTTCAAATTCTTTCTTAACCCTTTAGTCCGCCCCCTTGATTTTGATGAGGCATAATAATTCCAATTTTTCTTACGTTGGACCGCATCCTATTTTTTAATTGCTGCAAATGGTTAGGAATCCAAAGACAACGCGCTATATCACGTATTTATAATACAAATACACATAACGTGTACTCTCAGTGATACAAGTGAATTAATTGTTTTGGTATTCTAGTATTTTCACCTTGTTCCTGATTTACCGCCCTGATTTATTAATACTGACCACAAAGTTATTTTTCCAGCCGCATATGATATTTTTAAATGAAACACTTCATAGCTGTGTCATGAGTACAGAGTGGCATAATATGGTTTTAAAGATGTTTTGTTTCAAAATCATGGCAAATCAATGACTTGACAGTTTTAGAGAGTAAAACCATTGTTCTTCATACCTCTTCTAAGCAATTTCTCAATATATAATTCCATTATCTGTAATTGCATTTAATAGCAATGGTTTACATCACAGCTGATGAAATGTTGTGTCCGTTAACCACAGTTACCATGTTTTTTGTCAGCTTCCTGCTCACCTTCTTTCGCTGGGGGGATCGTGGGCGGGGGCTCTGTGGTGGGGGGCTCAGTCGGAGTTTGAGTGGGCGGTGGCACTGGATTAACAACACAGGCAGAAACAAGATAGATCATCGATCATGACGGCAGTGGAAAGGGGAACCGTCATCGGGTTTGTGTTCCGACCACATGCACTTGCAACTACGCGCAGACACAAGCTCCTATTAGACAGCAGCTGGTTTCCATTGGACTGATCCTAGTCTGAGGAGGATCTACTAATCCTCCTCCTTCCTCGGACAGCTGAGTTCTGGGCCTTTACAGGGAAAAGATTTGAAGTGCGTTTGCATTTAGAACCCATGTGTGTACATAAACAATCCAGCTGTAGTGTTTTACTCGGTTTTCTTTCCATCGCGGAGACACAATACTTGGACATTAACTTCTTCTTAACTTTGTCTCAGTATAAAACATCTCCATTATATAGATAATAATCAAGAAATATGAAAGAAACTATTTTACATGGCTCATATTTGTTATTTAGATACATTTTTTAAGCATCAGAACAATTCTTTAATTGTCAATGTCCTCTTGATAAAACAAAATTGGAGATCTTCCGGTTGAATTTACTTTCATCGCGGTCAACGGAATGTGTGAATCAATATCCGTCGTCGGATTTCTGTGTGTGAGCTGAGCACCACTTGTCCCTGAAACTGTGCGCATCTCCTCAGCTGACCTCTGCACTGCAATAGCCGCCTTTATGTTCTCAGAGAGAAAAGGGAAAGAGATCAAGACATAATCGGTAGAACATTGTGAATTGATGTGGGATAAGAGGGTTAATATCTTCATAACGGAAATGAATGCGATGGAACTCCAAACTAAAAGATTAGTTGCTTTTGACGTGAGTGCAAAGGCGGACATGAGAACATTAAGAATGGGCGGTATTTTACGGTGCACAAAATATTTGTTACATACGTGTCATGTCAGTGATGGAGACAGGAGGTCCTTCCATTTGCTGCATCTGGGTGTGAATGCTGATCTGGTATTGGCTGCTGGGCGTGAGGTCATAGAAGCACTGTCGGGAAGCACCACCTCCCAGGCTCACTTCCTGTCTCTGACCGTCTGCAAGCAAACAACCACAACACAATTTATACAACATGCAATCCCTGGCAGATTAAATGCACCAAACACGTTGACAAAAAAAGTCAAATAAACTATATAACGCTGTGTTTAAAATTGCTGGAGGAAAGTGCCATTTTAACCAACGAAAAATGAAAAGATTCCTTTTCTTTTGTCAATTTATTTTGCATTGCAAATAGCAAACACTTGTGAAACACACAGGCGTTTGTTTTTGAACGCCATTGATGGACAGCATCACAGACAAACAAACTAATGAGAATTTATATTTGCAGCCAAAAGGGGAGAAACTAGAAAGTGTGAGCGCACGTACACGTACACTAATAGCTGCCATTCGATTTCATTAGTCTAATTCTATTCCCCAGTGTTTTCCCCCACAGATACTAGGCCATAGATGATAACGTTTAGGGAAACAGCTGTCACACAACAGTGCACTTTTCTATCTGAGAAGGTGTTTAAGCAGCTGGTTGGCTCTGGGTGGATTAAACAAACTCTCTAAACTCCAGCTAGAACATCCAGCCGCTGCTCAGGCAAAACGGAAGGAGAGATAAATAGAAGAATAAGGGAGGGGAATTGAAGGAGAAGTTTGAGGAGAGAAGTCTTTCTGCTTCTCTTTTCTGACAGTAAAAGGCGATGCACATGTGGACATTTCTTACTGTGCGTGTTTCCTTGAAGTAGAAATTGTTGTATTAATTTCGCTAATCTCTACATTCACAAGGCAGCGCTCACATTTATTAACATTCATTTCCAGGTATGTTCTAAAACCCTGTCGGGAAAATGCATTTTAAAACCGAGCAGGTTTGTATCACCAGTACTCAAACTTTCCTTTTCAAACTGCTGAACCCAAAAAGAAAAAAGAAAGAAAGAAAGTACCCCTTGTTAATCCCTGTGGGGACATTATTCTGCATTTAACCCGTCCCACACAGTGGGAGCAGTGTGCAGCCGTAAAGGCACCCGGGGAGCAGTTAGGGGTAAGATGTCTTGCTCTGGGACACTTCAACTTTTTCCGACTGTCTTCAGCCCCACGTCTACGTTACAATGAGTCTTTTAAAGGAATTTTTTGATGTTAAAGAAATGTGCTTTATTTCCTCTTTTGATGACGGCTGCAGCAGCAGATCAACACACCTCTCATACTTGTAAACTTAGAAGCTGGAGCCCAAATAAATGATTGACTTAGTTTAATGTGAAGGCTGAAAGCGACGGAAATAACGGTCTTTGTCTGAACGGGTTCGGGTTAGGGTTACAATACATTGGAGTAAAAAACCTTTTACAGGGTGTTACATGATGTAACTATATCCCGGCCGGCTGCAGGTAACTTCCTGCAATGCTCTCAGCTCTGGCCTCATGAGTGATATTGATTTTCTCATACAATTCTTGTAGAAAAATGATCCTGCATTGCAGGATTTTCTTTCTTTTTAAAGAAATTTTATTGTGACAGAGAAATAACAGAAGCGAACCAGCTTTCTGCAACATTATTTTTTTTTTTTGGTGACATGATCTGCACCATCACATTGGCAGTGAAAGGGTTTATAGTTCCGACCACATACAATCATGCACACACACACACACACACACACACACACACACACACACACACACACACACACACTTCAATAAGAGAGCACAATGAAACAGTAGCCTGTTTTTATTGTACTGATCCAGGTTTTAAGAAGAATCCACTAATCCTCTTCCCTCCTCTGACAACTTTCTAACTTCTTACTGTTCTTCTCTTCCTACCACGTTTTCCTTCTTCATACAGGTTGGGGTCAGTAAGAGGGCTGTATTCATCAGTCTAGTGTCTTTCTGACCAGAGGTTGTGACATCTGACCAACACATTCATCTCTTTGAAATCAAAAAGAAGGGTTAATATTCTTTTTCAGAGACCACCATAATTGTGAAAACCTCAGCTGCTAAACGATGATGCAAGTGCTACAAATGTAACATCAACGGAGAGTAGAAGACCTACTTCCTGTATTGAAGTACCTGTATACATAAAAACTCTTCTCACATTGCTTCAGTTTTGGCTTCATCTAAACAGGAAAGGTTTGAGCAGAAATACACCAAGTAAAACTTTCCCAAAGAATCAAGGAGCTACATTATGTTTTCTACTGACGGAGGAATATTGCAAAAAAACATTGTGAAGACTGCTGTCTTTACAATGTTTATACGTACCAATACCAATATTTTTCTGTTGAAACAGCATTCTTTTTATTTTATATAAACCCTTGCTGTGCAACCAACTGCCCACTTAAATAAAATATACGTTAAATGCCAAAATAATCTCTGGCCGATATGACATATTGTAGACTGGTTTTATTAAGGGTTTTATATTTTAAACACTATTCTATGGGTGGATTTTTTTCCCTGATTGATTGCTTTAGAATAGATTTGTATATTGATTATTGCTTACTTTAAAAGCTCTTTCCTTTTTTTTCTCTTGTTCTTTTTTTCCAGTGGGAATTGAGCATTACGCAGCTTCAAGAGTTCAGACTCTGTGGTTTACTGGTTTTATTTCTGACATGATGACATGACCAACTCTTAAAGGAGTCTTGAAGCATTTGGAATAAGGAATCATAGTCTGCATTAGGAGTTCAATCCAGCAACCACACCAACTATCACAGTTTAAGAAAAAGCATTTGATTAAATGAAAGAATAGTTATCCAATCACTTTGCTGGCAAACGTTTAGTCTGTTGCCATGTGGAACACTCAAACGTGTTGAGACAAATGAAGGTGTACACACCAAAATATTGGCGAGAGAAGCTGTTGCCTGTCTGACCGAGCATGTGTTCTAGGTTAACTTCTTTTTTGCAAAAGTCTGAATTTAAATTTTGTCTTGAGATATTTACATTTCTTTACGGTTAAGCGGTGTGATATCAAGCCGATCTAGTTGCACTTCATGATCAAGTTGCACTTCGCTGGAATTCAATACAGGGGAGTCGATCCAGCGACTGGAGTGTGCTGCCGGTCTGGTGTCACGTTGTCAAACAAAAAAAACAAACTAATGAAAGCACTGAATCAACACCATCTTTGAGACCAGGCATGGAGACGGGCCACCCACGAGCACATGGATAACCCCGTACCCAAACCGTACTGGCGAATGACTTACTGAGCGTAGACTGTATGGAGACTCTGTACAAGGTGGCACGGAGGAGTGGCTGCCATTGGACGCAGAGGCTGTTGGGACGCACCTGGTAGGTGGACATACCAGACACACCGAGGAACACTGCAGGTACAAAGATGGACAGCAAATTACAACATGGCATTTTAGTGTCCTGTTATTGGTCACTTGTATTTATGAAAATTTGGGATAAAAGTTATATACGTTGAAATATGTTATGACAGATGTTAAGAATTATTTGACACGTTTGTCACGTGATTACAGGGTTAGAGAAAATCTTCTGTTTTCTCAAATGAACACTGCACCGAAAGCTCCAGTTACAACACTCTATAACACTATGTATGTGAAAACAATATAAGGGAAGAGGTAGTCAGGCCTGCTGGTTCACTGCGTTGTGAACGAATGACGCATGATGCAGCAGAATGTAAAACACCACAAGCAAATTGAAAAGCTGAAGCATGTTGAAGTGAGATTTCAGTGGACCATAGGCAACCTCCCTCTGTCTCTATCTCATTATCAGAATATGCTGATGGTATAAAATAAACTTGGTGTCAATGAATGGAATTTTAAACTGGCAGGCAACATATGGCAGGTCCCTAATTTTAAATACATGTGAATAATGCATGTGACGACCCATCATTTCTCTCAGTGATATGCAAGGATACACATAACGCTCAAACACAAAGATGCAAAATGCAGACTACCATTTACAGACGTGCATTTCAACACACGAATACATGCATATGTATACATGTACTGTGTTACATGTGTATGCACATGTGTAAACAATAAGGCATGCGAAACTCTGGTAGTGCAGTGAAACAAAAATATAATGTATGCACAGGACAATAGCAGCGCCATATCCAACATGAAGCTCTGCCTTTGTTGTGATGGCGGCCAAACATGTTCTGCCACAAATATACGGTTGACTTACACTCTTAAACCCCATACAGCTTTATTTGGGTGAAAGAGTTTCATTTCGAACAATGGCCCTCAAGGTGCCAATAATAACTTTTTATGCTACATGCAAGTATGTGTAATTTATTGGTGAAAAGGTGCCAGCTGGCTCCCATGGCAAAGATGCAATGAATGCAGTATACCCAGGGAAATATGTGAAATGTGCTGTATCTCCCTTATTAGGATGAGAAATGACTCAAGACAACCCTGTTAATAAATCAGCATTCCTCCAGTGGAAAGTACAAATATGGACAATGAATTTAAATATGCCCGGTGTAATATGGGAAAATCTGATGAACCTGAAATTCCTCAGGGAAGCGTGAATTACTTGTGTTGCTTGCGTGAATATTTGATAGGGCTAAAATAGTGTGTGGGGGGGTATAAAAAAAAATGCAAAAATGACAAAAAAAACATACATAGTATTTTGCACTGAATGTATAAAAATTTGGGATATTTTCCAATTACAAACCTTTTTTATTGTGAGAACTCTACAGACTATGGATTGTGGAAGGCAGTTGTCCCTCATCATATAATGGGATGATTAAAGAACAGATTAAGGATAGCCCATCACTACGGCACAAATTAATAAAACGTGAGAAGTGAGGGATCGCTCTAATCGTGGTTGTTTCATGTGCAGGCCAAATCTAAATCTATTTTTCTCTGTGCATTAACCTGCAGGATTAATATGTGAGCTGTTAAAATTAGAGTAAGTTTTCTTTTATCCTATTTGATGAACTGCCCTTTGACAAATCCCTTCTAGCGAATTAGACAATAAACCCAAAATACAAGAGTGGATTTTAAAGTTCAGCAGTATTGGGAAAGCCCACACAGAAGAACAAAAGACGACGTACACGCTGGGTGATGGACCGTAACCCGGAACTCTTCTGAGGTTAGTTTAAAAAGTTTAGTTTTAAAAAGTGAATACTTACATAGAGTACATGCACATATATCTCTTAACTCCAGACTTTTCTGTCTCGTTCTCTACTACTTGTCAATATCGTCCTCATTTCCTTTCTTCCTGACAGTCCATTCGTTTTAGATATGAACAAAATTAAAGACTGCATTAGATTCTAACAATACCATAATACCACCTGTTGATGCAAAAAGAAATCACTCTCACTGGCTGACTGTCTGTTGGCGAAGGTCTCAATGGAATGTGTGTATTGTGTCAGCGAACAGTTAATATGCATGTTGCTCCCATTTGCCTGAACTAGTTTGCTTTTCTGCTGTTGTTGTTCTGTAAAAACGAACGGCGATGGTGAAGTGAGAAAGTCAGTCAAGACATTTCTATGAAGCAAGACATTGATTCCAGAACCAGGTATCGTATTCTCCATTCACAGTGACTAACGAGTGTTATTGCTCCTCACATATGCATCATGCTTACATGTCTTGGCATTCACCAGCAGTGGTTCACTCTGTCCTGTGGGGTAGGAAGCCGTCACTTGAACATTGTACTCCGTCCCACTTAGTAGATTCAGAAGCAGCATGGAGTTCACATCGTCACCAACCGTTGTCTCCAAAAATGGTCCTGGGACTTTGAAAGACACACGCGTGTAATCGTGGGCACAGACAGGAAAGAAAGAAAAAAAGAAAACAGAGAATGACAGACGTTATTCTTTTTAAGAAAACACACCAAATCCAGTTTACCAGGAAAATTATGTCTTTTAAAAGTATTTGAATCTTTCCAAAAACACTATTATCCCATTTACATTTGAAGCTTCTGATGAGAAAGTATCACGTTTTCCAAACACATCGGTTAATCCCAATCCTTTTTTCTTATGTAGCCAAACAAAAAAGTTAAAACATAAATCGCCAGTATGGGATTTGCTAGAATGATTTCAAGGAAATGTGGATGTGGATGTTATAAATTTGCAGCTGCAAACTCCACACTGCGGCTGCAGTAGTAAGGATATTAACAGCGAGGGCCTTCGGCAACCTGAGCTGCCGAGATCAAACGCCGGCTAGTGGCACCTTTGCTCAAATTGCCCTCCGATGGCAACAGAAACAAAATGCTTGTGCACGCTGTTGTTGGCGCCAACCCCCCCAAGTGTATGCGTTACTAAGAATGAGCGTTTTACTCCTCACTTGGACTGAGGCGCTGGAGACTTTCTTCAGGATCCCAAAAATGAACTGGAAAGCAAAACTAAGAGCCGCAGAGCCGAGAGGGCTGATGCCTGTTGGCCTAAACGGAACGAAATGGATCGTTCATTGTTTATGGTTGGTTCAGACTTGCAGCCCTCGTCTTTATTTTTTTTAATCACTTTCATAGTTATAGTCACATCTCACAACCCTCGACTGTTTCCTCCAAACGTCAATCAAAATACAACGCACCATTTACTGCATTCGCAATTAACATTGATTGGAAATCCACATAACAGGTTACATTTACCCTCATCACACTTAATAGCACTGCAATACAGTAACGTCCTTATAATGTTCTTTTTCTGCACTTTTGCTTGGGTTAATTAACTATGCGGAAATTATGTCAACCTCTCCCTTAAATCAAGAACCCATTGTTTAAAAAGTTACTTTGATTGAATCAAATGTACCATACATTTGTTTCCACAAACCCGCAGTAATATACATGCATGCACAAACGAATACAGAGCCTTACTGAGCTGCGGCAGTGATTCCACCCCCGGAAAACACTCCTCTAGGCCACTAAAGAACACAAACTTCCATTTTGCGTTTCCAAACAACCGGTGCTTTACAAAATAGACATTGTGCAGACATAAGAGCAGAATAAGGGCAAAATAAAGTACTGCATGAAAAAGGAAGAACATACACAATACAATAAAAAATAAAAAAAAGCGGGGCAGCAATTTTCTTTACCAAACACCAGCGGAACATCGTCTAATAGAAAACCGACCGGGTTTGTGTATATATGTCCGTACGTCCCTGTGTGTTTCTGGAGGTAAATTGAGTATATTGTAGCTCTAAATCGGTATCTGTGTGTCCACCAACATTCTCAAGGTGAAATGAGTTTCCCTTTATATTAAATCAAATTAATACAGCCGGTCTATTTGAAGGTGGATTCTCAAAGCCACCATAATTGTGTTTAGACCACTAAAACAAGACTTTGAAACTATAAAGACCCGAGCCTCATCTTGAAAGGACAAACAATTGGCAATAGAGACACAGCAGACCAGTTAAAACAGGCTTTTGAAGATGCTTCAATGCAATAAATTAATGACGACAGGTAATATTTTATTTCAGATCTTGAACGCTGATGTTTTCTCTGAAGCCTCAGGCATCTTGTTAAAAAATAAAAAGTTAGAAGTCACCATCTGGAAAAGCTTTGAGAGCAGTTTGTCTTTCAACCACTTTGTGCCTTTGTGTTTGTTTCTGGTGGGTCATAATAAAAAAGTGATTAGTATGTGTGGATGAGCTTGTGTCCCACGGCAAAGCACATGCTACAATCAAAATATGCCCATGTGTTTGACAACAGCTGGGCATTAAAGCCCACATTAAAGTGTGTGTGTGTACCTGTGTGACTTACACTATCAAAAATGATCATAAACATATATACAAAAACAATGAATACCTCCATAATCCCAATACGGGTCATCCCAAAAGGCGTATTTGGGGAGTATTGTTTGTTAATACAAATAATATTAGGATTCGCATTAGTTTCTGCCAATGTGTGAGTGTGTGTGCGTGTACCATTGATGGGCTGGTATACGATCCTGTAACCAGCTGTCGGCGACGGAGGTGGATCCCAGGTGACCCTGAAGCGATTGTACCACTCCTCTGACACACGTAGGTTTGCAGGAGACAGGAGAGGCACTGACAGACCACAAGGAACATCACAATACCACAGCTGGTCAGATATCGATATCAATGTCAAGTCTGCTTCACATTTTGGTCGGCAGCACAAAGGTATCAAGATTTTATGTAATTGCCGTGCTTACTCTGTACATAGTTAGTTGAATACATCTATTTCTTTATTAACAATTAGTGATAATTATCTATTATTTTTCTAAACATTCAAAGGATCGGTTCCATTTAACTAGAACGTCATGTGTAGGTCTGGCTCTGACTTACGGTTGTACTTATGTTATTTCCAACTGAGGAGCGGTTTTCATTTGCTAGCTTTCGAAATATCCTCATCTAAAAAGATCACATATTTTTGTCTGACATTTCAATTCTCTGTACAACAAGGAGACAATCACTACTTCGCATGAAAAGGTAATCAGGAGAATGGTTGAGAAATCCATTAGTGCCGAGCAAAACGATCTAATTGTCTCATTGCATTAAGGAGATGCTGTAATTATGAACGGCCTTCATTAAGACAATTAAGAATGCATCATTATTCGTCATCGTTTTTATTCATGTATTCCTTCAGGGGCATAAACGATCATTAAATTAATGCAATGCAAATGAACATTCTGCTCGCTGCTTCAAAATTCATTTTCCTAAGCTTTTTGTTTCGTCAGATGTGTTCTCCTGAAATGGGAGCTGCATCTTTGTCAAATGATAGTTGAGGAGCCCAGAGTTCACCTCCTTGGTTAATAATCGATACGATTGTGTGTTTGTGTGCGTTAGGGGGGGGGTGTAAGCCTTACATGTGAACCCGAGCGCGGAGACACTGATGCCGTCTCGTCCATTCGTGTACACCGGTGTGACTGTCACTTTGTACTGGGTGTCTGGTAGCAAAGGCTGAAGAACTGCTCTCATCTGAACACCAGAAACTAACACCTACACACACACACACACACACACACACACACACACACACACACACATATGTGTATGCATTAATCTCTGCTCACAAGGGACTAAACTGCACACTGATTAACTAAGCGCGTTCGCTTGTGCACACAAACACACGGACACATACTTTTCTTAATTTACAGGCACCACATAGCAAACTAAGCACAAAATCAGATCCTCCTCCCTGCCGGCTCATAGGAACATTTGGAGGCAAATATTAAGGCCAGGCTTAATGAGGTGAAACGGAAAGTGTTTGTAAAATGTTACATATACCTTCAGGGATTTGAACCAACTCTTTAAGAATTCTGCTCACATCAGTTTAGTCAATAAAGTCCTTTGAGGCCAACAGTGAGGCAGAAAAGAGCTGAGAAAAACCCATTAGGTTACTGCTGTGCATGAATTTATTTAAGTGTTGAAACAAACTTCAATACTTATAAAGAAGTTAAATCCTCTGCATCTTTAAGTTCTAAAAGGCTTCCATTGTATAAATACGTTTCTCTTCCCTGCAAAAGTAATATTTGTTATACAGACAACAAGAAACAAATCCAGATGGCTGCATTTGACCACCTATTGGCATGTGATGTTTGCTCAGACGTGGTTGAACTATTTATGTGTAAATGTCATTTTTTCCTGAGCACTTTTGTCCATGTTGAATTAATAGTCGAGCTGTACATCCAGTCATTCAACTTCTTCCTTTTTGTGACAACTGAGCGAGCAATCAGCTGAGGAAGACCATGAGATGTAAATTACGGGTTGCTCAAACGTCTGAAAATCAGGAAGGAACGCACAAGCATACATAAATACATACGTAATCACATTAACGCAACAAGATTATGAAACAGAAAGGGTTGATGCTGTCCGTCCTTTGCGCTGTATCTTTCCCTCAAACGCATCTCCACCAGAACACTTTCAAAAGGAGGCACACAACCTGAACCTGACCTTCAGCTCTCAGCCAGAAGTCAAGCTTAAGCCTTTCTCCCATTTTGTTTAGCTATTGCTTCTTTTTCACATCCCTTTGTTTCTTTTGCTCTTTCCTCTGCGGCCCTCCATCTCCGCTTCCAGTAAGTTAAATGGCTGCTGAAAAGATAATGGAATGTCTTCTGGCTTGGCCTGGCCTCTCCATCTTCTACAGCTCTGACACACACATTGGGAAATTAAAACAGTGGCCAGGGGAAGAGAGTGCGAGGAGAGGAAAGTAAGGGCGGGTTGGCGGAAGAGAGAACACATGAGGGAGAGAAAACTGAAAAACAAAGACATAGAGGGACTGACTGAAGAGAGAAGGTTTTTTTGGTGTGTGTGTGTGTGTGTGTGTGTGTGTGTGTGCGCATCAGCGATCAGGGTCAGTGCATGGCGCCGAGCTCAAGGGCTCTTACCACAGATGGAGGAATCAGGTCGGAGAAGCCGAGTGGACCGGGACTAAAAGTGTAATCAGTTTTTTGATTGGAGACGATGACCCCGACACTGACCGTTGCAGTGGACTGGAGGTGTGAAATAACAAGGATCCTCCTTCCAAACATGACTCCTGAGCCGTTTATGTAATCCGCTCTCACAACTCACAGGGGAAGACGTTTGTCTGTGTTTTCGTGCATTTGAAACTGCAATGCCAAAACGTAGCATTGCATTGCATTGCATTGCATTGTTTTACAAATTCTGCATTAAAAAAAAGAACTAATCAGAATCAAAAAACACCACGGCGCAGATATCCTCACACTTCTACCGCTGCACTTAATTATTTGTCAGTGTTTTGGTTTTTTTAAAGGTAAAAGATCACAACTGGATCGACTCACAGACTCCTCCCGGCGGTTGCCCCTGAGACCGGCGTAAGAGACCCTGTAGCTTTGCACGTGGGGGTCCTGCAGCTCCCATGACGCCTCCATGCTCTGCGTGGTCTCGTCACGCAGCCGAAGGTTTCTCACTGCCCGACGTGCCGCTGTGACGCCACATCAGGAAAAGGGACTTTAGGATTCGTGATACACACATCTGCACCGGATCTGGACTGAAGTTACATTTTCTCTACACTTAATGCAGTTCAGTACAATATCGGTTAGATAAACACATAATGTCAACGTGACGAGGCGCTCGCACTGTTTTGGTGTAGTAGATAATAAGTCGAGCCTGTTCCTCATATGAAACACTGTTTTTTTTTGTCAGTAGGCGAAATTGAATCTGCGCAGATCGGCACTGATTTACTGTGATGATGTACATACATCCTCTAAACTTTTAGAGCAAGTACCACTTGAATTAAGCTTGCTGCCCACTGGACACAGTCAAGCAAAAAAGCTGAGTAAAATATTTTAACATACATACGTACATTTAATTGCGTAATTGTCACCTAACAAATTCTTTCTAAGTTAGTGCTGAGCCATTAATATTCATGTACAATATTGAATGTGATGCTTGATGATGAATTTGACACAAAAGCCATTTAGATACTTCTCACCTTGTGTTGTGGTAGCAATCGTTGTTGTCTCGGCCACTGGGGAAAAAAGATGAATTAGATAAATTGATTAAACTTCTCATCAACATCTCTCTGAATTGACTAAAAAATCATTGACACAAAAATGAATGTTCTTATTCTGACGTAAACTGCAAGAAGGCAATCAGTACAAATTGTAAAATGCACAGTCATGCTTTGAAAAAAAGCATATTTTGTGATGGTAGAAGGCAGATGTGATGGGACTGATCCGTTATCCTCAGCAGACGGTGGCACTTTGCTAAAGAGGGTTAGTGAGGTTACAGACTTGCATCAGTCAAACCAAGGTGGTTTGAATGTTTCACATTGCTCTCGTCTCTGGAAAAAGTTTTTGGATTCCAACTTTTCTCACGCATTGTGCTGATTCGCTAAAGCAAATAATACAACTGTTGGAGTTATAAGCACAACTGCGATGACAGTGGCAAATCGCCTTACGGGTGGTCTCGGTAACAGAGACGGTATCACTTTCGGATTCATCTTTGAATACAGCCGTCAGCATCGCTTCGTACTCAGTCGACGGACTCAGACCAGTCAGCGTGTATTGGTTGTCAATTCCACTCAGGACAACCTACGAAAGAGAAACACACATATGAGTTTCAGTATCGTCATAAATTTGAGTTCTAACAATATCTTCTTTCATGTTTGGCCAAAACACAATTTGAGAATCTTGTTAATTAATCGTCATGTCAAACTTGGGCATTAGGAGAGAATATAAAAAAACGATTTACACCAAATCAGTGCTTCCCGTTTTTAATTGTTTTTTGTTTTATACTGTGCTGTTGTTGAGTGAATGTTATCCTTATTTTACAGCATTGCTCTCTGTGGTGTTTTCCTTATGATAAAAAGGCTGCTCTCAAAAAAGCATCAGGATGCAATAAAAAATACACCCAAAGGATACAGATTGATCCACAATGACATAACGTACTCTTCACACGGAGCTCTAGATTATTATGTTATTTTAATCTGGGTAATCTTTCACTCTGGCTGATCAACTCTATTATGTTCCATTTCCTTTCAGACGTAATACAATGTGATTGGTGGCGAATTTAGATGTGCGCGTATGCATGTGTGTGCATATGTTTGTGGTCGAGAGACCAGCTGCATGTATCCGTTTCTCTGCGCACGTAGAATTACGAGCCCACCTCTCCAACTCCCCAGAGCGTTATTTTCAGCTTTGGTGACTCTCAGCTAAACACACAGATGAATGGACACACTCACACAACATGTACACACAAATACACGCACACTCTGTAAGAGACCTGAGGGCTCTATCGCGCCTGCACAGCTGTCTCCAAAATCCAGATCATGGAAATAAAAAACCCAAGCCATTAATTTGAAGATTTATTTAGCCTTTATGTGTGCTGCTCTATGCAAGGGGCTTTACAAGCTACCAGTAGTGTAGTTAAGCTCATATGTGGCTCCATAGAGAACAGCCTCCCCCATTATCGATGTATATAGAGTGCAGCCACTTGTTCCCCTGGAAGCTCCGATAAAATGTGGCTTAATGAAAAATCTAATCATAAATTGGTGTAATATCTGTCAGCTTGAGGATGTGAAGCTAGCTCACTGCTGTGCCAGCGACTCAGACAAGAAGTTTCATGCCTATTGTAACGTCCACATGATTTCCGAGGATGAAATTTCACCTTTCACCTCTTGTGGTTAAGAAATTCCAAACTATTTCATTCTATATTTCATTGCTACTGACCTCCTTTGTGTCGCCACCCGTAAACGGTGCCCAGGAGAGTCTGTAGAGGACGATGTCATCGGCTGAGTGATCCCAGCTGACCTGGAAGCCGTCTGTGCCGACATTGCTGGAGCGTAGATCCAATGGACCTGGAACTGGAGCTAAAAGGCAGCGAAAGCGTTTTACTTTTTAGACTTTTACTTTCCTAATTTTTTTATTGTTTGTCATTTGCTAACCATGTTCTAACAATCTCGTGGTTTCCCATAGGATTGGGGTATAAAATAGTTTGTTCCTCATTATACTGCACGCTACGCAGCACATAACCTGCATTACTAGGTATAGAAAAATGAATGACTAAAGGAGGCTTGGCTGGCACGACGCTACACGGCTTCATGCAACCTTCAAAAGAAAATTGTGCTTGAAAACAGTTACAGCTGCGGTGTGACCACACTTATCATCATAGTTCTAAATGGCCATAAATATCACTAAATATTTGATTTCCTAAATACTTACAGCTGCAAAGAACTAAACATTAACTGTGGTCCGACAAAGCCAGAGTAAAAATCAAGTTGTGAGTCATCGGAACATTGCAAAAAAACACGTGACAGATAAAATACCGTGTGTCTGCACTACTATGCAACGAGTGTACTACCGTGAGTTTGCCTCAGTTTGGAACATGATGCAATCACTGTCCAGGGTATAACTGCTGCTTTCCTCATTGCAGGGGCTAATTTATTGCGTGTTTTTAAACTGTTTGCTCAGCGATAACATTAAGTTACAGCCGCCCGCTTGGTGTGAACCGTACCATGCAAGTTCCCATCCACTTAGAATCCCTAAGGGTGAGATCGCATCGTGTGCCTGTTCATGAAGCTATTTCTTGAAACCAGGTCGATTCAACTAAATTGGCCAGAAGATGAAACAAATCTGTACGGGCTCTTAGAGTGAGTGGTTTGATAGTTGCTTGCTAGAAATACATTTATTTCAGCTGGCTCAGCACCGAAGCCAAACTGCTTGTTGCTTAAAGGGATATTTCTACGAATCAATATCAGTTAGTGTGACAGAGTAATAAGGGACAGCAAAATGACCTTTTAATGCAACTGGGCTATTACGCCGAGGTGTAAATGAGATGGGCACACCGCCAAAATAGCAGAAGGACCAGTGGTAGTAGAATACAATTCAACACTGTTTGGCACGAAGAGAGAAACGGTTTGCCTTCTTATAGGATTAGTACAACTATTTTCAGGAAATAGACAAAGAAAAAGATGGAGATAGGGAAACCTTGAAAGACAGATGCCGAATAAAAATTGGACTATGATGAAAAAATAAATGAACAAATCCTATTGAGAACTGTTTGCAAAGACGCACAAACTAACTAACACATTACAATAGCTTCCTTGCGTCCTTACAGCCAAAAGGCAACTTACTGGTAGTGAACCGGTCTGTGAGTGCCTCCGATTGGCCTTCCTTGTACAGGGCAAAGATGGCCACCGAGTACTCCATCAGAGACGTCAATCCACTGAGGTCATACGAGGTGTCTGGACCCACCTCCACCTGCACAACACGGAGACACGCATGACACAAAAGTTATGCCTACATGAAAAATGTTAGAGCTCAATCATCAAATCCACTAAAACCTGTTAATTGTGACGATTTCTTATAGTTCTTGCGGTTTAAAAATGCATAGTCGATTTTCAACAAAACAAGCAAATCTTAGGAATTTATCCAACTTACGCTGCAAGTATATTGTTTATTTTTCCAGATAATTTAAGTCAGTGCTGAAAACTTGCCTGTTTATACTCAGAATCACGCCTAAAATGAATCTCCTCTTTTTTCCTCTTCTCGTTGAGACACAGACGCTCAAAGTTACAAATGTTACCAAAAAGAAGTTCTTAAAATATCCAATTATTGAGTCACGTGTGTCACACAGATACGCACGCACCTCCTCAGTGACCGCTCCGTCTGTCTTGATCCACACGATTCGATAACCTTTGACTCCTCTGGGTACGGGTGCCCAGCTGATGTGGGCGGAGTTGTGAGTGATGTCAGAGAACTGGAGGTTACTGGGGGGACTCAGTGGTACTGAGAGAGAGAGAGAGAGAGAGAGAGAGAGAGAGAGAGAGAGAGAGAGAGAGAGAGAGAGAGAGAGAGAGTTTGATTTTATATCAACTTTTTGACTTTGAGAGAGAAGACATTTGGTCACTTAAGTCTCCTAATTGGATCCACGCTTCCCTCACTTGTGTCTGTTCCTTGCGTCTATGACCCTCCCACCAGGGACGCCTGCAGGAAATGCGAGGTAACCATGCAATGAGAGAGGACACAGGGAAATATCGTTCCCGAGAAATGAGACGTCCTTTCCTCTGAAGCGCCTCATGAAGCAACGTCTGTTTCGGGTGATGGCGGCCGCCCATCACAGCTGGATCAACTGTCAGTCGACTTTAACAGCTGTTAAGGTGTTGTTTTGTCTGTACATATTTGTACTGTACTTGTACTAAGAAAAGTACAAAGTTATACTGTCAGAGAAGCAGTGTTTCCTCTATCATTACCTGGTTAACAATCTGCTGTGTACACTATTCTCTGCTCTGTGTCCTACTTATAAGCGCAGGATCCATTCCTCCTGCAGAATGACTTCATATTATTTATTTATTATTTGCGCATGTATGGATTTAAATTCTGATTGTGAAGTCATTGTTAAATAACCCATATATTATTTTGTTCTTACTTGAGGCTGGAAAGTATTTATTTGGCTTAATGTTTCAGGAGAAATAGAAATGATGTCATTGAACGCGACAATGAACAACTATCCTGTGACTGAATGGAAAATGACAATAAATGATGTAAAAAAAAAACTTTTTTCTCTCCAGCTCTCTCTGACTTTAAATCATATCCATAATATAATCTTTCTTATAATTGAAGAAAGACATTTGTGGTCCCTTTGTTGTTCAGAATTTGTATTAACAAATATTAACCAGATGGTGAATAAGATGACGGATGAAACACAAAACTTGAGTGTAGTCTGTGATCCGTCTTCACTCCGGTGTGCAACATCAGTGCTGTTGACAAATCAGCCCAATCAGCCGATAAACAATGAAGGGACGCGTCTGCTCTTGTGTGTCCTCCCCCACGGCCCAGCAACCAAAAGTATCTTTTATTGTTTGTCTCGGTTTTCACCATTTCAACAATCGCCATGTCTCCCTCGCGTTTCACGTCTCTGGACCCAGTGCCCTCGTGTCTCCTCCGTGTGCGGACTACAGCAGGCCTTACCGATCGTCTCCACCCGTGTCTCACCTTCCCCGTGTGGTCTTACGTGGCGTTACATTGCAACAAACCCATGCGTCTCACTTGAGTCCTCCGCTTACACTGCTTGACACGCTGGTGTGAAGAGAGCTTCTGCCATCCTCAACTCCGCCAAGAGCTATTCGCTTTGTAAGATTCGTATTTTGGTTGTCGTGTTTGTTAGGATGAAGGTACAGGATGAGGGTCATCAGTATGTGTGTAGGTGTGCAGTACTCACATGTAGATTTCTGGTTTGTCATTGGGTCACTAGCTTCCTCCCCGTACATGGCATAAACAGTGACGGTGTATTCAGTGCGAGGGGTCAATCCATGGAGCTCCATCTCTGTCACTGCGTCCAGCACTTTGACCTGGGGGGCAAAAGACAAATGCACACGTGAGAGCTTTTAAAAGAACAAGGCTGAGTTGAACAAGCATTCATCTTATCTTATTCTCGTTTCCTGTTGGCCGCTGTTTTCCGCTACCTCTTTCTCGACTGAGTCCACATCATCTGTAAGCGGTGCATACAGCAGCATGTAGCCAGAAACTCCCTCCACACTGTTCCATCTTGCTCTCATGGTGCTGTGAGTCACATCTGACAGCTGGAGGGTCGTCACTGCGGGGAGGCCCACTGAGAACACATCAACACACAGACAGCGCGGTTCAATCAAGGCCTTTTCACGTTGTCAAAATCAAAAACATTGTGTTGTCTTCATGGACGCTTTTTATCTTCATCTATCCCACAGATCCTTTTCAATATGTCCGGATTCAATGGCTGTCGAAGCTTATTCCTTGTGCTGTGTGAGCTTTATAAGTACATCTATGCGTGTCTGTATGTAGAAAATTAACTTACGGGTTGTTTCTGATCCTCTGAGAGCTTCGCTTGACTCGTTTGCGTACACAGCAAACACAGCCAGCTGGTACTCAGTGAGAGAGTGGAGATGCTGTAACACCGCCGAAGTCTCACCACCGTCCACCACCGCCTAGGATCCAGGAGACGGGGGGGAAACACGGAAAGAAACACACTTTTAAAGCAAACATACACGTGGCTCCTGCACATCTGGTCGCTGTACAGCCAGCTGAGCAAAAGATTTACTGGTTTCTGTGGTCAAATGTTCTGCACCTCCCAAGCCGGTGCCCCTATCAACCATATTTCACCTGTCTGATAGTGAATGGAGGGATGAGGGACGGATGAACGATGCCACCAGCCTCTCCGGGATAAACAGAGCTCAATCACCCAGACACAGTAACTCCCATTGGTGTAGTAAATATGATGGAGAATAGGCCTGACCCTGGCCAAAGCCCAGCTTTCTGCACTACAAGTCTCTTGACCACAGAAGGGCTTTTTGTTGGTGCTCATCTATGCATTTCTTCCAGATTAAAATGAATTGCAATGTGTGCTTGCAATTTTGCATAGAGATCCATTTTGTGCCTATGTTATTATCTTAAATATCTGTACACATTCAGTAAAGTAAATTTGCTTGTGTTATTAGCTAACAACATATTTACCTCCTGTGGTTCTCCTTCGCCATCAGGATAATAAAGCACTCTGTACTTCTCTACATTCCCGGGCGCGTGGCTCCATGAAACCCTGAAGCCGCGAGCCGTCACTTCTGATGTCACCAGCTCAAGCGGCGCTCCTGTCTTCTCTGGTATATATTCTAAAGAAATAAAAGGTGGGGAAAATAGAAGAGTAGAACGCATTAGGTTATGTAAATCATTCCCAGTGAGGTGCTTCTTGTTATAAAAACCTGCGTTAATTGTGGATCAGAGTAAAGGATTAGACTACTTTAATTCTATTAACATTTAATTTGACTTCGAAGACATCCTTTCTTGTTTTTCTTTATTTCTACAGAAATGACAACATATTGGGACACATATGCCAGTGAACTGCAAACACTTGGATGTCCATTGTGGTCCACCAAAGCGTCACAAAAAACATTTATTTTCTAGTATTATTAGGCCTTTACTCTGTTTGATATCGTTTTCCTGCTGCTCCACTTGCTCGCACACAGTCTTGGTCAAACCCTCCACAATGGAACTCATGACGTTGAAGTCGGCCACGTTGTAGACGTGTGTGTGGTCCGGCTCCGAGGCAATGGAGACCAGCTCATTCTCATCAGCATTCTTAACACCTGGATAGGGAAAATGTAATTATTCTCATTTCTACATTTGTCATGTGGAGACAAAACCACTGTCAGAAATGGCAAACATCAAACATTTTTTGGGGAAGCAGTAAATGCCATGAGTCATCCCTGGGATGGCCGGTGTTGAGCGTTCCAGAGTTGGAATAACTGGGAAGAGGGTCCACTATACAGTGCCGCACTAGTCATTCTACATATATGTGTAACATTTTATGTTTTACACAAGCTTAAACCCTCTAGAATTGAACTTAACAAGATATTTCGGTACATTTCTACCATGAGTAATAGGTTCCAAATGCCAAATGATCACAATCACACTCTGGCCCTGAGTCAGGTCCTTTCAGAAGTGACATATTCAATTGATTTTCCAAACTATGAAATAAACACTTATTTATAATATGACTGGACAAGGTCCCTTCCCTCCCATTAAGAGAAGGCTCTTAAGGCAGGCAGGGTTGCAGATAAGAAGTTAATATTAAACTGAAAGTTTCCATCGTCGCTCAATATAATGCTTTCTATCCATAGGTGGAGAAAATCATTTTGCAACCTCTATGCGCAAGAGCAGTGTCCTGTTTTGCCAATATTGATGTCGACTGTTAGCTTTGAATTGCTCTCGGGAGTTCTAGATATAACCCCCCCCCTACCTTTTCATTATTTTAGCGTAATGGTGCTGGGTGCTTAATATCTTCATATTGTATGTCGCTTGTGTGTCTTTGCTTTGTTGTAAAAGAGAAGTGTGAGTGCCAGCCTTGTTAACTATTATTAGCATGCATTAGATGTTATATACATACTATATACACAGATGTTACAGAGCGCTTGTCTCTCCCTCTCACCAATAGCAAAGAGCTCAATCCCAGCATTTCGTAAACTCTCTGCGGGAGGAATGACATCGTCCTGGGACTTTCCGTCTGTGACGAGGATCCCGATCTTGGGCACGCCCGGCCGAGAGCCAGACTCCGGCTTGAAGCAGTTCTCCAAGACGTAGGTCAACGCAAGTCCTGGAAGAAGACATGATGAAAGAGACAAGAGCGATAGAGGAGAAAGACGGTTAGAGTGGATGGAAGGATAATGTCACACAAAGAGGAGAATGACATCTAGGAGGGGGAAACAGGAGGGGTAAAGTTGGAGCAAGATTCAGAGCAATGAATAAGAAAAGAGCGAATAGAAGAACACTTTAAACTCCTTAACAAACTAACATGATTAACTGCAAAACAACCTGTGAGAGTGTTTCCTCCTTTGTATGGCAGGTTCTTAACAGCATCAATGACGGCATCTTTCGTGGAGAAAGCATTTAGATGCCACTCTATCCGGGGATCACCACTGTACTGAGCCAGACCTACAACACACACACACACACACACACAATTACTCTATATCTCAACTTGTCATTTGAAGTAAAACACCAACAAAGCTGATGTGCAAACACATTTAAGAAGAAAATACCAATATGAAGGGATGACCAAATAAATGAATAAAAACATTGATACAGACAACAGCAGACCATATTGGGAGGGAGGGACCCACCAATCCGTGTCTTATTGATGCCAACATCAAAGGCATCAACCAGATTTTCCAGGAACATGCGGACCAGCCGGAAGTTGAGCCGACCGATACTCCAGGACCCGTCCACCAGGATCACGATGTCTGCAATGGCCTCAGTGTGGCAAACAAACTGATCAACTACGAGAAGGAGACAAGACATACTGAAATGAGTTTTAAACTGACCGTGCAATGTTAGGGGGGAGAAATAAACAGAATAAAGGAAGAGTTCATGGGTAGGTGAAAAGAAACCTGAGCGACAGCCTAATGCTTTAACTTTAGTTTCTCAGACAAAACACAGAAATAACAATAAATGCACTTCAGGTTGTCTTCATTCTTAAACACTTCATCAAAAATCATGTTAAAAATAGACAAACCATTTCCTTTGCATACAGACACAAAGCACAACTGCCATCTCGAAAAACTCCTTTGTGCTCTTTGGAATTAATCTCTAAACACATTATTAGATATTAACTCATTTTTAATTTGAAAGACCGATTAAAGGGATATCACCTGAAACCTTCCACCCGAAAGTAATATCAAGGTTAGATATGACTCAATATTATGGAAGCGGGGACGCAAACACAAACGCAATCAAATATTCATTAGTTAAATTATATATAATATGACATATAATTGACACAATTCCATAACTGCTAATCTTCCTTGTGTGATATGGTGACCATGAATATACACCCATTTGAAAAATCCCTTTCAGTGTCTGCCGGAGAAGGCAATAGTGAATACTCCAGTACATTCTGATCAGAGTGGAATAAATGAATAAAGCTGATTGAAGAGCTGCCTGTAGGTAATGAGAATTATTGACTTGCATTTAAACAAAGACTACAGAAATCCCATATGAGTAAATGTGATGATTCAACTGCTGCTGGTTAATATTCACCGAAAATCAATACAAACTCGACACAACATAAAAACTAAAATAAAAGACTGCACTATTTATCACTGGACTACAGATGTTCGTTTTGTTGCTCAGCTGATGACTGAGACGCCGTGGGTGTGTAAGACCTTCTTCCCATTGTGTTCTCATCTCTGTACACTGTCAACTATCAACTGTAAAATAATCCTCTAACAGCAAATTCAAACATTTAATTTAATTAAATTACATTTAAAAACGAGCAGGGCTTTGTGTGTTTTGGCAAGCAACCTTTTTTGAAGGTTATCCACTGTACCACTTGCAATGGTGTTAGGGCAACGGTATTTGAAGACTAAAACGCATAAAAGACACATTGTGTAACAATACGACACGCTGGAAAGTGATTTTCCAGACAAAGCCTTCTGTCTGCTGTCTGTGTCTGTTGGACGGTTTGAACCATCCACCTGCTACCAACTGCAAGAAGAGGAAGACGAGAAGACAGCGAGGTGAAAAGATGAAGCCGGTGATCCTCTTTGATTTGTAAAAGCAGAGCATAAAAGACGGAGGTGTTATTACAAAATACCACTCGGCTAATGCTTTGAAAGACTCAAGAAGGTCATGAATATATCCTTCAGTTCAGGTGCATAGCGGTTCACAGATATTTATATATATCAAACAACCCACCACATGTGAGAATCATTTTAAATTATTCAACTTGTTGCTTGGGTCGAGAGTTCCAGCAAAATAGAAAAAGGCTCAGAGTCAAAGAGTGAAAAGTTTATTTGTAGTTGCCCTTCTTACCAAACAAACAAGCATGGCCTTTAAAGGAAAGGTTAAAGAATAGAAAGGAAGAACCATGCTTGAGCACTAGCACGGCTTCTTTAAAAGTGAACACACATGATAAAAACCGAAAGGCATTGAGGGGTTGTTTGTATCTACAGTAACTACTGTTATTGGTAAATAGAGAGACACTTTGTGTTGTGTACTTTTCCTACTTTGACATCATCTAAAAGACCTTAATCACAATGAATTTCAGTGCATGAAGGACAGATTTTCTACGAAGACAAACCAATTCCTCCCTCAGTTCGAATGAGATCACTTTAGCTGGAATGGGTTACGCAAAGAAGGCAGAACACCAACAAGCTCTGTGGTGGACGAGTAATGAAATGCAAAGATTCAACGTCATCGAGCAGAAGCAGCAGATTTACGCAGATGTACTTATTGTAACTGATTCGAACCATGAGGTTTGCTGAACTACATCTGAACCATATAAGCATAAAAGCACGTAATTATAAAAAGCCGCATTGAGTACATGACTTGACAGGCATGTGATGAGACAGACGTCCAACTGGTCTTCGTGAGAGAGAAAGCGACCACATTTCACGACTGAGCCCACGGAGCCGTCTGCAGCGTTGCACAATTGAATTCAATTGTGAGTGGGAGTGTAAAAATGTGAGCGCTTCAATGGAACCCAGTGTTGTCTGCCTGCGGCTTTTAGACAAAGACTGAGGACGGAACTGGCGACTTCGATGATATGGACCAATAGCCACACAGAGGTTTAAACACATGCACATAAGGGCTACACGTAGAGACAGTAGAGCAATGTCTGACAAATACAAAGACTAATAAAACTGACACAAAACATATTCAGAAACACACTCGATGGAGTGTATAAATGTTTCTTATAAGAGTAGTTCTTCCCAGCCGGCCTCGATCCATCGCTGACCTCTACTGAGCCAGTGATCAGACGCTGTGATTTCATTTCAATTCCTCCGTAGTTAAGTTTAATTACCCCCACCCTCCTCCACCGTGGTTGTGTTTTAATGTCTCGAATGGACACTGAGAACAGGGACGGGCCTGCGGATAGAAGGACAGCAGCGACAGTCCTCACATCCCGAAAACAACTACTTTATTCTCGTGTCAAATGTTTTATTTCAGTGTGAGCCTGCTTTCATGCGAGCACTTTATCCTCCAAGTGTGATTTATTGCAAAATAATTGGACATTTATTCCAAAATAGATAAGCAGAAGTCGACATGTATGATTGTGTTTTATTAATCCGCTCATTAATCAAAACACACTTCAGTGAGACGATTAAATAACATGTGTTACCGTTGGTGAACTGCCTCATTCTTGGTCACCCCTCTAAACTGTTCAATACATCACTTTAGGATTAATAGTAATATGGTTTATTTCTCCTGCCTGCTATTTAGCATGTAGAACCTTATGTTTCCATAGAAACAATTTCCTTCATGTGCGTTGAAGACAAAATGTCCACTTTAAATCTGTGCAGTGTGATCCTTTCCATCCCACCTGCTCGTGTGTAGGTGTGCGGTCTGAGGATTCTAAAACGTGAGAGGAACATGGTGATGGCATTCAAAGTGAAAAACTGTTTTTAAAACAACAAATGTTTAAGCAGATGTGCCAAAGGATACGGCTGAATGCTTTTTGAAAGAATATTTAATGTCAATTGGTTTGACTTATGATTTTCCATATTAGCTGAAATTGTCCTCAGGAAATATTTCATAGCACTCATAGCATTTCTTTGCAGGCATATAAGCCAAAGAAATATGGCTTTTTTCTCCGTGGAACAGGATAAAAGGCCAAGATATGCATCTCAGTTATTCAAAATAATGTTTAGAGACTTGACCTAATTGTGCAGCATTATTCTTATTCATTTTTAGTTGACTGGAGACATAAAAACTATATATTAACCCTTGATAATAGTCTCTCACACAACTGTATTCTCCGTAACAGAACAGCTATTAAGTAAACCTCCAAGTGTCAAAACGGTGAAATTGGCAACAATCAATACACTAACAAAACAAATATCTGGCTACTGCATATTTTCTTCGGCTGCATTGCTCAGAAATACTACAAACAACCATCTCATCGTTGCCACAATCTGCGCACGAAGCCGCAGAGCTGCTTTAGCGCACCAATAAACACTAGTAGTAGATTTTCAGTTTCACTCGCTTGTTTATTCAATGGAGAGACGGGCAGCAGATGGATACGCCTTTTGTTTGCTTAGTGGCCCTAAGACATCGTAGCAAGGCTCAAACATTTATATTCATCTGGGAGTCCCGTGGTCCTGCGTGAGAGTGTGTGTGAGTGTGTGTGTGTGCGTACGTGTGTGTACGTGTGAAGTAATGCAATCCAGTGCGTTTGAAGGTGTAATCCGACAGCTGTTCTAAGGCAGTTCCTGTCGTTCCACCTGAGACCTTTTCCTGCTTGGCCTCCTGATCTTTAATCCACTGTCTTGTTCACTGAATACACAGAAGGTCTGACAGAACAAACTCTACGTGTACGCTGAAAGCAAAGCATGGCCTGTAAAATGTCTCTTCCTCTTCCTCAGTGTGTCACTGCGTCTCAACCTGTTTCTGCATGCGTTTCTTTGCTTTTGTCATTCTGTTTGCCTTCCTTTAATCTCTGCGTCTGATACACACTCTCTCACACACACACACACACACACACACACTTGTTGAACTTTGTAGTTGTTTCTATTTCGAAACTTGAGTGTTTCTTATCCTGTCTGGTTATTTTTTAGCTCCATGCACACATTGTAAAGACAGGTGTGGCACTCAGACTGGCGTTTTTCTTTCACTATTTAACACAATGCTGGCTTACTTATTTGTTCTGCAGGAGGGACAGTTTGCCTGCTAACCAACCCCCTTTTTCTATTTTGTAGTTGCTATTAGTCAAGCACAAGCAAATATTTATTTTAAATGTGTACATAATCACCAACTCAAAGCACTTCTGTGGCAGGTCCTGTGCAAGGAGGATTTACTGCAGCTAAACTACTTATTATAACACACTGAAGAATGTATGCAAAAGGTTTTTAGATTCTGAAAATGCATTCAATGTATATTTTTGTCATAGCGACACATATCAAATGTTGTGCTGGGTAAGCGGCGTCCCCGGTACCACAGACACAGTGTGATAGACCTCATGTGTGTGAACAGGAGAAAGGAGAAGCCACAGCTGGGAAATCGGGGAAGACGTACGCTAATTATTCCATTGACCTCTGCACTTCAGGAGTCCTTGTCACTGATGACCGAAATCCATTAGCACGTCCGCACACAGATGTACTTCTTGACCACTGTTTTACAATTAGTTAACCTCAGCCATGACCCCCTCCTCCCTCACTTATCCAGGAGGACAAGGACATGCGTCTGGCGTTTGAGACACACGCAAACGAACGTCCAAATGAGCAACGGCCGATCGACTCCCAAGTTTCTGAACGCACAGCCACCGTGCGTGAGCGTGACA